CGGTGACATATCCACTCCAGTCCCCGCAACTGATGGAGATCGATCCGCGCCTGCGTCCGGGCAGCGATAGTAGCCCTCCAGAGGGAGTCGGAACGAACCATGCTTACCTTCCGTCACCTGCCACTCGACAAGCCGATCCCGCTCCTCTTTCCTCCCATCCGACGAATGACTACCCCGACCCTCCGTCCCAGATCTCACCGAATGAACAGCTGCATTCTGGGGCCTCGACCTCTAGCGGTCCCGGCTACTACGGCAGCTCAACCACACAACCTCAGTCCAGTCACGCTCTATACCAAGCGAGCCCTGGGAGCATCATTGGTAGTACACATAGGCTCGAATCGATCGATCCCAACGATCCTTATGCCGAGCTGAAACGACCACGCGCATGCGAATCATGTCGGCAGTTGAAAGTCCGGTGCGAACCTGACATGAGCAACCCGAACGCTTCCTGTAAACGGTGTGCCAAGGCTGGAAGATCCTGTGTCGTTACGGTCCCGACCCGTCGGCGCCAAAAGAAGACGGATAGTCGCGTCGCAGAATTAGAGCGGAAGATTGACGCGCTGACGGCAAGCTTACAGGCCTCTCAGGGTAATGGGCCAACGCTACAAACAGCGTACCCAGGTCCGCCGCGTGAGGAGCATACTGGAAGACGATGGCTGGGGCCAACTCATACCGCATCGACTGGTTCTCTGCCGGTGGGGGAGCCCACCGGCCTGGCGGGGAATAAACGGCGACATAGCGGGGAGATCAAGGACTCAAGGGACAGTGGTCTGGTGGAACCCTCATTCTATCGTGCTCCAAGCCCTGCTACAGAGCAGATCTTAGATAATACGTCTAGGCAATGGCATGCTCGTCCAAGCTCCGGCTCAGATACCACAGCTCCGAAACCGAACGCAGCAAATGAGCCCCTCGATGTGATTGACCGAGGCCTTGTGAGTGCGGACTTAGCATCGGAAGCGTTCAACAGATATGTGAAGCATATGGCGCCCCATATCCCGATGGTAGTCTTCCCTCCTGGAACCACGATAGCAGACATCCGGAAGACCAAGCCGGTGTTACTCCATGCCATCATCGCTACAGCCGTGGGGCCTATTCAGCCTGAATTGCAGATTTCACTTATTGAAGACTTCTACAGGGTCATTGCGGAACGCGTCGTGGTGAAAGGTGAAAAGTCACTGGATTTAATTCAGGGACTTCTCGTGACCTGCAACTGGTACATCCCGCCGGACCATTTTGAAGAGCTGAAGTTTTACCAGTTGACTCATATGGCTGTGTCGCTAGCGATGGATATCGGGATGTACCGTAGGCCGATGCCAAAGAGTCGTCCATGGACCTTGGTCAAAGACCTTATATTGAAAAAGTCGCCGTCTCAGGACCCTGATTCGGCGGAGGCTAGACGGGCGTGGTTGGGTTGTTATTTTCTAGCTGTGCAGTAAGCATTCCCTTTCGAGACTGGCTGTGAGAAACGGTCTCTGACATCTGTAGGGTTGCCGCCTCGTTGCGACGCACCCTTCTAGTACGCTGGACTCCGTATATGGATGAGTGTGTAGAAATATTGGAGAAGTCATCGGATGCATTGCCTTCGGATAAAGTGATGATACAATGGGCCAAACTAGTACATATAATCGAGGATATCCATCAGCAGTTCTGCCCTGACGATACTGGGTCCATTGTTGCTTTCTCAGAGCCCAAGGTTCAGTACACCCTCAAAGTGTTCGAAAAACAGCTAGAGCAACTCCGGAAGGAGCGAGGACCGAGCGACTTTCGTAAGTTCGCACGCCATCCTGTCCCTGTATCTTTTACTGATGAGCTGCCAGCCGTATTTACGCAAGCTGAATATATTGTCAACCTCTATCTTCACGAGGGTGCCATGCATGTGGATTACAGCGAGGATCAGAAATCGCCAGGCGACGACCATTCCAGCCCGACGAGCGCCGCTCATATGAATGCTTTGAGCACCTGTCTTACTTCAATTCACCAAGCCATAGATACCATCTGCTCCGTTGACATCAAGGATCTCATCTCTCTGCCTGTTTTTGCCCTGGCCCGGACGTCATTTACGGTTGTTGCATTGATCAAGCTTTATTCCATTGTATCTTCACCGGAAACACGTATTGGCCAGGTGATCGATGTCGCTAGTTTGAAGACCGAATACTACCTCGACCGCGTGATCGAGCACTACACCAGGGCCGGCGAGCAGGCTGGGGGCCGGACCCCGGCCAAGTTCTCGGTGGTGTTGAGCATGCTTCGAGGGTGGTTTCTGAAACGCAAGGACCATGGACTTGCTTTGAGAGACGCTTTTGGTGGCGGACTGCGCCCAATGAACTGTGGCAATGACAATATCCCTTGTCAATCAGCCGCAGAGAAATACCAAAGGGTGAGTTGGTCCCCATATCTCTCGTTCGATATATTCGCTATGCCTGCCCGAAGTTCCCCGTAACATGGCTGATGACCCCAGAAGAACACGGGCACGACTCCTCTACACCTGTTGAGCGAAGTCGCCATGGGCGAGCCGCAAAACCGTCCTAGCTCAGGCCAGGGTCCATGCCCTCCATCGACCGCCAACTACACCCCCCCGGCCTCAGGGCCGGCCAGCCAAACTCCCTCGTCAGACCTTGTATCGCAACCGCAACCCTCTCTAGGCCCAAGTCCTTCCCCGGCCGCAGGTGGCACGTCCGATTCAAACCCCTGGGCCCAGTACCCGGCTCCCACGCGGCAATTCTATCCCCCCTTGACGTCAACCTACCAGGATATCCCAACCTCGGGATACCCCGATCCCTCGGTAAATAGCAATATGGTGATGCCGTGGCCGGTGCAAGGTTTCTTCGTGCCGGAGTTGGGAATGCAGGTGGGGTTTGAGCCGGAGAACCTGTATGCGCTGGAGAATATGTTGGGAGACGGGTTCTTCAACCTGCCATTGCCGACCGAGGGGAGCGGATATTATTAGTGTGGATACACTCGTATCAACCCTCTGCGGCGTGTCAGTCTACGCCCTCGTTTATATATACCCTTTGCGATTCAGACGCGGGATGGCGGAAGGTGGTACTACACACCTCCCGTGCCTTCCGTGTCTTTTACGGCATGTGGAGATTGTTGATTTGTACAGATATCTCCATTTCCCTCACGGTGAAATGTACTTCCTGCTCTGTACATACATACATATTGCTTTGATATGATACCCTCTTCTCCTGTCAACCATGTATAACCAGAAAATATAAAACGCAAATTAGGACATACATCTAACAGGATGAACTAAACGATCAAACAAACAAACAAAACAACCCAAACAATGGAAAACTCCAACCAAAATAAGTTTTGTCCCAGATTACCCCAAAGGATCGTAAAACCAAATAGGAAATTAAACTTAGCCCAAAAATAAAGTTAAATAGAATAAAACTAACAAGAAAAAGAAACAAGAAACTAAGATAAGAAAGTTAAAAAAAAAGAAAATCTCGCCCCAAACTCAAACCCAAAACACACGTAACCAAAAACCTTATCCTATTTTCCCACCAACCAATAACAACCCCAAATCAAACTCCTTACCAAACTTTAGTAAGCGGGATTCAAGAACTGGAAAATCACAGGAGAATTGAGCAAAAGGAAGAGTGAAAAAAAAAAAAAAGAGAATGAGAAAGAGACAGGAGGGGGGAAGGCAGAATTGGAAGTAGAATTGTAGTAACCAGGGCTTTCCTCTTTTTTTTTTTTCATTTTTTCCTTTTTCGGAGTTAGTTTCTGCTTTTTTGTTTTTAATTACCCGTGTGTCGTTGCGTGGGGACCTGACCCTGAATTTTCACCATAGTTTGATTATCTTAGTATTGACTTGGCTTTGGTCTAAGGTACCATAAGCCGGTCATTACCCAGGTTTCTGCATTTCCGTAGAGGAGTTCACTTTCTAGATTGGGATGTTTGATCAGCTGGGGACTTACCCGTACTGGTGGTATCTCTGAGAGGGGAGAGGAGACGGCGTGGGGGTTATCGAATGTTTACGAGGTGGTTGTGGTAGTGATACCCCACTTGAACGTGGCTGTACTATTTCCTATTGGTATAGGGTTCCTCTTTTTTTTTTTTTTTTTTTTTTTTGGATCCATATAGTTTACGGTGAGATGATGTAGGGCAAAGTACGGAGTTCAATGGAGTTCATCTTACTCTATAGTTCCGTATACCCGCAACTTATAATAAAATGTATTATAGGAATGTCAAAACGTCCACTATGAAACGATCCGAGCGTCAGATTAATGGGAAACAAAAGAGAGGTAGTAAGTAAAATAAGTTCATGTTATAAGGTTTAAGGTATCTCGGCACCGGCAGTGAAAGTATATTTATCGTTCCGGTGGTCGCGGATCTAGATCCGATGCAAGCTGGGATCCTTTCGGAACTTCACAACTACATACCGGGGCTCCGTATTGAAGTTAGTGTGGCACATACGCCGAATGTACGGAGTGGCTTCGGTATGGTTGTGTGGAGGTGGGCGTCTTGCTCTTTGGTTAGGGTACAATTTACAGGCTCCTCTCCTTCTTGTGTTTTTCTCCCATTGGATCCCGGCGATTAGGGCTCGCTTCGCCCATGTATGTGCCCTCGCAATCAGTTACCGAGAAAGGAGTGACAAGGGAGGAGAGGGTACACCATGTATACCAGGAGTCAGTCATTATAACTGAATATGACGTGTTGCCGATCCTGTCTTGGATGTTTACATGATGCTTCGTAATGTTATCGTTTGGTCTCTGCCGGCTAATTCGACAGCTACATGGATATGTGCCGAAGATGACGTCCACTCTAAGAAGTATGCGGTTAGTAAAAACTTATAGAATAGCCTGTTATAGCCCGTTTGAGATAGGTTGGGGATGTGTCTGATGCTGAAGAAAAGTCTAGGCAACGCCGGGTCCGACTTAACTTTCTATATTTGAATGGGAGGGGTTTGAGCCTCCAAAACCATAGCCCCGTGGGTGGGGGAATTATACGGAGTATATTATTATTCTCCTTCTCTATCGTTTGACTACTTTCGGCAATCGCATACGTAAGGGGTGCCTTTCTAGGTATATAACAAAACCGAACCCACGTGTGTCCTTAGCCCAGATAAGCTACCGTGTTGCAGCCTAGATGCGCAATTAGCCCAGTGGCTGATAAAAATGAACCACAGCCCCACAAAGACATACCGTATTCGAAGTTCGTACTTCGAACTCAGCCGGACGAAGGGTTATCGGCATATGGTAGGGTCCCCACACGGCTTCCATGAGGGTGGGGAAGGCGAAGCAACGGGGGGAGCCCCAAATTGCCTAAAGCAAATAGTTTAGCTTGTGTCTGTCCCGCCTGTCATCGTGTAGATTTTAGACTCGGTAGATCTTGCCTCGCTAGACTCGTCTGCTGGGAGGGCCTGTGTAGACAATTTATGCATCTCTGTGTGCACCGATTATGAAGGAAAGGAAGAGGGGGGGAACAGTTTGTGTGGAAGGGCGCGCTCGACGTAAAGTAGGTACCTTGGTAGTCGTACTATTCCGCCGTTATGCGCCAGTTTTGACTTAGTGCTTGCGCCAGAGATGTCCATGGCCATCCATTCTCTGCTTCTGTCCTTCGAAGTAGGTCTAAAAGACACGTTTGCGCTAGTGGGTCACGTATCCATGAGCCGCCTAGTGATGGGTTAGTATCCCATCTAGCGACCAAACGGCGTATAGCCCCTGGGGTGTTGAGTGGAGGGCTTCTAGCAAAGGGCGCGGCAACGCAATGGGATTCAAGGTGTGTGATGAAGCACTTACAAGCAGACAGCGCATGACAGGCCATGATGCGAACGGGAGGGTCATCGTCGGCCGAAAGGGCAATGCCTAAAACGATACTCAGATTTCTCACGAAATCATTCTATATTTAGAGTCAGCAAGGTGCTTTCAATCGTTGATGTGCTAGAACTACCTCGATCGTCTTGCGATCTTGATTTGGGCTCGTCGCAAAATGCTGAGTCCTCAACTCATACTCATGTATCAAAGCTTTGGCCATGCATATCTGTTGCGCTGCGGTAGCTGCTAGAGTATTAGCTGTTAATGTAACCATATACAGGTGATGATATTCCAAGAGCATACCGTGTGATGCGCTGGTAAACCATACAACAGGAAACGGTCTCCCAAGGCTTGTGTTGGCAGGAGAGAAATGTAATGGTCGAAAGCTATCCGGTCTTTGCATCTCCCAATCACAAATCTTCCTTTTCAGGACGTCCCAAACAACAGAACTCACGTGAGCTGGGCTACTTGGTCCATAGCAGTAGTTAATAGTCTCGGCTAGCAGCCATAGAGCTCGATGGGCCCAATCCCGGTCGGTTTGAGCGCTACGGTATTCCCAAGCGAGACGTAGCCTTTCTTCGAAAGGGCCAATGGTCAAACGTAGAGGGCTTCGAGTTGCCAATGCAAACTGCACATCCTGCATAACAAAGGCCCAGAACGACGCCTCTGCAAGACCACCAGAAAATGCACAGTCGACGTGAGAGCCGATATACACTGAACCAGCCAAGAGGTGTCGTTGTAGGTCTTGCGACAGGGCACGAGCTGTCGAAATTGTCAGTAAACACTACACTCACTAAGGATTCAAATGGTATTGACAAACAAGAAAGTTGCTCAAAACAGCGTAGTATCACTGTTGAGGCGAGAAGTATCTCGATGTTAATTTTGAAGTCGGTGTTTTCCACCACCGGCAGTAGAATTGCAATGCATTGCTCGTGGTATTGATCTGCAGCATTTGGCGGGACTGAGTTGTTCGTTTGAGAGAGGTGACGGGCGGCCGTAGCCAAGCAGGCATACAACAGGAGGGAGGACGAAGGTGCCCGTTCGACCGCATCTACTGAGAAGTGCCTCTCATGGTCGCACACATCCATCTATATATATAGCAAACGTTAGTGATGCTCCCGTTTCTAAGTCGACAGAAGTAAGTGTTCAGCACCCATGCACCAATTGTTTTCCGGAAGTGTCGAAGGAGAAAAGCCTCATTTAGGTTGCCCAATTTTTGATGATCTCCCATACTGTCTGCCGGCAGGAGGTTATTGATCGTGCCGCGGGGAAGTTCAAGCGTTGATCGGGACGACTCTAGACCTCCCGGAGAAAGAGCAGGGGATAGGAGGGAAGATGTTGAAGGTGGCAACGTCGACCCTGAGGTTGACGATCGACTTTCAGATGCTTTCCTCAGGTACAATGAAGACGCCCCAGCTGGCACAACGTGGTAGTCGGCCGCTGTACGGTCTGTCTCGTCTTCAAAAGCAACTGCGGGACGGTTAGTATGCGTCGGCCTCCCATGATCTCACCATCTACCACATTGTCATGGAGATAAAACGCACCGTCAGGCGGTGTATTAACCCAGATCTGATCATCCGGAAATGCTAAGTCGCTTTCTCCATAACGAGGAGGCCCTTTAGGCCGCAAGGAAGGGTTCTGGCCGTGTCGAAAGGTAACCTCCTCTGGTTTCAATGGTGCAGGAATACACTGCCGGCCCGATCGTTGACAACGTAAGCACACGGCCCCAGTCTTGTCACCTAAAGGGTAATGTTAGGGTTTCGGAGTCAAAAAAACGATCAGTATGATTAAGACAGGCGAATGGTTACATTTCAGATGGCGCTGGCGACATGTAAGACTGTAAGCAGGGTACAGGCGTTAGACAAGCGGCTGGCGCGGCGAAAAGGAGCAAGATGGGTTGCCTTCGAACTCACCATCCCCTCATTACGATATACTCAAAGCTGTCTCTCGGCTAGAGATACCCGCAACAGCCATGAATCGGCAGAGAGAACATCAACGCCAGGAAAGCAACGGATACGAGTCATATAAAGCGGACATAAGAAGCGAGGAGAAGCAGTGGGAACGGGCAGAGACGCTAAGGTGAAGCTAAACGTGACCGCGTCAGTGATAGATACCGCGATAAGTGGTCCTGAATAATCTTAATTAATATTAAACAGTTCAAGGCCCAACGCAGGGATGGTTCCTCTAGAGTGGAGGCGATGGCCACCCTCCTAGGCTACAAGAAGGAGAGTATAATAGAGGGGAAGAGAAAGCTAGTGTAACATATAACCGATAGACAGACGTAGGGAGGAGTTACAGAAGGTTGTCCTTGGCGTAAATTCGGAGCAAATGTGGACATCGCTACAGCTGCCGGTCCTTTCCATTACTCGTAAGTAGTATAGGTAGGAGACCCTGTGGACCAGCAACGCTGATGATAATCCGCAACGTGCCGATGATCGTCTCTGGATGAAATGCCCGCAACAAACTCGGCTTCAAGAAAAGGAGCCGGGCCCCTCTATAGTCTTCCACCGGCGAAGTGCCTGGCAGTTGACACGCCCACCTCTGATCCCTTCCAAAAGGAGAAGTTCGCAGATTTGAACTGGGAAAGAATTGCGTGCCGGAGAATTTCATTTAGGTTAATGAACAGCGCTTCGGCATTTCAAACTGCAGTCCTTTTGCTTAGGGTCCATTCAATCTTCGACCCTTGGAGCTGGTTGTTGGAACGCTTATTCACGCTTAACTAAGTTGGGCGGATAGCCCCAGGCATCATCCACCGGCCCATGCCTATCATGACCACTTAAGACTTTCGGATAGTGTCCGTAGCCTCACTATATCTCGCGGTGGAGCACGGCGTTTCCAGCATTGTTTAAATCATCGTTCAGCTTTCCACGGAAAGGTCACCCAGGGCCTCCAACGGGCTTGGTTTTCAAGCCATGGGTAAGCCATCCATCTGAAGCTCACATGCATGGACCATAGCTTTTTTTTTTCTTTTCTTTCCCCTCCCCCCCTCCCTTGTGGCGGTATTGAACCATGGCGACCTCATGGGTTGAACCCTGGATGTTCGTAATTCGTGTTTCGGCCACTGGTTCATCCTCCGCATGGATTAACATCGGTGGATTCGAACTTTTACGATCTGCAGCCACTGAGCCGGCGTAGGTTTGCCGATTATGTTGGACTCGAACAATGTAATTGTTCCCAACGTATTGTATTGTATGAAATTTAGGGGACCACTAAATATGTTCATCGTTCGTGCGCCATTGATGGGATGCACCGCTTTGTGCGTAAGCTCCTTCCAAGCCTCGTAGCTAGTACGAGACGGGTGAATTCTATCAGAAACATTGCTCGTACCAATGCTCCTTAGTTGGACAAAGGAACATAGTCGCTCTGCGTTGTTTGTCCAAAAATTTGCTTGCTGCCGCCACATGGGCTAATCGTTGGAAGGTCAACACGAAGAGAGCATGGTCCAGCCCTTATTCCAACAGACTAAGCAGACACACTAGGAACTGTACGAGTCAGCTACAAGTAGTAGGGAGATGACGGCCCACCGGCGAGTAATGCCCTTTTTGTTTCTCGCCCATTAGGCGTCGGCTTTAATGTATTGTTTGGGAATAGTACTAGTAGTGTAGGGTACCAGGCCGAAGCGCCCGAGCGAATCATACTGACATTTTGGAATTTTCCTGTCAATTGTGGCAGGGGCTCAATCCCAAGGGGCCCACCGGCGTGCTAATCGGCCATGTGTGTGGTGCCAAGAAGCAGATTGAGGAAATGTTGCCATTTCTTGGCGCGGCCAGCCCTGCATACGCGTCACGTGGAAGACGCGGGATCATGTGCTGATCTGAGTCAAGTTTTAGCCATGGATCATTACCTCATCCGGTTTCGAGTCTCCACTCAGGTGATATTGGAGCTAGTCTCAAAGAAGAAGGTCACGTTGAACATCATCATCATCATTGATATGATCATCATGACCACCCACTCTTACCAACACCTTCCATCTTTCCTGATCTGTACAGCATTGGGCCATTTCCTCTCCCTCTATAATACGGTATCTAACCAAATTTTATCCTATCATATTCTTTGTATCCTTGTATCGGCCAGCTTGAACAGTGCTTAGCTTTTATTACTCTAGCCCGCCCAAATAGCGGCTCGGATGCTGCAAGGAGCACCATTCCTTTCTTGATCTAGCAATTGTCCTATTCGTAATACCATTCTAAAGAGAGAAGTCAGGCAAGGTACTTTCCTGCCTGAGCTCCTCGCTGACATCCCTTCCGATTCTAGATAGAGTGTATCTAGTATGTCCCTACCTCGAGTCTCCTATTTGGAGTCATGGGAACATAATCCAGCCTCAATCCGTCGTCAAGACCAATCATCAATACCCGATTCAGAGGATGATGCGGCATATCACGAACTCCCAGAAGAGTCGCTATCTTCGTCGTTCCCTTCAACAATCAGCTTTCCAGTCTCCAGGCAGCGCCTAAATTTCAACCCATATGCCGGACCAGGCTGGAATGAGGCATCGGTAGAGGATGCAGGAGACGAGCGTACCTCCCTCTTAATAGTACCTTCTCAGACACTCCGGCCTGGTCACGTAGAGGGAGAAGACAGGGTGACACAAAACGGTCTTGCGAAACAGCAGGAAGCGTCGATACTAGAGACAACCAGCGCGTTTGAAGTTGGTCGGGCAAAACGGATCTGTAAGCTCAAGCTCCTCCCTTTACCTCTGATTGATGCTAATCTCTCATAAAGTGCAGGTCTGTATTGCAGTAATCTACTGTTTCCTCGCTGCGGGCGTTGTCTTTGGTTTCGCGGCACTGAAGCCGGTGTTAATTCGGGAAGGCGTTTACCACAGTATGTGCTCGAAAGAGGAGCTAAATGAACGCCAAGATGTGTGCTACACACAAGAGCTTCGGTAAGTGCTCCAGCAAATTGCTCTGCTCGATCGATTCGCAACTCACACTACGCTTAGTCTCAACCTGATGTTCACCATAGCCGCTGTGGCGACCAACGTATCTGCCCTTCCAGTCGGAACTATTCTGGACACGTACGGCCCGCGCGTGTGTGGTATCATTGGAAGCGGTCTCCTTTCTCTTGGTGCTATACTTTTTGGACTCTCAGGTAGCATTGGCTTCGACGGATACATCCCAGGGTATCTTTTCTTGTCTTTGGGCGGGCCGTTTATATTCATCTCATCCTTCCATCTTTCGAACACATTTCCTACCCGCTCGGGGTTGATCCTGTCCATGCTCACAGGTGCATTCGATGCCTCCAGCGCACTGTTCTTAATCTTCCGTCTGATTAACGAGAACACAAACGGCCGGTTCACAACCGGAAAATTCTTCTTAGCTTACCTCATTGTTCCAGTACTTATACTAGCCGCACAGCTGACCATCATGCCAGCAACATCTTACAAAACAGCTGGGGAGCTAGTTCAACAAGCAGAAGCCGAGATTTCCGCCGAAGCGAACGACAGGGTGGATGATGATATCTCAGATCGGAATGAAGGCGAACGGCAACGGAATGACCGTCGCGTTCAGCGCCAAGATATCGTCAACAAGATCCAGGACCTCCTCACAGAGAGAGGACCTGATCACGCATCTAGAACCGAAGAACCAGTACTCAGAGCCAATGGAGGCGAACCAGATACCCCATCAGCAACAAAGCCCCAGAACACCACCGGTGGCGTTTGGGGGGCAATGCACGGCTGCTCGGCTTTACAACAAGTTCGATCCCCATGGTTCGTCTTCATCACTCTTTTCACTGTACTCCAGATGCTCCGAATCAACTATTTCGTGGCCTCAATGCGCCAGCAGTACGAATACCTGTTCGGGTCGCCCGAACAAGCCCGGAAGATCAACGAACTATTTGACTTTTTTCTTCCCCTTGGCGGTCTTGTTTCTGTGCCTTTCATTGGAGCTATCCTCGACAACGCCAGTACCCCCTTCGTCCTCCTCGTGCTCGTATCAACCGCAACCGTGATCGGTGTTCTCGGTTGCATTCCTCATAGCATTGAAGCCGGATACACAAACATCGCCATCTTCGTCATCTATCGCCCGTTCTACTACACCGCTGTGTCGGACTACGCAGCCAAGGTATTCGGCTTCCAGACATTCGGGAAGGTCTATGGGCTCATTATCTGCCTATCGGGGTTGGGTAATTTTGCACAAGCAGGTCTTGACGCCCTCACCTTCAAGGTATTTCACCGTAACCCAATCCCTGTAAATGCTATCCTCACCCTTGTGACCTGTTTGGTCGGCATCGGATTGGTTGGTTTCGTTTGGTGGAGAGCAGGGACCATTTCCACCACAAAGCCAGAACTTGGAATCCTGGAGAACGGAGATGTCCAGATTCCCAATGACCACGATGGTATCGCGACTAGAGATTGGGAACGGGAACCCTTGTTGTATCGGCCTCCGTCGAACGTGGCGCGGCATGCAGAATCGCCGTCATACGGCATTTCAGGTCCATCGTAGCATTCATTAGTCTGTAGCGTAGCGTAATTGGGTTTTTTTGCTTTTCACGGTAGAGATATATCTCATGTGTGACCTGCGAGAAAGGATAAGCGGTCATTGTTGTGCTTCTGTATGTACTGCATTCGAATGCAATTAACAATATATTTGTATGTTATGAATTGCACTTCTCTCAATACAGCATTAAATTTAATTAGATATATAATCCACACATATCATACAAGACCGATGATATCCCAGGTGTGCAAATAATTGATCTCTAACCCAACTCCTCGCAAAACCAGTACTCCTTCCGAAACCCTCGTGATTGTCATAAGTCATAGCCCGCCTCAACTTTTGTGATGGGTGTAAGAAATGCGAAAATCAGGAGGAAGAGAGGATGAAAATGATGTAATGTAGAATGAAGAAAACCAAGGGGCAACGTTAGCCAATAACACCCCCCAATCTAAATGCACTATTTGCCCGAAACCGTACTATATAAGAGGTAACGGACATGTTCAATCTGAGTTCGATGGACGAGCGGACAGTCTCTCGATTTCCAGCCAGAGGTTGTTGCCCGCATCGTCACAGGCTGCGTCGTACCAGGGTAGCAGCACGACGATTGCCCGAAGGTCGGCCCAGCAGGTGATGTGGCTATATCGTACTGTTTGCATAAGCGTGGCCACATACCAGTCTCGGTCCACAGTGCCTTCGGCCGCGATGCCACCCAGGGTCAAAACCCATAAAAGGGTGACGCGGGCTTGCGGTTGGTCCCAGACAGTTAGGCAGTCGGGAACCTCGAGAACACCCTTAAGAAGGCTAGAGAGTTTAGCCAGTGGGGTGCTTTGTGGTGGTAGGGGGAAGACCACGCCAGATCCATATATGCAGCCCGCGAGACGACAGGCTTCGTAGATGATCTCATGGCGTTGATGATAGCCACTGAAGCCAGGGAGTTGACTGGCAGCAGGGAGAGATAATAAGGTGTATTGGACCAAATTGCGCTGGTCGGCAAGCAGGGAGTAATCCGTTCTGATTTGATTTCCCTTGAGGTAAGCATCCACAATACTCATGTAAAGGTCCATAGCGTGGAAGACCTCCATCATCTCTGTGGTAAAACCGATCTGTCGGAGTCGGCCGTAATGACGGTCTACATCGGCCATGGTATACCCAAGCATGTCTCGCAATGGAACCTTCTTCCGCTCCGCCCGAAGCGGAATGAAAGGAAAGACTGGAGGCGTATGATATGCACTCGAGGTCACGATATCCGACCTAGGATGGACTGTCAGCTTGGAATTGGTAACTCTATCACGTGGAGCAACTTACAGAGACACTACGGGAGCCAACCCAGGTAGGTCGATCGCTTCAAGGCCACCCCGAAGATTAATCATTGAGATCAACCCTTGGACATGAACCAGGTTTGGCCGCAGACTGCCATAGACGTCGATCCATTGCAACCGCCGCATGGGTGATGTGAACGGAATGTGTCGAAACTGTCGTTCTTCGCTAATATCTGTTGCATTATGTGCCATACACATTACACTTAGAATGACCGCGTTGCTAATCGCTCGGCCTGGCTTGTTCATTTCCTGATTGATCAGCTCGATGGTCTCCATTTCGCAGACTCTTAGAAGCTGCTGCTCTCGCTCCCGAAATGCGCCGTCCGGGATCCACCGGTTCAGCCACTGTACCCGTTGATGCGAGAGTGAACCGAACGTGATGGCCGTCATTAGAGTCGGCTCAGACATCATCAAGGGGAACCAATTCAAGGCCGAAACATCCGATCTACTGGCCCCTGGAGTAAGGGTAGGCCATAAAACGGATGTACCTAACAGTACTCGTTAATAATTGATTCTCCAGCCGTCAAAAGTGGTCATCAATGATGCTTCATCTCCTACTTACAATATGCCTGGCATGCGTTGGCGATTTCTGGAGAATGACGCCAAGGGTAGGTCATAAAAGGATCGATGAAATTCGCACCGATGGTCTCGATATGCTCGATGGGGCCTGGGGGACTGGAGCTTTCTGGACTTGACCCCTGTGAATCGTAGCCATAGTCATACTCATATTCATTGTCGTACTGATTTGCCGTGCTATCAAGATATAACTGAGAAGTGGGGACCACGGACATTGTCGGCTGTGCATCCCAGACACTGGTAGGGACGGTTTGTACAACCGTTAAACTATTATTCGAGGAAGCTGATTCAGGTGAACAAGATGAACCTGAGGATCGAGAGGATAGCGAAGGGGGGTATAGGTTTAGCATCGTCTCGTCTCCATCAAGATCAACAGTGCGCGACGCATCCTCTCGAGGCGCATCACGGCTCGAATTCGCTTCTGATTCTATCGAGCGATCTTTGGTTTGGTGGGAAATCCATTTGCCCACATGGGCCCTAACCAAACGCTGTATCTTTAATCGTTCTCTCTCCGAGGACGGCCGAGCATTGACGAAATGAATGGCGTCCTTTGTGCGCCCAGCAGCACCTTTGCTTGGAGGCATTTCCACCTGTTTAATCGGACACAGCCCATCACATATATTAACTAGGTTCGATGTGTAATTTGGGCGTCAAACCAGCATTCTGCTGCCGTTCAGCTGCACGGCGCGCCAGGTGCCCACTGCTGCTGGCAGTGAGCGTTTCAGGCAGTATATTGACCGTTAAATTCAAGTTGTGACCGGCAGGATTTGGGGATGAGACTGAGACACCAATGCTGTAGTTCGGACAAGGGGAACGCGCGGTTAAGCGGCCTTAATCATGGGCGACATGGTCGCCATTAGTTTATAGGAGGGTCAAAGGAAAGATAGATAGTCACGGCCCACAAGGAGGAAAGTGAGAGAGGAACGAGGGGATTAAATTTCGTGGGGAAAGATTGAGACTGAGGACGGGATTTGGAACAATTAATTGACTAGCCAACGAACTAGCAGATAGTTATAATCATAGTGGGGGAGGAAGGAAAAAGGGTAAGTCGGAGAAGGAAAAAAGAGAGATCAGATCGACGCATGAAGAAAGTGGGAGGCGCCTCCATTCTTCGGGACTGCTCCCCCCGTGACCCGCACCCGGATCTTCGTCAGTGATGTCGGTGGGTTCCGAGTTGATGAACGCTTTTTCCTTTTTCCATTTTTTTTTTTATTTTAATTCTTCCTTTCTCTCTCTTTCTTGCATTCCTTGGTTCCCCCTCTCATGGGTCAAGAAGGTATTTTAACTTTGGTCTGACAAAAGCTTTGTGGTTCCACCTATTTTGCCAATAAGTCTTATCGTTCTGGGTCTTCTCATCCGAGTCTCATGGTGGATCGACAAAAAGTATCATTCTTCTTTTGCATTCGGAACACCTGCCAATTCTTTTCCTAATGTGGATTGGAGTATTTATTATAATACGATTAAGCTTCATTTCATTTCCTTTCTATTCTTTTCAACCCCCTTAAATGTGACCTCTCACATTTTTAATTGCTTTTTCCATTATTACTCTAATACTTGACTTGAACTATGTGATTGTCTCTCTCTTTCCGGGATGATCATCCCTTGCGCCCCCATCGATTGTTGAACTATTGGAATCTAAGCAACAAGCGTGCCTGGATATAATTTGCGGGGACCACTCAGACCATGCAAGTGGGCAAGATGACATCTCACAAAAAGCAGTGTGATACTCAGATATTGATTTGAACTGCATATGATCGTCTGCGACAATCACCCTGACGACATTGGCCACAAATGGCGTTGAATTGAGGCTACCCAACGAGGAACGCTAGAGTTACACCACCATTTCAAGAATCCATGTTGTAAAATGATCAACATGCCTCCTGCCGGTTCATGCGGCTTGGTCGATGCTTTCTCACTTTTATCCCTATCCCAACCGCTATTCGCATATCACCGCTCATGACTGAACCACTGTTTCACCGTAGTCTACCCCATCCTGCCCCCTGCCGCCTTCAGCGCTGTACTAACACCGACATCCACGGTTACGACAGGATAGTTATTGGTCTGCTCGTGAAGTTTTCGACAACATGCTTCTGAGGAATCTTTTGCGCATGTCAGCACCATTCGGTTGACAACACGAGGCGCCATCACCTGCAGCCACACGCGGAGTCAAACCGTTAAGACCCTGTCAATCCAGCCTTCTACCCAGAGATTCGCGCGCGATGACGGGATTTACCCCGACATTATGGACTGGACCCGGTATCTGGCCCGATACGAAACCGATAACCCGGAAATTCCACTCTCGCTGTCTCACCATCCCTCCCATCTGCACGGCGGAGTGTAGAGAATCAGCAGCAGTCCTATAATTGATGGCAACCACTTACTTCACTTACTAGAAGCACGCCATCAAAACCACCGACGGGCCTAGAATACCAGCAGACACTCTCCAGCATCCTTACAGGATGCCATCACGTCTGCCAGCTAGTACTAGATGATCCACATCTTTGACATCCTTGCATGGCGGGTCGCGCTGAGTGGAGATTGGACAGGTGGCCATCTCACTTTAACTCTCCTCCACTTTAGAACTGACATGAATGACCCACTCTTCCTGCCATCCGTAAGCTGTAGGTACCTTGCCTTTTTTTTTTTTTTTTTTTTTCACCCCTGGAGGAACATTCCCATAGCTACAAGCATGCGCCGCTCCAATCACCTATTGCACGGAGAAGGAACTGCATGAGTTTCAAATCCCGGATGCGTCGACAGGTACGTTGCCCCTTTCTACAGACATCCGTGCGCCAGTCACCGGCAGTGAGCAGGTGTCTGTCAGGACCGCGAGAAGCAGAATGTCAGCCTAGATTATGCTTCGCATGGAGCTACTTGTTAACCCTTAGTTGCCCACATGACAACCTGTTTGTCCGCATAAATGGAGGCATGGGTTCCAGGAGGCGAAGCGGTGTGTCTTGAACACGAGAAACCTTCTCTCTCTGCCTTTGCGACCCATGCTAACCACTTGAATGAAACTATAACTATTATGATCAGGATTCATTTGAGAATGATGTACAGAGACAAGATACATAGTTAAAGTAGTTATGGAAAGGTTAATTCACAAAAGATAGGGTATTGGTACGTGGCTGCCAAGTATCTATGGTTCATCGGAAAGCCACCCATGGAATTGAGACGCCCACCCAATGAATGATACACAATGGTATATCAATAGAGTTCCGCATGTACTGAGCGACATCCGTCTAGACTCTTTCCTAATTATGTTCTATCTTCCGAGAAAATGATGTCACCACGACTGGATATCTGATGACTGATGGGCGGCAAAAGCACAGGCACACTCGGTACGGCCAAATCTGTCAAACCTGAAAGCTTGATTACAGAATCCTAGAGCCATTCAATGTAACCCTACCGAACCTAATTAGTCAATTTCGATCAAAGTATACTTGCCGCTCTCCCCGGTCACCGGATCCCGGTACTGTTCTAGTGCCTTCTCCACTGCTTCCATGTATCCGAGCACCTTCTCCTCCTGCCATCTTCTGCCAACGACCTGCACTGCTGTGGGGAGTCCAGCCATCTTCGCCGCGTCGTAGTGCTTCCAGGCGCCCTGGGCGATGGCGTTGTTGGCGTCCAAGCCCTTGAGGATCTTCTTGTAGGGTGCTGTGAGCGCGTCCCGCTTGGCGTCGACGTGGGAGACGGGGAGCACACCGGCTGTGTAGTCGAGGAGGTTCCAGAGGAAGGTGTACCCGCAGGAGGAGACAGCATCGCGCATAGCCTTGTGCGGGAGAGCTGGGGTGGCGTTGACGGGGCAGAGGATGAAGTCGTACTGCTGGGGCTCAGCATCCCACCAGGCGTGCCAGGTAGCGCGGAATGACTCGCGCTTGGCCACCAGCTTCCAGGTTTCGGCGGAGGACTTGGGAGAGAATGTGCGGATCAGGCTGGCCCATTTGAAGTCCCGTCTGATGTACCGGACGTACAGGTAGTACAGGTAGCGGAGGGGACGGGGAAGGTTGCAGATGCGGGTGAGTTGGTCGGCGCCTGGGTCGGAGGGCTCGAAGTTGTACCGGTGGGAATTGAATGTGACACAGCCATCTGAGTTGAGGAGCTGAGAGGCGAGGTGAAGACCTGTGAAGGGGTCGGCGGTTGCTGGGGTTGTGATCTCGGAGACGGTGTGGCCGGCTGCCCTGAGAGCAGCGACTGTAGTAGAGAGAGCGCGTTCAATTGCTGGGGTTGGGGGTACGACGCCTGTGGATGGTTAGAGAGGGCAATTTAGCAGGAATCTAAGTGATCTTACCATCGTTGGTCATTAGTCCGATACGCAAGCTTTTACTCTTGGCTTCGGACTCATCTTCGTCGCGCCAGGAAATGGGATGAACGGTGTAGTCATACTTCCAGGGTTTCATACTAATTATGGCCTTGGTGAAGTAGGTAAGATCGTTCAGGGTACGAGCCATAGGGCTGAAGACACTTGGGACACCTTCTTGGCCGGCCATGCTGGTGTTGACTCCCACCTTAGGCCAGCGACCAGTACTGCAGCGTAGGGAGTAGATGCCGCTCCAGGCAGCAGGGACACGAACAGAGCCTGCGACGTCCGAGCCAATGCCGATACGGCCCCCCAAGGCTAGTAGCGCACCTTCACCACCGGTCGAACCTCCAGGGGAGTATTCTGGGACATGAGGGTTACGGCAGTGGCCCCAGAGCGCATTAGCAGACTCAAAGGACAAAAGAGTCACTGGCAGTGCTGTCTTTGCATAGGGTACAGCACCTAGAAAAGGTAAGAAGTTGTCTATCCATGTACAGGGTATGCAGCACTAACCAGCATCCTTCAACAGCTTCGCCATGGGGCCATCTTCAGTGTATGGCTTTTTAGCCAGCCGTGTGTAACCGAGACTGATATCGAACCCTTTGACTTGCACCGAATCTTTCAAGGAAACAGGCACACCCGCCAAGGGGCCCTTGAGGTTGACTTCTGACTGTAGCCACGACTCGGCCTCGGGGAGAAGAAGCTCTGTTACACAGTTGGTCTTTTCTTGGGCCTTGACGGCTACCTTGCCGTATGTCTGGAGTATGTCGGCGGCCGAAATCGAGGAGGATTGGACCTCCTGGACCAGCTCTTCAATGGGCTTGTTGATAACGGCTTTGTCAAAGGTTGTGAAAGGGGCATGATATGCTGCGGGGAGAGATGCGAAACGGGCAGCCCGTTCTCTTCTCTTGTAATCCCTGCGGGTTGTTAATGGGTTTTCCACCTCCGAATGGGTAGCTATACACTATAGCTCCGCAAGGGAGTGGAGCGGGATGACAGTGGAGACTTACCGAACACTACGATATGTAAAATAGTCAAACGGCGGAAGCATCTTGAATGGTAAGCTTGCCTGAGGAGATTCCTACAGGAGAAATTGAAGAATACCTTAGGAAGTCAGAAGAATGCGACACGAAGCGGAATTGGAGCTCTATTTATTGCGGGGAACGACAGTGCGGAGAGACTTGCGATAGGACCCGCTGATAAGCGCTGCCGGAGATGTGAGCCGTTAAGGCACTTCAAGCTCCCATAAAGCCTACTACATACCTCCCATACAGCCCTTTATAAAAAAGACACTTGTTGCTTCGATCAGCTATGCATTGTTTACTCCGTAGGCTCATTTTTCACGATTGATACGGCTGCAAGAGCAGAGATAGACAGCACTTGAGCGCCTGAAGCAGCGCCTCACGTGACTGCTATTGTGCCGACTGCCGGATATCGAGTCAACCCTTTCAGGCAAGTCCATGCGGACAGGTACAACGAGACGAGAGCATTAAACATGACCTCTCTTCTTATCTTCTCCTTTATCACAAGATAAATATGATCCGTAACATGACCTCTGATTGGCTAAGCCCCACACACTGTTCACTCCCACTCCCTCGATTAACCTATGCCGAAGTGATGCCTGACCAGATAGGCACCAAGGCTAGCGAAAGGGCATGCATACATCACAGAATAGGAAACATACATTTGAATCCAGCTAGTACAAGATCATACATGTTCAGTGAGAAAAGCAGACAGGCTAAGGCGAGGTACCTGTGACATCATGGAATCGAAACATCCTGGGTATTTCCTATTAAGTCAGAACCTTCAACGCCTTCAAAGTCAAAAAGCCGCCCATGAGACCTGCTCAATTATAACTCAAATATCAATTAAGAGTTGCTGTGTTGTAAGAGGACAGCGAGATGAATGGTAGTGTTGCGTTTCCATGCCGCTTCTTGTCGCGTGGTCTGTAGTATCGCCATATCAAGTTATCGTGGGTTGCCCGCTGTAGACGACGCCCGCGTATCCACATAGAACCGGGACCCGTATAAGTGAGCATGCACCAGGCAATCGTGACACAAATTTCAAGTTGATATACCGCCAGTATCGGTCCTCCTGGCGTGTTACGACTTGCGTAACCAGTTGTGAGAATGGAACCACCAAAGAACCACCACTGCACCGGCAACCACTATAGCAAACGCTGCAAATATCAAGAAGCCACAACAGATCCATCGACGTCGTTTCTTGCGTTGCTTCAGAATCCAGTCATCCCTGGGTTCGGCTGTTAGTGAACATAATCTAGAAACCCAGACATCGTTGTCCCAAGCAGAAAGCCCGGGGAGAGGGTCATTCGAGCTTACGAGTAAATAACAACGCTCTTGTTTTCCGTCTTTGAAGCCTTTGCTTCCTCGTCTAAATGGATGGCGCGTGAGAAGCGCCTCCAAAACGCTGGGTCTCGAACAAGAGCCATTCTGTGAGGTTTATTGTTTACACGTTGGAAGACATAGGGACCGCTTCCAATCGGCCCTTGAAATGGGGTGTGTTGGTGTACTCGAGAGGTGTAGCTCTTGGATGGTATGAGGGTCTTGTGGTAAATATCAAGTTGGTCGAGGTAATCCTCGCGTGTAATGAATTCACTTTTGTTACCGGCGTCTTGTGTCACGAACACTGCCTCCTCCTTCTTTCTCAGCAGAGAGTAATTAAGAATAGGTATGATGATAATTTGAACAAAGGGCTTCACAGGATAAAAAAAAATGGGTCTTTTGCTCAATCAATCTGCGAGTGGCGAAGACATATCAGGCTGTCTCCTCAAAAGTAATGAGACTCGAAGCGAAGCACCCAGACAAAGAAACGGAGAATTGAAAAGGAGACACGGTGCGCACGCCCCAACAACAGTGTTGTGCCATTGAGCCATATTTACTCATTCTTCCATCGGATTGAATGTAGCAGATTGGGGCTTCGCATTCCAGGTGCAAGCCCACTGGAATGACAGGACCAGTCTAAGGCCCGCTGTGGAATCTCCGATCGGCGGCACGCTAACCAATTACACCTCTCCAGCTTCACCAAGCATCCCCGTTGTTTGTTTATGCCATACAACTCGATGGGGTGGTCTGGAACTAGTTTCAGCAATTTGGATTTTAGCGACTTTTTCGGTGACATGATAGTCAATTATCAGGTCGATCACTTAACATCCCATTAGAGTAGAAGGCGTTATTAATATACAAGAAGCTTCTCAGACGGGTGGTTGAAACCCCCTTCAATTAGAGATTAAACTCAGGTTCTTACCGACTCTCCGAGGTTTGATCTGCGCGCGGTACATATTTAGAGACTTCTGTGGAAGCGAGATCTCAAGGAATGCTCCTCATCGATCAACAAGTCTATTCGATGTACTCCGTATATGAGTAACTTGTACGAAGTAGGCATCCTCGCAGCACACTTGCATGCCAAGTCTTCTTCTTCTTCTTCTTCTCCCCTTTCCACGTGCAACTGGTTCAGACCATCTCAACATGGTAAACATTCATAGGACTAATGTATATCCGAGTTGTTTTGCATTTTTCGCTGAACTATGGCGGGATTATGTGGCTTCCTTCCGTGTTGAGTCCCAAAATTCGAGTCATGGAATTAAGCTCAAAGTTTCTTAAATACAGAAAATCATATTTAGGTAATTTATTTTTACACGAAGAATGCTCTCCTGATCAGGCAGGAGACAATAGTGCACAGCATATTATGTTCATTACCGCCGGGTATAGATATCATCACAACTCAATAAAACAATCACATAAAGGGAGGGGAAATGAGAGAAAAAGAAACAAAGTGAAAAGTAAAAATAAAAAACTCTACGGAGCTACATCTGAAATTTCAAATCTATTTAAATAAAGAACTAGGTGTAATAAAGCTACAAGAGAGGACAAGATAAGGACCAGAAGAATACAATAGCCACACAAGATATATATATATATATTCTGTTGTGGAAATGATACTTGCTATAATGTTCAACAGGGTAACTTTCTGAAATTTGAGAATTATCCAATATAGATCCTACATGCAGACAAAGTCGCTTCTTTCGATTTATTATGACTAACTTTTGTTATTTTTCTAGCAATTAAGAAAGAAGTGTTCGGAGAGCATGGATCCTAAGGTAGGTAAGATCCGTGCACCTGACTGGTGGCTTTGGTGGCCATACTCCTCAGGCACATGCGGGGTTTTGTTTGTTCACCTGCTCAGGCACCCAGGCACTCTAGGCGATATCCCTGCCACGAAATGGGACCAAACGGGTTTCCTGCAGGTAAACTGCTGCAATCTTGCAACCTTCCATCCTCAGGTTCCATTTTCGTCTACCACCTGATTCGTCTTTCTCTCGTAAATGAGGCGGATCGGGCTGACCGCCTGCCAGCAAACAGCATCATCATTTGGGCTCCCCCACAGTGGAGCGATGACGATGGGTGCCTAACCGCCGAGTGTGTGGCCTGTTACTGTCCATGACTGGATACACTTCTTGATCGCTGCGGTATTACTCTGCCCACCTTTCCAGCTTTATTCGCCTTGTCACTCCAGCTTCATTAATGCAACGATCGCGGTCGCTGCTTTCAAATGTCTTCGTCGCGGCCCAGACTCTTGTCCGGCCATGTCCTCCGTCCACAATGAGGGCGCCGATTTTTGGGGAGTGTTGATTAACCGCGACAAGAGCCCCACCCCGTTACTCGAACAACTGTGCTTAGGGATTGCGCAGGTAATGGTAAGTGGGAAAAGAGTTCCTCGCGTTCGCAGGAGGTGACACAATGCTCCAAATGCTGAACTCTGTCCAGACTTCCTTCGACGAATTCGCGACAACGGACCTGACGCCCGATCGCCTGGCAGCATTTTACCGAAAGGTTGGCGGTAATTACGACGTCTTATTCCTTGAAACGAGGCCTTCCGCTCTTTCGTTCATATACCAGCGTTTAGGATGCTTCCACAGCATTCAGCCTACCAACGATCCCTACAAACCACCCTCTATCCCCGCTCTACAGCCTAATGGCTTTGTGCGATGGCAAACAATCCAGCTTCTACTCGACCCGGATGAGCACTCGAGGTGGTTACAGAATGCGGTTGATTTATGGGACATTGAGACTTCCAATGGTGGAACGTTTCCCAAGGTGATCCCTAGAGGGGCTTTCCCTGCAGAACCCGACCCGGAGATGGTACAATGGCATGAAGAGGTCAGCCGACGGTTCGAGCTTGACTACTGGAAGAAGAATATCCTGCGCTCCTCCCCTCCTAATTTCGCTCCTTACTATTCATACTTCAGCCAGAAGGATGTACCGACCCATAAAGAAGATGAACCACCTCGGAGTCAGCGTCGAACAGCCCCTCACCGTCAAGAGCCTACCACCGCAAGTGAGCGTCGAAACCACCATAAACACAGGCAACGAAGAAGCGACGACAAGCACACCTCCACTACTCGCAGGGTACAATCTACATACTTTCCGCGACAATCTGAAAACTTTGACACCGGGTATACGTCTCGACCGTCATCTCCACCGATGTGGGCAAAAGAGACCACCAAGTCGCGGACGCGCGAGCGCCCACAGGCCTACGGGCGATCTGTGAGTCCGGGAACAGTGCCAGGGTACGGAGCATCAGATGCATCTTCCGAAGACTCGGGATCAGCAGCACCAGAGCCTCCAAGGTCAGGTCAATACAGTTACCATCGCAATCTATCACCGCCGCGAGTGTCCCATACACGCCGCCACTCGCACGAAGCATACGCCCGCCGACCTCGAAAGGAATTATCTCCCGATCCCTACAAATACCCCGCATACCCCGATACATATCCCTCTAATCCGGGAAGATTATACGACTCCGATGGGGCGCGAAGAGTACGTCCCTCCAAAGCATACAACGATGAACCGCTCCAGCACAGAGCATCAGGCGTTGGTATCCGCGAGCGCGTCGTCAGCGACCCACCACCCGCTTTCCCACCTGGTCGCGAAGTGCCTGTATTCACCCGCATGCATTCTCGTTACGTCGGCACTGGCGATACCTACATCGTCCATCCCTGTCCAGACCTCGAGCCGATGAGCGACCGACGTAATAGCTATCACCGACCCACTAATGCAAATCTCACCTCAAATGCAAATAGTACCTGTACGCCGGAGCGCGCGCGCTATATCGATCCTCGGAACCCTCGGTGGGCGGCACCCGTCCAGAGTCCTTCAAAGAGAGGCGTGCTAGTTCAACCGACCGACACCGAATATTCCCGAGGCAGAAGGACGGCCATGTATGATCGCTAAAAAGGTACAAAATCGAACATCGCAACGCGACAGTAATGATATGTGTTTTATTTGATTAAGTAGAAGCTTATCAAATACTGACAGCCCTACTAACGACAGCTTACCCGACTAACACTAGTCGAACCACTACTTGAGCAAGGCTGACTGGGTCTTGCAATCCTGACATCAAAGTTCTGGGGAATTGCCGCTAAATTCGTCCGGCTCAACTTTACGAATTATGATTGATGACGATGCATGGAATCTTAAATGGACATGACTTTGGGCAGGCTATTTCGGTGATTACATTTGTGTTTTTTGTTTCTGGGAGGCTGTTCTTGCATTTTTCGAGCACGACTTGCGTGAACTTCGGCTATCACGATTCACGATTACGACTTACGACAGACTAGCGATTGGATTCTCCCCTCTTTTCAATCAATGCATTAATGCATTAATGAATCATATATGATTCCTAGTGCGTATACTACATCTGTTCACAATCGTAACACGACCTCATTAACCTCATACCGTCCATGTCCGTACGTGATTATTAAGCATTAAGCCGTAAAGTTGGCATTCTGAAATGTAAAGCCGTAATCCTCAAAGACAGCACACTTCCTCGACAGACCGGGATTATCAATCCAAGAAGGCGGCATGCCCAACAAACTGACATTCCGCTGCTCAGGCCGATACTCAGGCACCCGGTACCCGTTCGTCACGAAGATATCATACGTAGACGCATAGGCCGGGCCACGGACCTGCAAGAAGGCCTGATCTGGGTTCGGGTTACGAGAGCGGAAGAACGAGCCGAAGACATCGTTCAGTAGCTGCGAATGGAGGATGTCATCCTGGTCGTAGTAGGGCTCTACGTTGCGGGTTTTGCTGTTGAGGGTTCCCCAGACGGGGAGCACGTCTGAAGCGTGGCAGCTGGCGTTGTAGTTGTTGTTTGGGGAGCAGATCTCTGGCACGGAGACGTTGGTCTGGATGTGGCCTCTCGTGAGCTCGACTTCGTAGAGCTGGGGGAAGACACGGTCGCCGCCTTTGCGGAGGAGGTAGGACTGTGCACAGCTCCATTCGCTGTGGGTTAGGGCGTCGGCGGCGACGTTGCGCGTGCTGTCGGGGTCGGACATGTTAATGGGGAAAGCGTTGGAGCTGATGAGTGATTCGGCCAGTTTGGCGGGGAAGGCCGCCTTGAATAAGGTGTTGAGCGTCGTTTGGCTTGCGCCGAGGGCGGGCACAGATCGGGCAACGTAGAGGGAGGCTTCGTCGGTGACCGTTGTGAACATGGTTGGGACGCGGTTGGGAAGGCGCTCACTTGCGAGGAGTTTATGGAATTGGTCATCGATTACCCCGCCGCGAGGGTCGACTATGGGCATGAGCGGCTCGATGGCGGCGAGGAGCTGACTGACATGGAGATAGTCTGAGGCGAGGGTCTTGGTCCAAGCGGTCTGTGCCTGTTGGAATTCTGTGGTGTTGCTTATGAACTTGGTTTCTGGGACAGATCGCAGGCAGGATAGGAGGTCCTTCTCGGATGTGGTTTGATTGCAGCCGACGGCCTTGGATAGTTCTGGCACAATGACGTCTGTGTAAACTTCGCGCGTGAACCAGGGCAAGTCTACCGGTGCTGATTGAGCAATGGCTCCGGAGAAAAGACCTCGGGCGGCGGTTGAGGAGAGCAGTGCGACAACGCTCTGCCCGCCAGCGGACTGGCCGAAGATGGTGACCTGTGATGGATCTCCACCGAAAGCTGCGATATGTCTGTTGACCCATTTCAGTGCAAGGATCTGGTCTCTTATGCCGTAGTTTCCGGTGGTGAGGTTGCCAGTCGTCAACCACCCCAGTGCTCCTACTCGATAGTTGACAGTGACAACCACGACATCGTTACGACTGGCGAAGTTTCCACCGTCGTAGTCAATCATAGACGCGCTGCCACTGACGAATGCACCGCCGTAGAAGTACACGGCGACTGGCTTGCGGGTTGAGTTATCGTTTGAGCTCGCAGGTAAGACGGGTGTAAAAACATTGAGGTAAAGACAGTCTTCCGAAATGCCTCCATTTCCCAGTGTTCCAAAAGCCGACAGGGCTTGGACGCAGCTATCGGCCACTTTGGTCGCATCGCGTTTCTTAGGGCCAGAGAAAGGTTTTGGGGGAGCGAAGCGCAGCTCATTCACCGGGGCGTCTGCAAAAGGAACACCAAGGAACCGAAATGATCGTGCGTCGCGATAGCCTGTCAGAGTGTAGTTCTCTGCTTTGACGGTGATCTTGGACGAGCCGACGGCAGTTCTATCTTTGTCGGTGCTTGGCGAGACACTAGATGTGCAAAGTACGGGGAGCTTGGAGCTGCACGGTGCTGATACCAACCGCTTTTGTCCTTGAGAATATGCTTGACACTCGTTCGATGAATCACCAGTGGATACCCAGAAACGGCTATCTGAATGAATGTCTCCTGAAAAGACAAGGTAGGCTAGCTGGTAGTCTATCTCAGAGCGTTCCGACTGACGAGCAGACTTGAGTGGGTAGAGGCTCTCTCCAATGGCAGCGCAGCGTGCTTGTGCCTCAGTGTTAGACAACTCGTCGTATACGAGTACTGCTGTAGTCCCATTGTTCTCAGGTCCGAGGTTGTTGTAGTTCAATGCGCGCAGAGGCCCTAGTGAGCTCGTAGTGGGAGGACCTGTAGCGGTCGGAGCTGCCAGCGCTGGCGAGCAGAGAAGTAGGAAACCGGCGAGAGTCTGCAGCTGCATCTTGTCACGGAATGAGCCAAAGGTGACAATGCGCAGATCTCAGGTTTTGAGCGAATCCTCTTGGAAGTGATAGCAGAGACGGGGAAATTAAGCAGTATTTATATGCATTTCCCGGAACAATCGGAAGCAACGAACACAGCCTGGCTCGTGCTGTTTACTAGTAGGAGTGACCTCAGGATACTAGGTGAGCTGGGGAAGGAGGAAGGTACTAGACTACTAGTAGCCAGTGATATACCGAGCACTAGCTGGAGACAGTTACTAACACGGTTGCAGCGCATTGGTTCCAGTAGTGGTGCTTCTTGTCATGGAGAGCTTTAGCGAGACGACCAATACGAAGGCCTGGCTCGGCAGAAAACTCCCAATAAATAATTAAGCCAAGAGGCACTATCTACGAAGATGGAGTTCCACATCAAAACCTGGAGTAAAAGGTGGGGTCCCACCGTCATCGCCGAGGCTTTCCAGGCCGCATCTCTCAAGGTTCGCCCCATCGGGGATAGTTCCATGTGATCCAACCCTAACCCTGTGCCCTATATCTTTCGCAATTTGCCAGTTCTTTACTCTTGATAGAGGACAAAACCCAATACATTGTGTATGCTGTAGCTTTACTGAGCCCTGGGTGTATAGGCCAGCCTTATCGGAGCTAAAATTGAGCCCTAGGAAGCATTACATAGTCGACAAGAACATTATACACTGCTACCCTCAAATCCTATCCGACTGAACCCCTCTTACCTGTATATACAACGAGCAGTAGACAAGATTGACAAAGCTCTTGAAAGGGTACTGGCTCATTATATGGTCAGTGCTCCTGTCCGCAACAATATATACATACTTGACCCACTTCCTGGAGGACCCTCATACTTAACAATCTCAACGACATACTATCCCCGATCCCTTAAGGATGGGCTGAACAATGAGAACAACCGATCATTACCCCCTCAAATTGAAAAGAAAAGCACTTGAATCCTTGAGATATCATGTTGAGTGATGATCAGCCTCCAGCAAGGCCACAATTGCGGCCCTCTTCCCCAGGCACCCGTACCTTCCTAATCGGGCAACCAGTCTTCCCTTATATTTTTAGGGAACAATGCATAAGTCAATAGAGACTCCGACGGTGCAGTGGTCAGAATCACCGCCATGTTAAGGCAGTGTGACCACTGCGCCAGGAGGGTCTCTGTTCGAATCTGTCACTTGACGCCCTTTTCCTTCCACCGGGGAAAAGGTGTGTAGGGACAGAGACGATCGTAGTAATAAAATCCCGGGCCAGGGATTTTCCCCAGAAACACCTACTAATGATCTCCGGATTGTTAGCAGAGTGGCTAGGTTTTTCTTATTGATTTTGTTCTCTTCTATCTGGATGATCCTTTTCACCTTGATTTTACTTGAGTGTTTCTATTCTCAGCTATCTTACGGCAGTCGTTCTACGCAGTAATACGGCTGCCTCTGGTTCCTTCCCCTCCGTGGCTGTCAATTACCGCAGATTGCAACGCTTACCTTATCGGACTCATCGTCCTTCCAATGTTTAATGCTTTTCATCCCCCATGCACATCCCTACAAACCCCATGACTGCAGCCACCATCCTTGGACATGTTTGCTTACTACGTCAACATCACTGCCTACTATGGTCATCCAACTTCTATCAACTGATGTATGTATTTCTTTTGAGGACTAGTACTTTTCTTATCCTATATAACAATTACTCCAACCATTTCAAAGTACTATACCTTCCACCAAACCGAGAAAACAAAGCAACACAGATAGCTATCAGTGTAAGAATAACCTACAACTCATGGCCTCCGTCAGATGGTTCTAAACATATCTGAAGCTAGTCTTCGCTATGTACGTTAGTATCCAATCCGCTCTAGCATTCATGTATACGCGACGTAAGCTAACCTTGTAGAATATCTTACAGTAGCGACGGCTTCTTATTGCTTATGTCTTCCTACTGGCGCGATCATCAACTCCCCTATCGACAGGCTATTCAGGGATTCAAATGACATGATCGTCTCTTGGCTAAAGTATCTCAAGATCCAACATCTCCACTGCCTTACTAGTAGCTAAGATGTATGCTAACAACTTCTATCGTCCGTACTAAGGTAAATGTTTCCGAGTCGACAGCGACATCTTTCGTTCGCAGTACCTTGAATTTTTGTTGATAATGACAGCCGTGCGAGGAACTGACCAGCATGGAATGTAACCTGATGGGCGTTGATCCTGTGGTGGCAGGTCAATATAAGGCGAGCTGTTCATAGGGATTTTCCCTGGCGAGCGTGCATCGTTTCTTACATATGGTACAAGGGTATATCGATTGCGCTGCAGATCCTGGTCGCTGGCAATATCTTGCATCACCCCCTTTTCGGTGTTGGGGATGCTTACATCGTACGGTCTATGACAATAGTGTCTAGTGGTATTGTATGAATGCAGGTGACCTGGTGACGAAATTATTCGTGCAAGATACAGTAGGTAAGGTTGCCAATGGAATGCTAAGATCTAGGATTTGTCGTGATCGGAGCGAAAAAGAAATATATCAACTACATCAGCCGTCGGACAAGCTTAGTATGATGTATCCCGGAGGGGAATCCAAAAGGAGAACCTTAAAAGGTCATTTCATTCAATGCGATAACCACGGGAAACGAGAATGGTCACGGGTACTTCACCCCGAAACCCGATCCTTAAACCCAAAGATTCCTAAATGTTACATTCAACAGGATGGTGGGTATAAGACAGCGTTTCATTTGTTGACAAACCGTTGATAAGTTCTGCCAGAAAAACGCATCGTCAGAGTCAGAGTCAGCACAGTCAGAGAGAGTGAACTGTGGTAGAGACAAAGACTAGAACGTTCGGTAGCCTCGAGCCTCGGCGATTGCAGGGTGACATTCAATTGATCCGCCACTCCGAGGCGTGATGACAGACTAGGATAATACGGGGTAAGGCGCCCGGTATGTCGTCATCCACCTGCTTGCGGGGACATTTTTTCGGGCCAGAACATCCGCACTGCCGAATGCTGACATCCAGTATAAGTATTATCTTCACGCCCTGAAGGAAAAATTTCTGAATTTTATTTTGCGAGGCAATTGTTACGAAATGATACGCCGCTTGAGTTTCACGACACTCACGGCCCCATTCGTTCCCTAGTTGCGCCCGATGCCGCACCCGCAATGAAAGACCCTAGAGGCGCCGTGCATATTGTGGAAGTAGGACCGCGGGACGGCCTACAAAATATCAAAGACCATGTGCCAACGTCAGTGAAAATCGAGTTGATTCGAAGACTCCGCGGAACGGGTCTGCGGACCATCGAGTTGACGTCGGTAGTCTCTCCTCGAGCGGTTCCACAGTTATCAGATTGTCGAGATGTGCTGCGCATGGAAGATATCAAGTCGCTGCAAAAGGAACCTAATATCCGTCTTCCAGTATTAGTCCCTAATATGAAGGGTCTGGATATAGCACTCGAATACGACATAAGGGAGGTTGCGGTCTTTATCAGCGCCACAGAAGGGTTTAGTAAGGCCAACATCAACTGCACCGTGGAGGAGGGCTTAGAAAGAGCGAGGAATATTGCAGAGAAGGCTACCAGCTGTGGGCTGGCTGTCAGGGGGTAAGTTTGTGTCACTAGATGCATGGGTAGACGTGGCTGACATTTGCGAAGATATGTGTCATGTATTTTCTCCGACCCCTTTGACGGCCCAACGGCGCCACCCGCGGTGCTTCACTGCGTGAGGGAGCTGCTCGAGATGGGATGCTACGAGGTTAGCCTTGGAGATACACTGGGTGTCGGCTGCCCTGATAAAGTAAGAAGTCTTTTGACGTATCTGGAGGAACATGGCATCTCTCTCGATCTGTTGGCGGGCCATTTCCACGATACCTACGGTCAAGGGGTAGCCAACACTTGGGAAGCATATAACTGTGGGCTTCGTGTGTTTGATAGCAGTATCAGTGGCCTGGGGGGTTGCCCTTATGCACCAGGCGCCAAGGGGAATGTTGCCACAGAAGACCTAGTTTATATGTTTCACAATGCGGGTATTGACACTGGCCTTGATATGCTGAAGTTGGTCGAAACTGGCTTGTGGATATCCTCAAGACTGTCAAGGGAGAATGCAAGTCGGGCTGGAATAGCGCTCGCGAATACACATGGACTGGTGTCGCCACCGCGCCATACCGAACACACACCGACCAAGGCAGTAACTTCTTGGGCCCCAGTGGACACCAAGGGCAGGGTACTGACATATCGCTCGGGCGGCAACTTTAAGATTGTACTCAATCGACCAAAAAGGGGCAACACGTTGACGCAAAAGATGGTCGCGGACCTTATTGCTATCATCGCAAGTTGCAACAAGGACCCTTCCCTCCTGAATATTATCATCACCGCAACCGGAGGATACTTCTGCATGGGAGTTGAAAGTGGAAAGAGTATGCCATTCATTGCTCAGGGCGCTTCAAGAAATCCCCGGGCAAATTATCTTGCGGCCTTACTGGAATTGATGAAGCATTCACCTAAAACGACAGTCGCATGCGTAAATGGTCACGCTTTCGGTGGCGGTGTCGATTTAGCGCTGGCTTGTGATGTCAGGATTAGCCTCAGGGCAGCGACCTTGACATTTACTGAAGCGACAATTAAACAAGCTAGGAATGCTAGTTCGAAGTGGAAGAGCGCTTTTGTACGCAACGCAGTTTTCTCCACTCATTCCACTACGGCGGAAAAGCTGAACTCAGTAGGTGTTCTATCTGAAATTATGGAAGACCAGGGACAACTACGGGACGGCCTCGATGAGTTACTTCTGCGCTTGAACAACTCCAGACCTGCTAAACCACGGGCGTCCAGGGAGTTTTCAGGGTCGTTAAGGGCAAGTACAGGGTGGGATACACAAGTTGACACTCTTGATGAGACTCTCTTCAAAACGATAGAGCTTGATATTGGTCAAGGGGACTTAAAAGCATCCTACAGCGGACGTAGAGATGATCTGAAACGAGCGTTGAAGAGCGTTTGGGGCCAAGGTCGTCGACGGAGAGAGGGAACGGGCATTTGAGGGTTTGATCGCTGTGGTGTATGGTGTGGACTTGTCTGATAAACCATTAGAAAATGATCTAGAAGCATGAATGTGGCCTGCTACCTGCAGAATAGCAATTGAAGAAGATGTGCTATACAAAGAAGTCATATGAAATGATTGTGAATACCAAGCTAATGCTGTTAGTGCTTATTTCCGTGCCAACCATAGTTTCTAGTTTCAGTCCCTGCCTGTGGTATCTACGTACTACCTATAGAAACAATAATACCCCCGCAGATAAGCGAAAAATGTAGCCGCCTAGTGGTGCGCTATACCTAGACGGATTATGTATCCGTGTGCCGTTTACCCAAATCCCACATCTGTCCACTTCTCTGCACAGGAAAAGCAGTACCACTTAACCCGCGGTTCTACGTACCATCATGACTATACGACAATATCGCTCTCCCTTTACACTGGAGTTTGACTCCCTAGTACAGAGGCAGTTAGAGAAGTGGAAGGTGCCCGGCATTACAATCTCTGTGGTTCACGGCTCGAGCACTTATGCGAAAGTACGTGAATGATGAAGCGACCCCATGAACTTGTACTTAGTGACCTAGGCCTACGGCATTGCAGAATTTCCAGGCAAAAAGATGACCGTTGATTCTCTGTTCACCACGTGCAGCACAACCAAAGCCTTCACTGCTGCTGCGCTATCCATGGTGGTGGATGACAAAAAACAGACACCCTCGCCGCTTAGATGGGATACGCCAATAGCATCCTTGATTCGAGATGACTTTGTTTTAGCCGACGACTATGCCACAATGAATACTACACTAGAAGATGCTCTGTCGCATCGGTCTGGCTTGCCAGGCCATGTATTTGCGATGACAGGCGCACATCCAGACGAAACGTTGCGCGAAGCGGTCCGGAAACTCAGACACCTTCCGCTAGCATATCCACCCCGAACGACGTTCGACTATTGCAACCATATGTTTATGGTAGTGTCTCATGTTTTGGAGCAGATCACAGGCGAGTCGCTGGGCGAGTTTCTACGAGAGCGTATCTGGAGCCCACTCAACATGAAAGATACGTACTTTTCTGTCCAGGATGTCAAAAAATGTCCATTAACTAGTCGAAAGTTGGTCCAAGGTTACACGTGGGTTCCAGAAAAGGGCTGCTATGTGGCCGAGCCACATATGAATTATGCACCCACGACTGGAGCAGGAGCCATGGTCAGCAACGTTCTCGATTATGCAGAATGGTTGCGAGCCATGATATACAAAAAAGCACCAATATCGCCAGAAGGACATGCATCCCTCATTTATCCCCGGACCATAGTCACCAGAGACGATAAGGATACTGTATATCCACCTGCACCATTCCACTTGTACGCTCTAGGCTGGTTTGTGGACACTTATCGGGGTCAAAGTCTATACTGGCATAGTGGGAGCTGGGCTGGATTTGGGATAATGGTGGGCTTCATAGCTGAGAAGCAGTTTGGGTTTGCGATAATGGGGAATACTCAAAGGGCTAGGAACGCGCAGCTGGAGTTATACCTATACCTCATCGATACGTTACTGGGAGTATCGGGCAGTGAGCGGGCAGAGTTTATCGAAAGAATGACGATGAGGATGACCGAAGTCACGGAAAAAAGATCAGAGAGCATCTACGAGACGAAGACACGATTATTCCCTTCTCTGTCTGCCAAGTTACTTCCTCACTCCCTCCCATTGCATGCGTATGCTGGAATCTACAGCCATCCAGGTTATGGCATCATTCCATTGAGGCTCAAAGATGGACACCTAAAGGCGGACCTAAGCGATCGAGTGGAAGCGATGACCATCCATTTGGAACATACAGCCGGGGAATTTTTCGTGGCGAGAATGTGTACAGCCACTATGTCTGAGTGTCTCCGGGCTGAATTCTATCTCGACTCAGCTGGGGCGGCACGGAACCTTGGGATAGAGTTAGAGCCAGCATTAGGGGGGCAGAAAATTTGGTTTGGCCGCTGTGGATAATTAGTGATGTCTCCATTACGAATTTACGAGTCTGATACGGTGATACCTCTCTACCTGTGGGAATCAGATCGAGATTATATTGGTGGCGTCAAGAGTGGGGAGCTGATCACAGCGCTGGCGCCAGACATCTAACCGAGAGCCTGGGTGATCGGCAAGCACTCCCCAATAGGTTGTCTTATCCTGCCTAGCAGTGCCTAGATTTAGACGAGTAGTGGGACCGTATGCCTGGAGAGCGGTACCGATTCTGCCGCCAAGGGGGTAAACTCAAGTTGTTTTGGAAATTTGATTTAAAGAAGCTTTGAGCTGCTGGTGGAGATGGATGTGTTAAGATAATTTTTTCCTTTCTCCCTTTCTTAATTTCAGGTGCTGCAAACCTGTGGTCAAATTGAATATTATATCTTTCATATATCTTTGATATAATCGGGATCGAGTTTTGAGCTCCAACAGCAAACATCATGACAGCGATGCATTCTCTTCCATCATTGCCAGCAAAGCACCAGGACTTTATTGGCTGGATCAACAATAATCAGGATACCCCAATTGGTCAGCTTATTAAGCCGTACAATGAGTATGAAGCGGTCGTTCGTAAGCTGTTTGCTCAGGAGCCGTCGCATCCAGCGCTGAGGGACAATCACCTCAATATCGTACCACTTTATGACACGACTGAGAAGACCATTGTTCCAAGTCGGCCTCGAGATCCATCCTCAGAATCACCTGACCTTCACGAAAAATATGTCATGCCCCTGAAGGCAGAATCTCGTAGGGCCTATGGCGATCCTGCGGTGGTGTCGAGCTTGGAGGACTTCCGGAATAATTTCAACATCTTCTCGGAAGGATCTTTGAGTGACATGGATTGGAGCAATGTCGTCGTCGCCGGAAGTGCCGTGGTGACGTGCCTGATGCCAGTCCCGGAAGAGCACCGTGGCTCAAAGCGTGCCTTACGACAGTTCTACCATGACAAGTACGCACCTGCTTCTGACGTCGACCTCTTCTTGTACGGCTTGACCGAAGAAGCAGCAATTGAAAAGATAAAACAGATTGAAGACAAGATCAAAAACGCCATTCTTTATGAGACGACAACCATACGAACCAAGAACACAATTACTATTGTCTCACAATACCCCACACGCCACGTACAGATTGTCCTTCGTATATACAAGTCTATCTCGGAGATCCTGACCGGGTTCGACGTTGACTGTTCCTGTGCCGCTTTCGATGGTAAGCAAGTTTATGCTTCACCACGTGCTCTTGCTGCCTATATCACCCAGACGAATACGATCGATCTCACTAGACGCTCGCCATCTTATGAGAATCGCCTTTCTAAATACTCACACCGAGGCTTTGAAATATTCTGTCCACAGCTAGAGCGGTGTCGTGTCGATCCAGTAAGGCTCCCCCTTTCCCAAGCGTGGGAGCGTCTCTGTCTAACATGCTTCTAGACGATCTTTGAGAGGAGCTTTTCAAGGACTGTTGGTCTAGCGCGTCTTCTAGTTTTAGAAAGGTTGCCGAAGTCATCCGATAGGGATGCCTATCTAGAGCAGAGACGAGAGGAGCGCGGCCGTCCGGCTCGACAACAGCAGATGCGAAGCCTCGGGTCACTGAATGGTAACATTAAAAGTGAGTGGGAAGATGAAACTCCTGAATGGATGGAGGGCGATGAATATTCAGACTATCATACTATGGTATTTTATACCTTTCCCCATTATACAGAGCTACTTGTGCTGACTCCACTCCAAGACGATTCCCTACGGGCCGAAGTTCCATGCTAAGAGGATTGAGCGGCTGGTCTATACGAAGGACTTACTGCTCAATGCAGAATGGAACAAACCAAAGGACAGGGACGTCAATCTGCATCGGCATCCTGCATTTTTTGGTAACGTGGAGGATGTGATCTACGACTGCTGTGGTTATTGCCCTGAACCTGTGACTCCGGAGGAAAAGGAAGTCGCAGAGAAAGAAAGCAAAAACTATATCTCTGGAGATATCTCATTCATCAAAGATGATCCAGGGCGCCAGGAAATTGGCAGCTTTAACCCTATTACGGAGACCGACTGGACAGGTTTGTGTTCCATGTTTCTGTTGAACTGTTGTGACGTTTACTAATCGGCAAAGCAGAAATGGCTTATGTGGGTAATACCGAGCACCTATGCCAGGCCATAGTCGACCATGATCTCGCTGCTGTCAAGGAATGGCTTTCTCAAGAAGAAAGGGATCCGAACAGTCGCGACTATACGGGACGCACCCCGTTGCATCTGGCTTGTATGGCTTCTACACCAGATATTGTACAATACCTTGTCGATCACGGGGCGAGATTAATCTCTCGCTTGGCAGATGGCAGGACTGCTTTACATATCGCAGCTGCTAGAGGAAGTGCTGAGATTATTAGAATACTGCTACACAAAAGCGAAGAAAATGAAGCCGAGGAGGATAAAAGGCAGGAGCTTCGCAAAGCAAAAGAAGCCCAAAATAGTCAACATGGTGCCGATGAAGCGCAAAGCGAGCCAGATGACATCGAAACAGTTAGCATGGAAGCAGACGCAACCTCATATACCTCTGGATCATTTGTCAAAGTCCAGAAAGAAGGTGACGATGCCACTAGCGCGGAGAGTCTACCCGAAGATGAGAATGCGCAAGAACCGGATATCTATGATATAAATGCCGTGTCCTGGGACAGCCATACATCTCCTTTACACCTTGGCATACTCAACGGCCACGTCGACGTGGTAGAAGAACTCGTTGCGTCCTTTGGAGCTGACGTGTTGCTCCCAATAAAGTTGCTGAACAGCCATAGCAATAGCTCAAGAGGTGCAATTCTAACACTGGTACTCACGCTTCAACTCCCTCTAGAAAAGGCTAAAGCGATGACCAAGAAGCTTCTTCAGTTGGGTGCTTCGCCGGCCCAGGCTGACCTCAAATACAACACGCCCTTACATTATATTGCTGCTTCAACATATGACGACCTTATTGATGTCTTCCTCGAGCAGAACGAACCAGTCACACTGAAAGCTATCAACCATCTCGCCTTTGTCGGATATTCCTGGAACCCTGATGCCTACTCCGCATTCATGACCGCAATCAATGCAAAGAACCCAATCGGTGCGTTGAAGCTTCTCCAAGCTGGCGCCGAACCTTCGATCGACTTTGGGAAGTTTGTGAAATCTGGTCAGGTACTGGACGGCATACGTACAAATTCATCAGAAAGGAATCGTGAAATTTTCAGACACAATTTTACCCAGCCCGTTATCCTAGCTGTTCAGAAAGAATTACCAGAGATCGCTCAAGAGCTAGTGGCTCGCGGCGTTGACCCGAACACATTATCACCAGATGGATATAAAGTTGAAGATGATGACTACGTGCGAGACAGTCTCCACGGTAAATCGCTCCTGGATTGTGTCCGTGATAAGATCAAGGAATTGCAACAATACCAAGGAGAAGTTGTTGACTTAACTCCGCCACGGGCGCTTGAGCCTGATTCCTTCTACCTTAAGGATTTTGAAGCCAACACATATCAATTGTGGACAGCGGAGCGGGAATTGGGCAAGGCAAAGAAATCATACCAGAAACGTCTGAAAGTATATGAACAGGAAGTCAGCGATTCTGAGAATAGGAAAGGGGTGGAGTCGAAACTCCACGCGATACGGGACCTAGTTGAACAATTCGAGAAACTAGAAACTGCCCTGTCCGAGAAAGGTGCCAAGACGTTCAAGGAATTGTTTCCCGATTTCAAAGCACCGGATGATGAGGATGGGTCATCATCACCAAACAGGGACTGTGATGACCCTTTCGAGCTGGAATTTACATTCAATATATCTGATCTCACGGATGAAAAGAAGGATGGATATATCAAACTGTGAGTGTTCTAGAGACCTGTTCCTTGGCATTGATTGACAACTAACATCTTAAAGCTTTGAGGCAGCCTGGCGTGGTGACTTAGACACCATTAAGTCTCTAACTCTGGCCATGTGGGGCGAGGGAAATCAACAGCCTCCGTTGCGAATGGCTATAACAGACTCTAACAGACTCTCGCCCTTTTCAATCGCAGCACTTCGGGGTCACTTGGATGTGGCGAAAGCAATCTTGGATATTGTTCAAGCACAGTATAAAGAAGAGGAGCCCAGTGGCCACGAGAGGTTTGAGATAGGCAGTGATTGCAGTGATGAAGATATGCAGGATAGTGGCAATGTTCGCATTTACAGCGAGATAGTTGATGACAAGTTCACCATAGATGACATAGGTGAGGTGGCCACGCAGGTGGAGTGTCATATTACTCCACTTGAGGTACTAAAGTGGTATTGCCCAAAGTCCAAATGGTTCACCAGTCCTGATGTCAAGGCTAAATGTTGCGAGAGCCCCTTTGGAAAGCCATCTGATCTCCTCGAGTATGCCGTTTGGATGGACAATGTCGAGTTGCTTGTCTTCTTACTTGACATGGGAGAAGAATTGACTTCTAGAGACACCAGTTCTAAGTTCACCGCTTTTGGAGTGCCGAATAAAACGGTTCATCTAGCTATAGCAGAGGGTCGACTCCGCTGCCTTGAAGAACTTATCAGGAGAACAGGAGCGGACCTCCCACTAGATGCTCTTGTTCACGAAAGTGGCGTCCAGGTGCATGAAAAGCCAGAATACTATCAGGGGCTCTCTATTCATGGAAAGAAGAGAGCAGACTGGGCAGCTGCTGGGCGCGGACAACTGCGCCATCACACCAATAAAAGCTCGCCCTTACTTGTTTCCGCCGTGCTGGGTAGTCTGAAGAGCACTGAATGGTACATGAGCACTGCTCCAAGCAGGCATTATGTCGAGTTCTCCAGGACCCATGGGCAGGACCATAGGCTGAAGCTCCTTGCAAAGTCAACCAGTGGCATTGAAAAGTCTCTAATGAGCTGGCTAAATGCAAAGAGTACGTACGCCTTCTATATATCTATATATCCGAATGCTAACATGTGTTGCAACAGACAATCTGGTCTTGCATTGCGCCATCCTTTCTACGCCGACGTTGGAGTCCCGACAGCTTGTCGAGTATCTTGTTCGGGAGGTTCCGGAGTGCCTGGAGACTAGGTCCGCAGGAAGATACACGCCATTAGCCCTTGCGTACTCTTTAAATAGAGCAGATTATGCCGATATTCTTATCAAAGCAGGTGCGAGCCAGACAGTTCGGGATAGCAGAGGTAACAACCTCATACATCTGCTGCTGTGTGGGATTGATGGCGACACTTCAGGAAAGCCAGGCAATATCGAGAGACTCCTTAGCTTGCTTGATCCTCGATTGGTTCCTTCCTTACTAGTGGAACGCTCATCAGATGAACCGGGATCTGTCACCCCATTTGCCCGCTGGATGCATCATGCCTATTTTGATGGATCCGACGCAGATAGGCTGATTGATATTGCACGCATTTTCCTTGAGTTTGCCGAGAGTGCAGAACAGAAACACTTGGAACTGCTTGATGGCACAGGTAATACACCTGTGCACTACGCAGTAAAACATGAACTCGTCCCGATTCTCGAGCTGATGTTGGACCGTCGTCCTGACTTACTCTATCGTGAGAATGCCACCGGAAGCACACCGCTAGAGCTAGAAGAGGACGCTTGGACACTTAGAGCAACCTCGGACCCACCTAGCTTTCGAGCTCGCGATCGATCTTGGAATGGCCGCTGGATAACGGATGCAAACATGGTTGATGTGGACCCAGAGTCCTTCCTTCCTGACTCATGCCCATCGGAGAAGAGCTTACGCGACGTATGCCGTGAAAGGGCTAGCGGCCGCCCGGAAAAGCGGAAGCTAGTCACCTTAAATGAAGCGAATGAGGTGGCAAAGCGACTTGCCGTACAGAAGTCCAGTCGATGGGGACAACGTGAGGGCCAAGGGTTTACAGAAACGGATCAAGTAGCGAGATGGTATGGTCGGTCTGACCGAGAGGACGAGCTGACCGACGTCATGGAAACTTGAGATGCTGCTCAGGGAAAAGTGCGTGAAGGTTTAATCTTATATTATCTATTTTGTTGCAGGTGGAAAGCGGGATATAACTTCGGCATTTGTTTGTGTGAGAGCGACCAATAGAACCTGTTTAAACTCTCTAGAATACAATTAGTGTCATTCAACAAGCGAGAGAATCCCTGACCCCGCTAGCCGCGAAAAAAATAAGTCTAGAGCTAGGATATGTAGCTTCCAATTGCGGGGGGCGGATACTTTTCCGCTGGCCTAGTCTGCATTTCCGCCACCTCACGTGGATGGGGCTTAGCGGAAGGTGGCACCTCCCCCGGATTCCTCTGCCGCTTCTCCTCCATTTCCCCAGACTTGTTCCTGTGTATGTTCGGAGTACTTTCTTAGCTTTCTTGGCAGCCGACATAGTATGCATCTATCATGCGCCAATGCGCGGGGTTAGACTGGAACGACATGAGCTTCGACTCAGGGTGGAGATGCCATGGCGGAAAAGCATGATGATCTATATATTCGAGGTTCACTCTCCCTCCAGCAAGGGCTGAACTGCCAAAAAACCCATGTTACTCATTTAGTAGGTGTCTACTAGGTCTCTAGTCAACATGTCGGTTGCAAAGCAAATGGGACACTCGTTGGACCTTCAAGATGATAAGATTCCTGATCCTAAGCACCAGGAGCAAGTTCCCGCAATTGTCACTATTGAGAATTTCCGGGTCTTGGGATTAGACCCGGAGGATGAAGACTTTTATCTCAATTACCCCGAGGAGCGGAGGAAGACAATTCGCCGCAAGGTGGGTATCCTCCCTACACGTTATCATGAACCCCTTGATGCTAATCCAACTGTCCAGGTTGATATCCGTCTCGTGCCGATGCTAGCAGTGTTATATCTTATATCGCATCTCGATAGAGCAAACATCGGAAATGCAAAGATTGAAGGCATGATGGACGATCTGAACCTCGACGGCATTCAATGGAACATCATATTGAGCATATTCTTTGTCCCATATGTCCTCCTTGGTGAGTTCAATCTGTAGGTTCTCGTTGGAGACGGTCGATCTAACGAGAGACAGAGGTACCTAGTAACATGCTGCTCAAAACCTTTTCTCGGCCGTCTGTGTATTTGGGAATTTTAATCGTTTCTTGGGGAATTATCATGACATTGACCGGGGTTGTAAAGAACTTTGCCGGATTGATGGTGACCCGTGTTCTTCTTGGTGTTTTCGAGTATGCTTGCGGCCTTTTAAAATGTTAAACCAGATTATTTGGCTGACTTCAACCAGGGCAGGTTTCTTTCCCGGAGCGGTCTACCTCTGTACCCAGTGGTACATGCCAAAGGAATTGTCCACTCGCCTTGCCTATTTCTATTGTGCTAGTGCTCTGTCTGGCGCGTTCTCAGGGCTGCTTGCGGCGGCTATCGCGAAGATGGACGGTGTTGGTGGGTACGCAGGCTGGCGGTGGATCTTCATCCTTGAGGGCTTAGTTACTGTGGTGCTGGGCGTGGCCTGTTTCTGGTTGCTTATTGACTCACCTTCTCTATCTGGTCGATGGTTAGAACCAGACGAAATTCGCTTCCTCGAGCTACAAAAATTCATCAAGGAAGGAGGACAGTTCAAAGACGAGGAGCACGACCAGCAGCAACGGTCCCGGTGGAAGGATTTCCTTTCGGTGATGACGAATTGGCGAATGTATTGCCTGGCATATATTTTGCTATGCCAGTCCGCTTGTTCATACGGTATGTTTCCTTTAGCGTTCCGACTGACCAGCATGCTAACGAAAGACCAGGCAATAAATTTACCCTTCCTAGTATAACTGAAGCTATGGGTTTCAGCAGCACCAACGCCCAACTAATGACTGTTCCTCCCTACGTCGCCGGTGCCATATCTGCCGTGTGCTTCTCCAGCCTCTCGGATCGGTTTTATTGGCGAATGCCGTTTGTCGTGATTCCCCTTACACTGCTGACGGTCGGATACGGCATTATCATCTCATTCGATGGCAAGTTGGAGGAAAATGTCGGTCCTAGCTTCTTCGCTGTCATTCTGGCTATGATTGGTCTTTACCCTGTCCATCCAGCCACCACGTCTTGGACCTCTAACAATTTGACTCCGTCCAATCGGCGGGCAATTGGTGTGGCGTTCAATATTTGCGTCGGTAATATTGGTGGTATCATCGGAAGCTATATGTATATGGACGACGAGAAGCCGAAGTATTACACCGGCTTTGGGTTGTCCATTGCGTTTGGAGGCTCAGCACTGATTCTTGCGTTGATATTGGAAGCTTCGTTCTGGTGGGAGAACAAGAACAGATCGAAGATGTCTGAGTCGGAGGTAAAGGAGAAATATACGGAGGAGCAGTTGTTGAACATGGGTGACAAGTCACCTCTGTTCAGGTATACGTTGTAGGATATAGGCGGTCATGATGACGATGATGAAATTACACGATGCATATTTCTGGGTCAACACACACTTCCACAACTTTAATTTCTTACATATGTACATGGCAGAGAAGTGTCCAGATTAAGTCTTCAAGGGGTTACAACAGCAACCTGGCCCTTGACAGGGACGTTTTGGTCCGTCTCCGTAGATGGGAATTCATTGACATTGACGCCCTTCCGGAACAGCAGACAATGCGTTGACCCGCCAAAATGGAACATTCCAAGTTCATCTCCTTTTTTGACATGTTGACCTTCAGAGACTGTGATCTGGCAGGTCGAAACTTCGCACATTCCGATGCCAAGGAAAGCCATTAGTCCAATGGCAGGGTTGTCACTTTCGATAAAGATCAATGCCCTCGTAGCAACCGCTGTAATGTACTCCTGGGCCGTGACCTCTCCAACCGAATCGATATCATGGGGATGTGGATCCCCTAGACCTTCGAACAGCGGCTCCGAATAATACGTCCCATCAACAACGTAGGCCTTCACAATCTTCCCACTGACAGGCGCATGCCAGCGGTGATAGCTCAAGGCACTCAGGAAAGCTTGATAGACAGTTCCGCCGATGAACTGTTCAGCAAGCGAATCATGTGCTAGCATATCAAAGACTGAATATGGCTGACTCTTGATCCAGAAAATGTCTCTTCCCTTGACGTCGCGAGCCACCTTGTACGGCTGCGACTCGCACGCGTTGGCAATTATGTTGTCGTCGTCTGGTGATGCAACAGGGCGAATACCGGGCCGGAAGACCCGGGTAAAGAAATCATCCCATGATTTGTACCCGTGGTATTTCTGAGAGGGGTCACAGATAAACATATCCTCGAAGGAGTAGTTCGTCTTTCCTACATTAGCGACTGTGACAAGGTTATTTTTCCCCGTTTCACCGAACCATCCGTATTGCGAATCATCTAGCACATGGGCTGACTCAGGTGAATGCAAATACTCGCCCCAGGCGTTTAGTATCTTTTTGATCATGGCGTTGATCTCTGGATCTAGGAACGCAGCGTACCCACTGGGTGTGCCCATAGGCCAGTCCAGCACTGCATTAATCGGTAACCCAACGAGACCGACGCGGTGGGTAAAGTCACTCCATGAGGGCGCCGTCGTAAGAAGATGATTCAGCACCCGGATCATATGTTTATAGTCTCGGATTTGCGGGCATCCGGTTGGATCTGTGGCGTAGACTCTGTTGCGGGGGACCTCGGTGAACATAGCTTCTATAAGGAGGTAGACCCGTGTGTTAGTTTCAATGAGATGTTGGAATTCCTTCATCACCGGGTGAAGCTCGTGGTCGGCTTTGCTGTCGACGTGAGCAATTAGCCCGCCCAGCCATTCGTGGTGGCTGTCTAGGGTGGAGGGCATCCATTTTCCGACCCTGGTTTTGTTAACCTGAGTGTTCTGAAGAAGGCAATTGAAGCAGGGCTGTACCTATGAAGACGGGGAGTATGCTTGCCGTGCTTGTGTGTCATGGTTGTGATATTAAACTTGTACTTATTGGTAGTGATTGAACGCGATGGGTTCTGCAATTCATGATTGATATCTTGGCGATGGAACGGGTTGTATTTATCCTGAGCTTGTCGGCCTTAGTTTTGGAGTAGTGACAGGACAGTTGCATCATGATGATGCAGGGTTACTATAGTACCATTGGTATACTACTTAGTAGTGGAGCTGTGGATAAATATTGGAGATCAGGGTAATTCATTGATAATAACAATATAGATGATGTCATGCGGAGGCACGTGGAAGTCAAAGCGCTTATCCTTATCGTGGAATTGAAATATGCACCTTCCTAATTCGCTTACTCCCCTGCCTTCCAGTTCTCTCAGCTCGACATTCCCGTCCCCTACTTAAACTCTTATCTCTATCTCTATCTTTTATTGGGGAACCAATTTCAAATTGAACATTTGCACTCCAATGCTCATTTAAATGCTGTCTATATATAACAGCACGCGTCATCTCACCTCATAGCTTTCTGTGTGCACCTGATTTCACAAGGATTTGATTGACCCTTGCTTGATTCTATCATATGCCGCTTCTTTCATCACTTCAACCATCTCATATGCTCCTATTAAATAACTAATAGCCAGACATATACCCCTTGATGGTCGCACACATCCGGTCTACCTGCTGGGGATTTCTGGCCCAAGAAAAGTGAGTATCGTCGGTAAGCGGAACCAGCTGAACGGCGGTATCGCTTGGCAGCAATTTTTCCAGATCGTTGAGGGGGGTTCCGTCGTAGTACTCGTACAGGCGACGCTGATTCTCCGATTCATACTGATCATTCGTTTTCATGGCTTTGAACAGCACGATATGATCCGTGGCAGATGGGAGGCCTTTGAAATTTGCCGGATCGGGGCGGTAGATGTGGTGGATAGGGTCTAGGATCTTGGCGTCTCCTAGGCCAATGCTATGTGTCGCTCCGTGCACATTGAAATAGGTGTCGATAATACCAAGGAGGCCAATCTTTTCGCCCGATGCTGCCAGCCGCCGGGACATCTCCATTGCGAGAATTCCTCCAAAACTCCACCCAATGAAGTGGTACGGTCCATGTGGTTGAATGCCGCGTACGTGCTCAATATACATTCCCGCCAGCTCCTCAAATGTGCGTAGGCGTTTGCTGTGCAAGTAGTAATTGTTAAAGGCGACCATGTTTGTCCCAGGTAGGTGTTTGACGATGTTGTTGAAGTAGCTTTCGGCACCTCCTTCGCCTGGGGGTAGCAGGAACAGCGTTGGGCCCTGTCGTGACGGCTCCAGATACTCGAAATATGGCGTGTACGTCTCCTCGGTTAACTGAGGATTCACTGGGGATGACGCGGTTTCTTGGCTTGCCGCACTGTCGATGATTCTGTTCAGTCCTTCTTCGATGTCCGAGATAAATTCTTCACTCTGATCAAGGCTCCACGCACTGTCTATGTCGACTACCATAGTACCATCAATACACACGGCTGTGACGTCAACAGCGGATGAGCTCTTGTCCTTGTCTTCTAGGCTGGTTATGAGTCCATAATCGAGTTTATCATCGCCCACAGCGAGAACCCATTTGTCTGGTTTCGACTTTTTGCGAGCGAGATGACCTAGGTAGTTGACGGTAATCTGAGGCAACGGGTGTCGGGTATAGCCGTACAACGCTCCATACCCAATGCCTCGAGCAGGGACTTGCCTGAACCGTTCATTTATAGCGGCCACATCCTGAACGAGATTCTCGGTTCTGAGATGGGGGATCTCAAACGGATACATACTGGTAAACCAACCCATGGTGCGGCTGACATCCAGTGTATGGTCAATATCCTCCTCGCGCCCATGTCCCTCGATGGTGACCATATTTGGGCCGGTTGGAGAGATATTTTGGAGTGCTAATCCAACTGCACCAAGTAGAGAATCGTACACAGAGACCTCACATCGATTTCTACCAATTTGGAGCAGCAAAGCTGTCTTCTCAGTGTCCAAATTCCTAGTCAGACGTACGCGGGAACCCGTCGATGCAGGAAGCGCAGAGATGCTGGAAGTTGTTTGCGCAATGAGATCGTTCCAGTGATCCAATTCAGACTTTGAAGGTTGGTAATTCTGTATCGCTTCAGACCACTGCCGGATGCTGCTGCCCTTGCACCCCAGGCTTCCCTTTTGATAAAGCATCTGCAAGTCACGGACCAGGATTTGCCAGCTGACAGTGTCGACGGCGATGTGATGGATGGAGAACCATACCCGCGCGGATCGGTCTTCGTACCCATGCAGGTAGCCTATGGCGCAGATCGGTCCGTTCTCAAGGTCAAAGCCCGACTGCCACTCGCGCAGTGTTTGATTAACAGCCGTAGGTCCGTCAACATCCTTCATGTTTAGCACTCGAAGCTGGACAGGAGAAGCATCCTCAAGAAAGACCTGTACAAATTTATTATCCTTGCGCTTCAATCGCATGCGGAAAGCGTCGTGATACTGTTGCAATTTGCTGATGGCAGCTTTTAGCGAAGCAACATCCAGCTCTGGAGTTCGGATGTGGAAAGTATGATTCCAATGGCTCGAATGCTGCAGTGGCTTGGACAGGAACCAATTCTGAATCGGCAGTAGGGGCGCCTCACCAACCACCAGCCCTTGTTCGCTACGGAACTGGGCCACAACACTCGGATCTGTGTTCTTCATGAAAACGTGATCATGGAGGCCTCGAATGGTACGATGCTCAAAAATATCTCGGACCGTGACCTTGCGACCGATCTGATTGTGAATCTGGGCCACAAGGTGCAATGACATAATGCTGTCACCGCCCAGTTTGAACAGGTCATTGTCGATGCCGCATCGTTCTATACCCAAGACGGATTCCCACAGCTTGCATACCCTAGCCTCTAGTATGTTCCTCGGCGGGCTGTATGATAACGTCGCTGATGCGTTATCAATTTCCGGCAGTCTCTTGATGTCAAGTTTTCCGTTAATAGTCACAGGAAGTGCACCCTCCAGACGGCAGAGGTGGCTGGGCACCATGTATGTTGGAAGCCTGGCTTTCATGGAGGTGAGAATGTTGGCTTCCGACACTGCTTCGTTGTCGGCGGTATAGTAGCCGACTAGGGACTGCGCGATCCGTGAATAACCATCGTCCTTGTCATACTTGGCAACGATTGCACACTCGCGGACACCAGGACTGGAGGCAAGCGTATTCTGCACTTCAGAAAGTTCGATCCGGTATCCTCTCATCTTGACCTGCAGATCCTCTCTTCCTAGGTATTCCAACTGTGGCTGCTGTTGATGGCTGAACCGACATCGAAGTAGGTCGCCGGTCTTGTAGAGCCGCGAGAAACGCCCAGTGGCAACGTCCTCCTGGTTCCGGAAAGGGTTGGGAAGGAAGCGCTGATCTGTTAGATGAGGTTCATTGAGATAGCCACGTGCAACGCAGTCACCAGCCAGATAGAGCTCTCCAACTGCATCAAATGGGACGGGCTGAAGTGCCTTGTTAAGCAGATAGGCTCGGGTGCCGGGAAGCACGTCGCGTATAGCATTTTCAAAATTCGCTTTCGCAGTGAATTCTGTGATAATGTTGTATACCGTGGTCTCGGTGATGCCGTAAGCATTGTAGATCGTACCGCCAAATCTGCAGCGCATCTTCTCATACTGCGTGGCATGAAGCACCTCACCTGCTGCAGTCACGAACTGCAAGTTGTGTATCTGTGCCAGGTCGATCTGCTGCAGCAAGGATGGGGTTCCACTGAGATACGAGAGATCGTGAGTGTTGACCATCCTATAGAATTCTTCATCGACGACCAACTCTGCCGGAGGAATGATCAACTTGTGTCCGCTGAGCACCGATAACACAAGCTGCTCTACAGAGAAATCGAAGACATAGTTAGAAAGGAAAAGCACGGAATGATGCTTGGTGCAGTCACTGCCGAAATACCGTTCCCGGAGGGCATCTCGCAACAGTAGAACACCCTTCTGCTCGACCAGAACGCCCTTGGGATTGCCGGAAGTTCCTGAAGTAAAGATTATGTACGCTAGATTGTCCAGGCCGGCAACTGTAGGCAAGTCGGAGCTTGCCTGTTGGCTGACCTCGGTCTCGACGGCGGCCGAGTCGATTGATATCACCTTTGCGCCCATGTATTCACATTTAGAGGCATAGTGGGAGTTCGCTAGAACAGCTTTCGCCTGGGTCTTCTCCAGGATCAGCCGGACGCGCTCCGTCGGGTTAGTTGGATCCAAGGGCACATATGCTGCACCGGCCTTCCATATCGCCAGAATGCAGACGATTGTCTCAATGCTCTTGTCTAGCATCAGAGCTACTCGCTCTTCCACTCCAATGGAGGAGATGGATAACATGTACCGTGATAGCTGGTTAGCCCGCTTGTTGAGGTCGGCATAGGTGAGTACTATATCTCCTTGAGCGATAGCAATCTTCCCTGGGGATAGGGAAGCTTGGTGCTCGAAGGCCTGGCTGAGAGACGCTGCGTTCTGCTCCTCAGCAGGCATTGCAAGTGGGGACTGTACCAATGGTAGATGGGCATCACCATTTTCTCGCGGACGAACCAACAACAGCTGCGTATCGTCTTTGATTCCTTCTGCACTTAGCTCTGACAGCTGGTAAAGGAGATATTCGTAGGTACGCAAAAAGCCCTCAATGGTGCTCTTGTTGAACAGACTGGTGGCGTAGTTGAAGTTAATCCTCAACCCCGACTCCAATTCAGTGACCGTTGCATTCAGATCGAATTTCGCAACTGAATCCAGGGGCTGAATGGGCCGGTATTGAGTAAATTGAATTGCCCCCTCATCCTGAGACCCAGGATCGTGTTCTTCATCCGGACGGGCTTCGAAGTTGAAAACAGCCTGTACTAACGGATGCCGACTGGCATCGTTAACTACCCGCAACAACTTCGTCACCTCCTGGAACGGCATGTCTTGGTGTAACTGTGCTTGGACGAGCTCTCTCATTACCATTCTAATGAGGCCGCCAATGGCGCACTGAGACACATCCACCCTGAGCACGACGAGGTTGACGAAGAATCCAATGATGGATTGGAATTGCGGATGTGTTCGGTGGCTGATTGGGATACCCACTGCGATATCCGTCTGGTTCGCGTACGAGGCAAGCATCACGTAGTAAGCGGATAGTAAGACGACGTACAGGCTAGACCTGCAATGTTTGGCAACCTCTCTCAGGTTCTGTGTCTCTTTTTGATTCAGTTCGATACTGAGATTGTCGCCGTTATAGTCGAAATGCCCCGGTCGTGGACGGTCCGTGATCAGCTGCAATGACTCCAAGCCACTGAGCTTTTGCAGCCAAAAGTCTGATAGGCTACGGCGACTCCCCGACAGCTGCTGACGATGGTACTGGGCGTAATCCTTATACTGTACTCTGATTGTGGGCAGGCTCGCTGCACTCTTTGTTTTGAGGACCGCGTATAAGGCTTGAAGTTCTCGCTCAAACACACTTAACGACCATGCGTCGAAGCTGGTATGGTGGAATGTTAGGATGACGTACAAGCTGTCTGATTGATGTCTAAGGATACGGGCTTGCCAAGGCAGTTCATCACCCAAGCGGAAAACGTGCTGGGATAGACATGCTATTTCTTGGTCTAATTGCTCCATGGCCTTGATTCTGTCCACCCTAATAGAGAACATGCGCTGGGCGCAATCGGAGCTCAATATTTTCTGAAAATAGCCGCCGGTTGTGTCGTCCTTGACAAGTAACGTTCTCAGCGCCTCATGTCGAGAAAGGATTCCACGCAGCGCCTGTAGAATATCCGAGGGATCAACCGAGCCAGGCAATCTATAGGCGATGTCGATGTTGTAGGCATTACTGCCATTCTCAAACTCATGGATGAAGAGAAGTCGCTCTTGGGCGCCGGACACAGGAATCATCTGCCCCTCATTGTATTCAATTGGAGTGATTTCATGCACATCCACAGCATTGTTTATGATTAGTTGTGCCAGAGCCTCGACTGTTCGATGACGGAAAAGGGTGCTGACCGAGACAGCGCGGTTGAAGGTCTCGTGGACCATGAATGAAAGCTTCGTGCTCTTGAGACTGTCACCTCCCAAGCTGAAGAAATCGCTGTAGATGCCAATCTCCTCTGGGTATATCTCAAGCAGTTCCGCCCAGATGTCACACAGGGTGCGTTCCACTTCATTGCGCGGCGGCACCACGTCACTCTCGCTCTCTTCCTCTGCGAAGGGCAAAGCCTTGGTATCCAACTTACCACTGGGAGAGACGGGGAGTTTGCCGATTGGTATGAGGCGAGATGGTACCATGTAGCCAGGTAGCCGAGACTGCATGAAGCGCCGAATAGCGGCGGACGACAACGTTGCATCGGCGACGTAGTAGCCAACGAGGAACTTCTGCCCTCCTTCTTTGCGGTCCTTTGCAATTACCACGGACTGTTTGATATCAGGGTATGACGACAGGATGGCCTCGATCTCACCCAGTTCGATGCGCAATCCGCGAATCTTGACCTGGAAGTCATTGCGGCCCAGATACTCAATCTCACCGTTGCTTCCTGGGATCCAGCGTACCAGATCGCCCGTCTTGTAGAGACGAGAGTTACGGCCTGTTTTCCTTTCCTCTTCTGTCTGAAATGGATTGGGAATGAATCGCTCCGCGGTTACATCTGGGCGATTGTGATAACCTCGTGCCACACCTTGACCACCGAGGTAGAGCTCGCCGACAGCCCCGATGGGAACACGCTTCATGTCCTCGTTCAGCACATAACTCGTGCTATTATGGACCTGCTGGCCGATACTCTTGTCCGTGCGCCGCTCTGGGAACGGGTAAAGACGTTTATGGGTGGTGATAGAGACCTCTGTCGGGCCATAGCCGTTGATGACGAGGCCATGGAACGTTTCGCGGATCTTGTCGAAGACCGGTTCGCTGAACGCCTCTCCGACGCAGTCTACACGGCGGAGATGCTCCTTAAACCGGCCGAACTCGTACATTGAAACCACCGATGGCGTGCCAGACAGGTAGGTCACCCGGTTCTTCTCAATATATCGATATAGTCTCTCTTTGTCTCCGCGCATTTCATCATTGAGCACCAGTAGTGTTTGGCCGTTGAGAATAGCGTCCGTCATCTGCTCCACAAAATGGTCGAATACATAGTTAGAAAAAGAAAGTATCACCTCGTCGTCGGTACTCCGCAGGCCAAATAGTTTGGACAGCGACACCTGCAGGTTGACCACTCCATGATGCTCCAATGCGACGCCCTTGGGCCGTCCTGTCGTGCCAGATGTATAGATGATATAGGCCAGGTCTGTGCTCCGACTTAACGGTGAAGGGTTTGATGCACTGTACTTTGGATTCGGAGTGGCTGTCAGGTCAGATGGATAAAGGAGCATTTCCGGCGCAGCCATTCCCTTGATACGAGGCATATAGCAGGAGTCCGCAATGATAGCGATGGCCCGGGTGTCCCCCAGGATATATTGGATGCGGTCGTCGGGATATCCGGGGTCAATTGGAACATAAGCACCTCCGCTCTTCCACACGGACAATATATTGACGAACATATGCTCACTCTTGTCCATTATGAGGGCAATGACATCATTGGGCTTCGGGCTGAGGTCGGATCTTAGTCTATGTGCCATACGGTTCGCCCGCTCATTTAGCTCGCGATAGGTTAGGGCCTGCTCCTCATAGATGACCGCTGTTTTCTCGGGCTTCTTATTCGCTTCAACCTCAAACATCTCATGCAGCGTGGTGTCGGGAAACTCCGCTTCTGTGGCATTCCATGCAGCGAGATGCTCCAGTTGGGCAGATGAGAGATACTCTAGGCTGTGGACAGGATCATTCAAGCCTTGCGCAACCCGCATCAGAGTGTCATGGATCATACGAAGCAGCTCAGAGATGGTCACCTCCTCAAACAGCTCACTAGCGTAGCAGATGGACAGAGTGACTCCACCAGTCGCCTCAACTTCACGCGCGATGACAGCCAGCGGATAATCCAGCTTCTCAGTACCTCCTTCGATTGAATATTGCAGTTGGCTTTGGTGCTGTAAAACTCGCGACTTGTCTAGGTTTGGGTAGTTCTCAAGCACGAATAAGGAGTCAAATAATCCGTGCTTCAAGTCGCTTTTGCGGAGATGGCCCAGTTCCGCATTGCCGCGGCTGTTCATCGCGTTTACCTTAGCCTGCACATCCTCGATGGCCTCCATGATAGTCTTGTCCTTGTATGATGAATGATCGATTACCAACGGCAGCGTATTGATATAAAGCCCAACGGATCGTTCAATTCCGCTAATGGGCAGGTTTCTTCCAGAGATGGTCGTGCCGGTGATGGTATGACTGCCGCCTCCATAAGCGTGAAGCACGGCGTGCCAAACAAACTGGAGGATCGAATGTAAGGTAATGCCTTGGGCGGAGCAGGCCTGACGGAGTTCTCCTAGCCATGTATCTCCGGAGAGGGTCACTGTCAGCTGTCTCTGGTCCTGTACCTGGTCATAGTCCCCTAGTTGGACTTTGTAGCGACTACGCTCGTTCAACAAGGCATTCATATCACACCGCTCGGCGATCCTCTCAACCACCTCGGCCCAATAATCCAGGTGATCTTCACGGTGTGCTTGGAGATACTGTTGGGTGCGAGCGTAAGGGTCATCCGCGGGCGGGGCGATATTGTTCCCATGGAGCAGTTGCAGGTAAGTGTCATGGACCATCTCGAAGAGAAGTGGCAGACTCCAGCCATCAAGGATTGCGTGGTGGCAGCTGAAGAGACATGTGAAACGAGTCTCGCTGTGTTGTATCAGATAGATGCGGAACAACCTACCGGCATCTAGTTTGTAGGACTCCTCGCGGTCCTGGCGCTGCAAGTCGGCCAATTTCTGATCCTCGACAGCGCCCGCAGGCACGTTGGCAAAGCAAATGAAACGCAAATCCAGCAGTTGATCCTTGTCGATCACCTGTAAGACCTCCTTTCCCCACTCGAATCGAAGCCTCAACGCCGGATAGACCTGTTGTGTGTGTTTCCAGGCCCTCTGGAACAGATCTGGGGATATTGTGATATTATATCGCAGGACGGACTGCATTATATAGGCATCTGATTGTTCCATGTTTTTAAGATAATGGTAGACAAACCCCTGCTGAAGACTGTTTGCCATATATACCTTACTGGTAGCTGCATCTATCTCCAGTGGCCCTGACGGCACATCAGGCTCGCTCTCATAGCGCCCATCGGATGCCTCCTGCTGTTTGCTCTGCAGAAGATGTGACATGCGCTCGAGTGTCCTTGTTGCGAAGACGTCCTCGACAGAGATGCTTACCGAGAGTCGCTCTCGGATGCGTGCAATGAGTTGAATGCAGGTGATGCTGTGTCCTCCAAGACGGAAGAAGTTGTCGTTGCGAGAGATCGATCCGTGGCGGGCTTCCAGTACGTCGACCCAGATTTGCCCGAGGGCAAATTCCATGTCGCCTCGGAAATCGGAACGAATCTCGGAGGATTTGTAGATATTGACGGCTGGCAGAGCGCGCAGGTCTGCTTTTCCGTTCACGTTCACGGGGATCTGCGACAGCTGCACCAGCCGCGTAGGGATCATGTATCGAGGCAGTTTCTTCTCCAAAAAAGACAACAAGTCTGTCTCGGATACCAAGGCGTTGTCGCAGACATAGTAACCCACGAGGTGCTCGTTCGTGGTCTCCTCAGTGCCTTTCTGGAGCTTCTTGGACACCAGCAAGCTAGTCCGGACGCCGGGATACTGAGCCAACGTCGCCTCAATCTCGCCGGGCTCGATTCGGATGCCTCGCAACTTGATCTGGAAGTCTGCGCGTCCCAGATATTCAACTTCACCGTTCGGAAGCCAGCGGGCCAGGTCGCCAGTCTTGTACATTAAGCTGTTAACTCCCAGCTGCTTCTCACGCTTCGTCTGGAAGGGGTTGGGGATGAACCGCGTCGGTGTAAGATCAGGACGGTTGAGGTATCCCTTTGAAATACCCAACCCTCCAATGTGCAACTCGCCCGTGGCCCCAATGGGGACACGCTTGAGGGCAGGATTGAGGATGTAGCACTTGACGTTGCGCACAGGTCTTCCCAGACTGGTGTCTTTGCGAGTTGAGTCGGACTCAAAGATCTTGAGGGCTGTTACGAAGGCAGACTCGGTGAATCCATACTCGTTAAGGATGCGGTTCTTGAATCGCTTGCGCAGGGCCAGGTACCGGGCTTCTGTTAGGTTTTCACCCACCAGAATCATTCGCTTCAGGGATGGGCAGTAGGAGAAGTCGTATTCTTGTAGGACAGAGGCAGTACCATTGAGGTAGGTGATGTTGTGTCTGCGAATGAAGGGAAGGATTTTGTCCGCGTCATACTTTTCCGCGTCATTGATAATGGCCAGGAGATGGCCATTTACTAGTGCCATGAGCATTTGGCGTACGAATGGCTCGAAAACGTAGGCCGAGAAGAGCAGAATTGCTTCGTGGTGTTTCCCGGCCACCCCATAACGGGCAGACAGGTCGGTGATACTGTTGACCACGTTCGTGTGCTGTTTAAAGATACCCTTGGGGAACCCTGTAGTTCCAGACGTGTATGTCACGTAGGCGAGTTGCCTGCTTGTGAGAGGGAGGTCATCCAAGTTGTGCGCTGGGAATTTCGAGGTATCTTGAGCGAGGAATGTGAGCAATGGCTCCAGGTGAATAATGCAGAGTTTCCTATCGCCGACGATCTGTTGCTCAAGCCTTTCGGCGTGCCGATTACTGGCGATGATGACCTGTGCCTCGGTGTCATCCAGCACGAAACGGACTCGCTCATCTGGATACGTCGGGTCAATGGGCACATAGGCCGCGCCAGATTTCCACACACCCAGAATGGTAACAATGAGCATTTCACTCTTATCGAGAAACAATGCGATGATCTGCTCGGCCTGGATGCCTGTAGAGTGAAGATAGCGTGCGAGACGGTTTGCCTGGGTGTTGAGCTCGCCATAGGTGATCTTTCGCTCCTCGCAAACCACGGCGACCTTGCCTTCTTGGCGTTCCGCCTCTTCTTCAATCAGATGATGCAGTCGCTTGCATGCTGGGTACTCGCCGTCCGTGTTATTCCATTCCTCCAGCTGCTGCTGTTGCTCTAACGACAGGAGTTCAATATCGGTAACTAGCGTCGCTCCTCCTGTCGCTGCTTTAGCGATCAAGATGTTAAGGGCATCTGTGAAATTACATATTGTCTCCTCATCGAAAAGACAGTCGGAAAAGCGCAGTGTGAGCTGGAGTCCAGCTTCACTCTCATCCACCATAACTGCCAGGGGGAAGTCAAATAACAGAAGATGAGCATCGTTTGCCTTGGCGAAGACGACAAGTAAGTCAAACAACCCCAAATTCACGAGACTTGACGCTTTGTCGATCGTGTGTGTGGACAGCTTCTTCGAACTGCGCACCGCTTCAATGCTTTCAATCGCCTGCGCAACGGAGCATTCGCCTCTGTTCTCATGGCTGACGAATATGGGCGACACCGCCCACGAAGGCCGAGAATCCTGGGAGTTCCCCTCGAGGTGCAGAGAGGCGGTAATGGTTTGTGATCCATTACCAAAACCTTTCAGCATCTGGTGGATCGCAAAAAGAATGACGGATCTCACGCTAACATGGCGTTCAACACACAGCTCTTGTAACGCGGAGTATACCTCGCTAGGGACCGCCATGAACCGCTGCCTGTAGACGGTGCTCGCGTCCCCAAATCCCGTTGATGCAAGCTGATATCTCGTGGGGTCGGTTGCTAGACCGCTCACGTCGCAGCGCTCGGTGATCTGGTTCACCGAATCCTTCCATCGTTCGATACCTCCAGGAAAGCAGATGTGGATACTGCTTCCCATTGCATTCTCATTGTGAGGGTTGATATCGCCATTGCTGGGTTTAGCTATGCTATTGTCAACGCTCGCACCTCCATTGGCTCTGGAGTCCGTGGTACTCGATATGATTATCGAACCTGAACCGGTTTCGTGCGTCATATCAACTATTAGTCGCTGGGAGCGCGAGAACGATGGCCGTTGACAAGGGCAATGCTACAATAGTAGTTAAGAAAGACGCCATAACAAACAATTTAGGCACTATGCGGGGAATAATTTATATTGTGCTGGCCACGTTCATCTCTCGCTGCGCAGGTATTTTCTCTACTTGGTCTATTTCCAACAAAAAAAGACTTGTGCTACTTTAGACGTCCTCCTCCCCGTCCCAAGACAGGGTGGAGATGCCGGTCCACGGTAGACCAAATGCCATTTGCTCCTTCGCCGTCGAGTATCCCCACGTTGCAGCGGAAGATCGCCCCACAGATTTAATCCACAGGAACAGCCCCGCGCCGTCATGCTACAAGGGATGGACTGCATAGTCCAGACCACGGCTGATTCTGATTGCAGGAGGCGCAAAGCATGAGACGGGCCCATGTCTTGCTCCAATGGGTCAAGGTGGTGCCGACATGTGAATGTGTGCTGCTGCACCCTGGAGCATAGCCGTCGTTGGTATATCTGCCTTTCGCCTTTTGAGGCTTGGCAGATCCACCAAGTGTAAGGACTCGAACATCCCCGGCTCCATTTCTATTACGGCACCTGTGTTCTTGCAACTAAAGGTGGGGGGGTAAGGGGGAAGGGGACGCCTCTTGCATGATAACAGATGTCGCGATGCAGATTAGCCAAGCATCCAGACCAGTAAGCACTCTCTGACTATTGACCTCGTTATCCGGCTAACAGTTTATGTTGGCCCCCGCAGGACCATCGAGCAATGAAACCTTAGGGCTAATGGAGATGGTCTTGAGGTCGCCACAGCGTAAAACCCCTTCTGTGGCCCTTTCAGACGTAGAGAAAGAGGTGACCTTCTTTACGATTGTGCTCGTCACTCGTTGTCCTCTGAAGGAAATCTTACCTCCTTTCGCCCTCGCTCTTCCTCTCTTCGTGGCCGCTCGTAGTCATTGGAATCCTACCGTATTTTTCTTTCTGCACACCATGACTTCCACCCCCAAAGCCAATGTCCCCAAGATTGATGTGTCGCCCTTGTTTGGCGACAATCTAGAGGAGAAGATGAAGGTCGCACGCGCAATTGACGCTGCCTCGCGCGACACCGGCTTCTTCTATGCGGTCAACCATGGAATCGATGTGAACCGACTCTCGCAGAAGACCAAGGAGTTCCACATGTCCATCACAGATGAAGAGAAATGGGACCTTGCTATTCGCGCCTACAACAAGGCGCACCAGGACCAGATCCGGGCTGGGTACTACTTGTCTATCCCTGGCAAAAAGGCTGTGGAATCCTTCTGCTATCTAAACCCTAACTTCAAGAGCGACCACCCTCGCATCCAATCGAAGACGCCTACTCATGAGGTCAACGTGTGGCCCGACGAGACGAAGCATCCGGGCTTCCGCGACTTCGCCGAGCAGTACTACTGGGATGTGTTCGGGCTCTCAACGGCATTGCTGCGAGGCTATGCTCTGGCACTGGGCAAGGAAGAGGACTTCTTCAGCCGCCACTTCAAGAAGGACGACGCGCTCTCCTCAGTCGTTCTCATCCGCTACCCATTCTTAGACCCTTACCCACCAGCTGCAATCAAGACAGCCGCGGACGGGACCAAATTAAGTTTTGAATGGCATGAGGATGTATCGCTCATCACCGTCCTGTACCAGTCCAACGTGCAAAACCTACAAGTGGAGACCCCTCAGGGATACCTTGACATTGAGGCGGACGACGCCGGCTACCTGATCAACTGCGGCAGCTACATGGCACACATCACCAATAACTACTACCCCGCCCCCATACACCGGGTCAAATGGGTGAACGAGGAGCGCCAATCTCTTCCATTTTTTGTCAACTTGGGCTTTGACGAGACGGTCCAGCCGTGGGACCCTTGTAACCCCGACGGCAAGACCGACAAGGAGCCAATCTCCTACGGCCAGTATTTGCAGAATGGCCTGGTTAGTCTGATTAACAAGAACGGTCAGACCTAAGACGAGAGGTAGCCGAAGGTACCAATTGAATACCTTAATGCAAAAATGTCCACATCTTTCGTATTCGTCGAACATAGTTTATGCCGCGGCCGATCGCTCCATCCAGTAAAAGACTAATTCCACACTGAAAGGCCAGCCTGTCCTTCTTGTCTTGTCATAATGAGGTCGCCAATGGGTTACCTAAGACAATGCTTTCTTCAGCTCCAATTTGCCGAAGTCATCACCTTGGCATTTGCCACTGCGTGCTTCACGATGACTTTTTTTTTTTTTTTTTTTTTTTTGGCTAAACATGCCACCGCAGCCGCCGAGATGTTAGGTCTCGAATAAGGGAATCAGGACGATTTCGAGAGCTCCTGATTGGTGCTGAGGGTTGCCAAAATGCGGCCCTAATCTAGAAAAGTCTGCATAACGCTAAATATATGGATTTAAATTGAATACTAGTGGATACCTCGTGTTGGGCTCCACTTGGGTCCGGACAACAAAGGCCATTTTAGCCTAGCGATGTATCAAAGGCTATCTTAGGCAAGGCCCATTCAAGTATACTGTGCACCCTCATGCTACAACATTGGGGCTTGAGTTGTAGGTTGTAGTAAGGTGGACCGACAAAACAAATTAATATGTCTCAGTGCGCATTTCCACCGCGATAACCAAACTCAAGGCCTACGTCTCTCATCTTTTTCTGTCCAACTACGGCCCACACCCAACATGCTTCAAGTTACTTGCCAAGGCACCCCTTTCGAGGTAGGTCTTTTGCTGAACATCGCAACTCTTCATGAAATCAGCTAAGTTCTGACCTGGTTCAGATTGGGTACCAACATGGCTCGACCGCCAAAGCTGTGATCGCCAAATCCATTAACTTCGCCGTCGGTCTCATCCGAGGGAAAACGAAGAAGACGGAAGACGAGCTTAAGCAGATTCTCGCGGAGCTGGGAAGCGTGATTGAGAAAAGATGGCCCAGATATTACGAGGAGATTCGCGGTGAGTGCCGCTTCTGTCTCCTTACCTTCTCTATCATGCTGACAGGGACTCGTGAAAACCAAAGGTATCGCAAAGGGCGCCGAACGCGATGTCTCCGAGATTGTCATGCTCAATACCCGCACAGAATTTGCGTATGGCCTCGTCGAAGCCCGTGATGGCTGTACCACCGTCTATTGTAAACTTCCCAATGGGGCACTACAGGGCCAGAACTGGGATGTACGTCAAGACATTGCTCCTTCTCAATCCCATCTTGTCGAATCTGCCGCTGACATTTACATTTCCATTCTCTCCTGAGTTCTAGTTCTTTTCCGCCACCAAAGAGAATCTGATTCAGTTGACCATCCGTCAGCCCGGCCTGCCCACCATCAAGATGATCACAGAAGCTGGAATTATCGGCAAGGTTGGATTTAACAGTGCAGGAGTTGCCGTCAACTACAATGCTCTTCACCTTCAAGGTCTTCGGCCCACTGGGCTTCCTTCGCATCTTGCCCTCCGCATGGCGCTTGAGAGCACATCTCCTTCCCAGGCCTATGACCGGATCGTGGAGCAAGGTGGAATGGCCGCCAGCGCCTTCATCATGGTCGGCAACGAGCAGGAAGCATACGGGCTGGAATTCTCCCCCATCAGCCTCCGAAAGCAGGTGCTTGACGCGAAGGGCAGGCTAGTGCACACCAACCATTGCTTGCTCAACCACGGCGAAAATGCGAAAGAACTCGACCCTTTACCGGACTCGTGGAGTCGCCACCAGCGTATGGAAAATCTTCTCGGCGGGTTCAATGGTACCAAAGAGGCATTTTCCCGTCTCTGGGAGGATGAAGACAACTACCCTTTTAGCATATGTCGAGCATACGAGGAAGGTAAAAGCAGGGGCGCGACTTTGTTCAACATCATGTACGATCATGCGCGCCGAGAGGCGACTGTGCGCTTTGGCCGGCCGAAGAACCCGGATGAGACGTTTGTTTTGCGGTTCGACGATGAGGACAAAAGGTCTGCGCTCAATGCTAAACTTTGAAGTGCCTCTTTTGACTGACCCCCATTTGGCAGTGCTGTATCCTGATCTCTGCATATAGCTCAATCTGACCATTTGTAGTATATAGAACGATGAAGAAAAGCTTCACAAAATAAGTCAATGGGGTACTTGAAATATATCTTCTATAACGACCTAGTCATTTTATATAAGAACCATTCATTTTGGATCGAATAATCATATGGCTAAAGTGTTAGGTCCAGGGACGGAATCAAGAAATAAACAAACCTGCACAAGGACTGTGACGAGAGACTGAAGAGGCGTCGGCGATTTATAGAAATATAGATAAAGACCCCAGAAGGTGCAAAGTTCATTTGACAGCCTCCAGATAGCCCTTCACCCGCAATGTGTTATAACACCGCGGACTCGCCAGAAGCCCTCTCAATGCAAGTGACTACGATCGACATGATGATGAAGAGCATAATCCGGGTTACGAAACGTTGTGTATCTGTTCCATTTTTTACGAAAGAATTGCAAGCGTAGAAGAAGCGTCATCATCTGCCATAGGAGAGCATAACTGCCTACAACATATTATGTACTTACTTTGATGAGACTGTGCCACGACGGGAGGATACGTTATACTGAAGTCAGGTACAGATACTGCAATATTACCCGATGGCAACCGGTCAAAAGGCCTAAGCGACAAGACTCCAGGCATGTGCAAAACTATCGGGACATACTTCCTGACCTTTAGGGGTTGCAGTTCATGATCCTGTCTGGGGTGTCCGCGGTGAGCGTAAAACAAGATTAGAATGGCCCCATCATTGTATATCTAATGTATCGGAGTGATTGGGTCAATCAGATTCCAGAACCCCCAATTGGCTGTATGAATATTTTGCTTGACGACATCCGATGGTAGCCTTTCCTCTTCTGCCGCTTACGCTTGCCCACAAATTGGTTCCATTATTGTGCTATAAGCGTAGCTTTATGTCCTGCATATTGTACTGTTCTTGTTTTATCATATGCTATTCACGACGGTGTCCGTGGTTCAAGCTACCATAACGTTTCTTCAGAATCCATTTCCTTGATACCGCCTTTGTATAAGGTATTAGCGCTCCACATTGCCTCACAGATCCCCGCAGTTCCGTAAATGGAGGAGATGAGGAAGGGTCTGCAGCAGAGCCAAAATGGGTTGTGAAGCCTGCTCCATATTGCTAATAGTTCTAATGGCTAAGGATTACTATATACACCCACTCGGGATCATTATCCCCTATCCATGAGAGTTTAACAAACGACACCGGCACTGCTCTAGGTATCCGACTCTCCAGCTTTAGGAATTCCTTGGCCATGGTAAATTTAGGTATTCGAGTTACACTTCGTTGGGTTATCATCATATAACATGTGGCATCTGCCCTCTGCCCGTTGGGGCAACCCAACACTTTCCCCATCCTATCACCTGACGTGTGTGCATATACAGAGCTATGGACCCTAAGTTATGAATTGACTTCAGACATTGGCGTCTAGGCAACTCCACACCCATAGTTGACGTATGTTTGTGCCCAATCCAGACATGTCTTTTACTCTATTTTGACGTATGCTCGGGTATAAGTTCCATGGCCAGATCATACCCTGCAAACATGAGACGCAAACGTTCAGAAAACAGTGGCTATATATACCAGTCAGTATATCCTCCGTTCTAGTCAATTATTCTTTATCCAAGTCCTCTCAAATATTCTTCATACACAAGATCAATATCAACAGCAGCTATCTCCATTCAAGCTCAACCATCATGTCCTCACTTGGCAGCACCGATCTTGCCGGTCTGACGACCGATGACAAGAACCTGTACCTTTTCTACCAAAGGTCCGGCTACATTGTCGAGGCCTTCTCCGAGGAAGGTGGCCCTCCCACGCAGACATCTGTGCAAGTCGCCGCAGACGCGCAGAGTGGCGGCTCCCCTTTGACTGCCTACTTCGTCAAAGAGGACATGAACTATGACAAGCATTCCACGGTATGAGTACACCGGAGTATTGAAATAATTGCAATCCTACTAACGACAACCTCTAGATCCACATGATCTATCTCAACAAAGAAGGACACTTAGTTGAAAAGGTCAGACGGGTTTCTTCGGACAAGTGGGAAGACGCGCCCAAGCCTCCGGGCCATGCCGCAGAAAACTCGCGGATCACCAGTGGTGTGTCCCAGAGGGGCTTCGAGCGGGAAAGCTCCCAGGGAACCCAGTTGGTGTTCTTCGTAAGGTGGGGGCTATGTCACATAATATCCTTTATGTTACCAGTACTGATGGAGTAACAGCCGGGAGGAGCATGGGAAGTCGCCCATTACTGAACTTCGCCGGGACAACAAGGGTAACTTCCACCTGGAGCACGTACTTTCGGACGAGCCCCTCTCGCTTCCCGGAACGCACCTCGCATGCATTGTTACTCGGGAGAACGTGGACCTGTATCACCAGGATCATGACAAGAATATCAAGTGGTGGAGGTATGAGGCCGAACGCAGGCGCTGGGAGAGTAAGTTGATACCTCCCCAAACCCCTTTGTTTATAGCAAGGCTGATCCTCTGTCCCTTATCTAGACAAGGGAAAAGTGCTTGAGGGCAGCAGAGTCATGGTCAGGACTCCGTTGGCTTCTGTACACTACGAAGGCAAGAACCACATTCTCTATGCCGATGATCAGATGAGATTGCGGGACTACGTTGACGGCAAAACTATTGATGTTGTCCGGAGAGTCTATGGGGACGCTGGAATCAATGCCATGGTGTATCGCAACAAGATCATCTTGTTCTACAAGATGGTCGACCCCGAGGGAGCCATCGGCACTGCGTCGTTCACAGAGGGCAAGTGGAAGGAAGAGGGTATTTTCATCAAGCCCTGACGGCAGGAATGAGGATATTTCCACCAACGAAATTCGTCATGCCTCCTTGATTTTGCTTGCTTTGCTTTGCTTTCTTGGCTTTGCTTCCTTGACCTTCTTCGTGGCGTTATACTAATGCTTTTGGACGGTTAACTCTGTTGTGCCTTTGCTTTTGCTTCTTCGTAAAACTGCTCCACAGATTGGAAAAGCTTTAGGTGTTGAATTCTACTCAATTCTTTGATCTCTAACTCTATATCACTGCAAGATATGTGCGTATAGATTCGTTCTTTGTCGGAAAGGAGACGTGTAGAGAAAGTCCTTGCTATTCACTTCGGGTCAAGAAGGAGAGGATATTCACTTTGTTGGTTGACAAGAAGAGCTGTGGCAACACAACGGGGCGCATGAATTGGCCTGGACTCCGGTAAAACTGGACTCCGGTAAAACACAAGTCAGCTTACTTGCAACATTATCTATGGAACAGCTTATCGATCTTCTTCTTCTTCTTCTCTTTTCTGTATCTATAGATCACTCACATCTGCCACAATGGAGTCAGGGAGCAATGCAACCCATGTGATCGATCCAGACGGAAATGTAATGATCATCTTACAGAACGCAAACAAGCCCTTTGCTGCTTCCAGCGAGGAATCCAACCCCCCCAAGAAGTGCAAGACGTCTCAGAATCAAGAGTTCCGCATTTTAGTTTCTGCAAGCCACCTCACCTTTGTGTCACCGGTCCTCAGAAGCGCCCTTGATGGAACTTGAAAGGAGGGCCTTACACTCTGCACTGCAGGCTCAGTCAATATCACCGCGGACGGTTGGGATCTCGAGGCATTTCTAATTCTGTTGAGAATCTGTCACTGCAAGCACCACCAAGTTCCTCGAACGCTTAGCCTTGAATTACTTGCGAAGATCACTGTTTTGGTGGATTACTATGAGTGCTTCGATGTTCTGCGATTCTTCGCGGATACGTGGATTAGCTGCTTAGAGCAGGACTTTCCAACGCAATACTCGCGAGACTTGCTGCTATGGGTGTGGATATCTTGGGCTTTAAAACTGCCTGCTCTCTTTCAACAGGCAACGGGGGTCGTTATAAACCAAGCCACGGATTCAGTTACGGCGCTAGGTTTACCAATCCCGCAGAAGATCATCGGTAAGAACCAGTTATGTCGCTGCTTAAATATTTACTAAGAGGTCCAAAAGACAACATCAACAGAAAGAGAGAATCGATATTTCAGTATACATTTGCCACGCTAGACAACCTTCAAAAATCTCTCATTGATGGAAGGAAAGGTTGCTCTCCTGGATGCAGGTCAATTATGCTTGGTACTTTGATGATACAGAGGCGTTCGAACGGTTTACTCACGTCAGATGGCACAGCACCTCTTGCAGGTTTAAAGGCTGGTGACCTTGTGACAAAAGTGGGTAAACTTAGTCCCCCAGCATGGCATCCAGGACATAATTACTTTTCTAAATGTCATGAGGGTATCTTGTCTAGCATGACTTCGGAACTGAAGCTAAGTCTCCGGGGTCTTGATCTTCAATACCAAACAACTTAAAGTCATTCAATAGAGGGCTTGCCTTTCCTTTTCTGTTCCGGGTGAGCAAACAACATTTCTAGGTGTCCTTGACGTGACCCTTTACGTGATGCCGCATACTTATATGGTGACATTAGCGACCTGCTCCTTTACTTGAAATGCTTCTTTGTTTGTTCTTCTCCTATCTTTTCTTTTTCGGCTTCTAGCACGCTCTTCACACCATATCTACAAGCAGTAACATAGCGAGTGACACAGACAATTAAGGAGAGCTCACTATTCTCGCATTTAAGTACTTCAATAGGTAGAGGAGGGTTTAGATGCAATATGTCAGGGTACATAGTTCAATTCCATGCCAGTGGAAGTTACTTAGGCCAGATTCAATCAGTCCCAAGAGTGCCTTCCTAGGATTATTCCTGTAGAGATTGACATGCCAGCACAAAAAGGGCGCAGTCCGGCAAAGTCAATCAATATTCGAATCGCAGCTACGATATACAAACAAGTCTTTAGTATGTTGCCTTAGACGTGAATCCAGTATATTTTACCATGGTCCATCTGACCAAAGTTCCTTTGAATCACCAGGGCAACCGGTGAAGCGATGTAGTGAGATCCAAATACTATGGACCACCCCGGAGTATAAAGTAAATGTTCCATATGTCACGAGATGAATAGCACATGACCAAATTAACTAAATATACTAAGAACTCAAGGTTTATCCTTTAGTACTTCAACTCTCATTCAAACCACCAGTCCTTCCAAAGCTTAACTCGACTCAACCCACGGCATTTTGAATTCAGAGGGTGCTTCAGAACCGGATACCTGCCAAGTTCACACAAGTTACTGCCCAAGACTGCATTAAGCTTCGTCAAATCCGCTATATCCCAATTTTATTTCACGGTGGCAATTGGGTAAACACATGGCACGAAAACAGAAAAACAGAAAAACAGAAAAACAGAAAAACAGAAAGAGAGACAAAGAGACAAGAGGGAGAAAAAAGAACTTTCTTTCCAATATCTAACTTGCACAACCCCTCACATTCGGGCAGGTCCTGGCTTTCTCTCACCAAGTCTGATTTGCCCCAGGGCCCACTCTCTAAGTAAGCGAACAATGCCTTCGATCTGGCTCTCCGTATTGTCAGCGTGTATGACAATCCGAATTCGATTTTTGTCCTTAGGCACCAGGGGAAAGGTCATTGGGTTTACCCAATACTTGGCCTGATGTAAATGATGTGCCAATTCCTTCGCCTTCCCTGGCTGGACCACGATTGCAGCTATGGGGGCTAGGAAAGGCTCCGATCGCCAGGTCTTCTCGGTCAGAAGATAAAAAATACCCTTTTCTTTTGCATGCTTCCACTCAACGCTTGTCGTCAGTGTCTGGTAGAAGAACTGCAGATTTTTCTGCAGTCGGCATCGACGCTACGACATAGAGTTAGTCGGTTAGAGCCTTATATAAAAGGCTAAACGAACCTTTTCTCCCTCCTCACTGGCTAACAGGTCATAGCCAGCTTTCACGGCTAATACGGTAAGAAAGCTAGGAGCTGTGCTAAAAATGACGCTACGGCCATAGTTGAGGAGCGCGAGTTTAATTGTTTCGTTGGCCAATAATACCGCTATTTTCTCTCGTTAGATTCCAGATACAAAGCACGAAACGATGATTCTTACCCCCAGTCGATCCTAGTCCTTTCCCACAAGTCTGGAGTCGTATTCCAAAGACATCCTCCAGCCCATAATGACAGATGAACCCTGAGCCATTTGGCCCGACAACTCCATTGGAGTGCGCCTCATCGATTGCAAGCACATAATTGCCCAGCGGCAGGGTGTCACGGACAACATTCACTATCTCAAGGACTGGAGTTATGTCACCATCCACGCTGTAGAAAGATTCAAGTGATATAAAGACTACCTGTTTCCCTTCAGAAACAGCACGGTGCCCAGCTTGGATGTCCTTCAGGCAGTCTCGAAGAGATTCACAATCATTGTGTTGGAATGGGACAGTCGTGGCTCGTCCTTGTCTCATTCCGTCATGAATGCTTGCGTGCACAAATTCGTCGTAAACGACAAAGTCACCAGGCTGAGGGATTGCAGACCAAACGGCTACATTAGCATCATACCCCGAGTTAAAGAACATAGCCGACTCAGCACGGTGAAACTGAGCCAAGTCACGTTCAATGTGCTCTAGATACTGCTTGGTACCGTCTAAGATTCGTGACGAGGTGCTTCCGACAGTGAAGTTAGGGTGTTTCCGAAGCTCGCGCAAAAATGCCATCGATAGAGCACCGGAGGATGACAGAGAGAGGCTGTCGTTAGAGCTAAAGTCTGTCATTTTAGCCAGAGTAGCCGCAGAAGGAGGGTCAATAAGTCGACCCTCCTCACGACGGTTGTCCAGCGCAGCCTGAAGCTTATGGCAGAGAATATCGAGTCCCGTACTCATATTGTTGTCTTAATGATTCCTGCTTCTATGTGTCCGATACTTTGCAGCCTGTCTACCTTTATATAGTAGTACTGGACTGCATCACAAACTACAATCTTTCCGGTACATTTAACTTTAGTGAAATCGTGAGTACTTCATAGCGCCACATCCTGCTGAGTCCTGGGACACAAAACCTGATCGTGCCATATCTTTCGTGGCAAATCTCAATGAAGACCCTAATCACGTGTGGCATTGAGGCATGTCGGTGACCTGATAGGTTCGGTTTTTCTTGTATCGGAGCAACGGCTCCAGGTGACTGTACTCACGGGCCCGTGCTCTCAGCGCGCAATGTGTTGTCAGTATCCAAGACCCTATCAGGTTTTTCAAGCATCCCTGAATGTGCTTGAAGCCTAGACGTCAATCGCTCATGTGGCTATCCAGTGAACGTAGGGAATAGTGCTCTCTATGTGACTTGGCGAACCCACCATGCAGCTCTCGGAACTCAATATAAGTATTTGAGTAGGCAACAGACAAATCAGCTCTCACACTAAACGAAGCAACCCCACAATTCTTCACCCCCCCCTGTTTATTGGGAATGTATATTCAGGAATGAACTGTATAACATCATAATAGGGTCATAAAGCCACATTCACTGCATTGTGGTATGAGAGCTTTTACTGATGGATCCAAGAGAGTGAGTACTAGATCAGCAAAGGTATATTTGGGTTATAGGCTTGGATTAGCCTGCTCAAGTGGCGCAAGATCAAGCAAGGACTGAGAATTGCGCACGACCTAGCCCTGATCTTCTCCAGTCACACTACAAGATTTTAGGTCATATGCATCTTTTTCCTACATCCCCAACAAGTCTATGCCCCCCTAAAGTGTTGTAATTCCAAGAATATGATGCTTAATTAGTCTGGATACCCACACAGCAGACTTCGATATGATAAGTGTGGAAAACTCAAAGTCGCCTGGCCACCACATTGGGCAGGAATAGTGACACCATCAGGGGTTGAATCAAGATAACGAGCAATAATAACAAGAAGCCGGTAGGGTAGCCTTGCTTTGCTATTTTATCTTACGGCATAGTGAGTCACAACAGCCAAGAGGCGCTGGATGAGGTGCGAGCATTAAACGATCAGTTATCAAATATACTTTGTACAAGTGCGTTACCAACTCAGGTACGTTATATCATCTAGTTGCAAGGTCAGTAAAGCTCAGCAAATTCTCATTCAACTTTACTTTCTATTTCTGAGCCTTGCAATCATGGAACAAATTATTTATGATTATGCTCAGCGAACCCCCGGTGCAACCGCCATTATTGATGGAGTATCAACCCTCACGTACGGTGAACTGGTTGCTGAGTCTAAAGCTTTAGCTCAGATACTGACGGAAGAAATTGAGATAGCCATAGAGGAGCCAGTTGGAATTCTACTCGATCCAGGGAGGTTACAAGTCGTTGCTCAACTTGCTGTCCTTCTGGCTGGAGGCACCTGTGTACCGATTGAGCCGTCCTTTCCAGAAGACCGCATCACGTCCATGTTACAAGATGTCCAAGCTAAGCATCTCATTATGGAAATTCCTGGAAGCCGGACGCTTCATGGATTCAATCATATCCACTTCAGTGATATCAAAAAGTGCTCTACCCCTGTCGTTCCCGATCCAAAGTTTGGCCCTCAGGTCAGCCGGAGCCACATACTCTTTACATCTGGTTCAACTGGGAAACCAAAGCCGGTACAGGTCCAAGCAAGTAGCATCTTGCACCTTGCCACAAAGACTCCAGTGACACCACTTTCTCCAGAGGACCGAGTGGCAGAATTCAATAGTCCTGGCTTCGACCTCAGCTTGTTCGAGATATGGGTCACCCTGATCGCTGGTGCGACCATTGTGGTCACTCCCCGTCATGTGGCCACAGATCCTCATGCTCTCCCTGCGTTCCTTAGGGAGCAAAACGTAACTATCATCATAATCACCGCGGCACTATTTGAGGCTATTGTTTTCACTTCCCCCGAGGCATTTAAATCGTTACATCACGTTCTCACAGCGGGTGACGTCGCCAATGCGTGGGCGATGAGGAACGTATTAGAAACAGGCCCTCCTCGCCATCTGTGGAATACATACGGACCCACCGAATGCACGACACTGACAACTATGTTTGACGTGACACTTGAAGAAACCCACCGTGAACGTATCAGCATTGGACAGCCCGTGGGAGATATGGAAATCATCTTACTAGACAAAGATAATAAGCCTATTGTTGACTGCGGAAGACGCGGGGAAATTTGCATTAGAGGTCCTCAACAATCCTCTGGGTATTTGGCTCGGCCATCGGAGACTGAGAAATCCTTCATTCATTTACGTAAACAGGATCTCGGGATCCCGGGAGATGATGATGATCTTATACGTCTCTATCGGACTGGAGACATAGGTGCATGGTGGTCTGAACCCCGTTGCCTCGACTTTCTGGGCAGGTCAGATACGCAGATCAAGTTCCGCGGATTTCGAGTAGAATTAGGAGAGATTGAATGCATCCTGCAGTCTCACGAGGAAGTTCAGACAGCGGTCGTTGCTCGACTGCCGCCACTAACAACTGATGCAATGGAAGCATTGGTAGCCTTCATTATTCCGAAGGACTCGGACTCTGTACATCCAGAGGCCTTGAGGGACTGGGCTCGTAAGCGACTTCCACAATACATGATACCCAGTGCTATGAGTTTCATGGAGAAGTTTCCTTTGACAGCAAACGGAAAGGTGGACCGCAGGGCGCTGATAGATGCCCGGCTTAAGATGCTCGAGGAACAGAAACCCCTTCAGAATGGCACTGAAGAGAAACAAGGCAAGAATGAAATTCTTTCTGACCTGTGCAAAAATATTCTGAACATATCACAAATTCACGAACATGATGATCTATTCGATCTAGGAGCCACGTCACTCCAAGCTGCGACGCTTCTTGCGTTGATCCAAGATCGTCTAGGATGCATGGTTACGATGGAAGATCTTTACAGCCATTCTAAATTATCAAGTCTATCACAGCTTATCGAACTCATGGAGTCTGGGGTCTCATGTAATGCGCCTGATAACACCCGGCTGTGGTTAGAAGACGTAAGTCGAGTCGATGATATTGAACTAATTCCTCACTGGGAATCCGAAGATGAGGGAAGGGTGTTTATCACAGGGGTGACTGGCTTCGTCGGGGCGCACTTTCTTCACCGTTTACTATGCAGACCATCGGTCAAGCAGGTCGCTTGCCTGGCTCGCTCGAAGCGGAATGTGAGTGCAGCCACCCGGATTCGACGAGCCCTGGAACGCTACGACTTGTGGGCAGATTGCGCGGAACACGAGCAAAAGCTTGTGGTTCTTGACGGTAATCTGTTCGATAGTACCCTAGCCTTAGGAACAGAGCGCTTCACATGGCTAGCCAACTGGGCATCTATAATCTTCCATATCGGGGCTAAAGTGAATTTCTGTGAATCGTACCGCGAACACCACGGATCCAACGTAATCGGCACCTATAACGCGCTCCGCCTGGCCGCTGCAGGTCGTCGCAAAGCCTTCCATTACTTTTCCTCTATCGACGCTTGGGGACCAACCGGCTTCATCCTGGGAACCAAAGAGCTCTACGAAGATGAACCCTTGATGCCACACAGCCAAGCCGTACGATATGACCTAGGGTACTCGGGCAGCCAATGGACAGCTGAATCGATGGTACGTCGCATGCGTGACCGAGGTTTACCCACCGTCATCTACCGGCCAGGGTTCATCATCGGCGACAGTGTCACTGGACATAGCAATCCAGACGACTTCATGTCCCGGCTGATAGTCGGTTGCATCCAACTGGGCACATTTCCCAGACTAGACCAACGGCTAGAATATGTGACACTCGACTATGTGATCTCAGCCGCGATGCACATCGCCTCGTCCAATGAGAACCTAGGACGATCCTACAGCCTTCTATCGCCGGATCAGTCAAAATCAGTCACTGTCATAGATACCTGCCGCGTTATCAACGAGGCAGGGTACCCAGTGAAGATAATCGACTACAATGACTGGGTCGAGCAGGTCTTCGCAAAGCAACGACCGGATGGACCCCTGGCGTCTCTGTTACCAATGTTCCGGGAGCGTGTGCTCGGACGATTGACCCGTTGGGAAGTTAGTCAGTATACCCCGTATTATCGATCAGATAATACGGTCGAGGCATTGAAGGATCGGCCTGATATCCAGTATCAACCGTTGGATGCTCCGTTGCTGAAGAAGTACATCTCATTCTGGAACAGGAAGGGATTCTATAATGTGTGAAGCCAGTCTAGGTGCTCCCTCATCCTTCTCATTGATGCACTTGCTGCAAAGGTTCGTCTACCTTCGTAACAGAATGGGATACTACAAACTGTCAACAGAACTTCCCCTTGCTATTCACTCGTCCATTTCCAATTACACCACTCAACGAAAAGAAAAAGTAAAAGAGAAAGAAATCATGTAAACTTGCCAAGTCCATGGAAGACAATCTGTGCAAACACACCCCCAGAATAGACCATGCACATTAATCCATACTATTTCTTCATCTCTACTTTTATAAATTCCCTAATCACAGAATGCTATAATAAATAAACTCTGTGAAGGGTTTTAGTATTCACTTCCCAGCTAGTGATTCACTTGTGAGGCTTGTGTATTCTAGATAGTGAAAGGTTCATCATCTTCAGAACAAGGACAACTATTGTAGTTATAGTGGGACAAGGTCTCTGTTTCATTTTATAGCGCTTGGAATGAATCTACCTGGTTAAAAATATCTCACGAAATCCGAGTGTAGGCATTATTAACTATCCATCATGAGAAAAAATACCTTATATATGTGGCGATCGGCCTCTATAACTGACCGATTGTCCCGAAAATTCAACATTCACGTTCAACAAGGGTTAGATGAACGAGAAAAAAAAATCTATAAACTCGACTTCCCTCGCGTTTCATAGGGAATAAGCAACACCAAGAATCCTGCAACTAAGAACAACACTCCACTCACGTACACCGGGCTGGTCGTCTGTACGGTAGCGAATATGGCGATAATGGGGGCCAGAATGCCTCCCACGCGGTTCGCGGCACTAACTAATGCATTGCCCGTTCCACGGTCTTTGGTTTCGAACATCTCCGGGGTGTATGCGTACAGCACGGCGTATAGCAGACTACTTGTGAAGCTGTAAGCGCAATTCCAGCCGAGAAGTGCTTCCGAGGTTGACGCCGTCGTCGACGCCAGGAGAAACGTCCCTGTCGCGATGGCAGCGAAGGTGAGGGTTCCCTTCCGGCCCAGACGGGGGAGTTCAACCATAGCGCCACCGACGAGACTACCGGGAACGCCGACAGCCGCGATGATGAGAGAGTTGCGGTAGGTGGTGTAGGTGGAGCCGTCGCCGAATTGGACGCCCCTAGTTTGTTGGAGGTAGGGCAGGAAGGCATTATAGAGGGGGAAGCCGAGTCCAATGAGAGTCCAGATTAAGATCATCAAGCCAGTAGACCAGGCACGCAGCGGTGTGTTAAAGAGTGCTCTAACGTGCGAAAAGCTGAGGGGTTCCATCAGTATGCGCATCTGATCGGATGTACTGAGGCCCTGGCGCGGGACATGCTGCTCATCTTCGAGGGTTATTAGTTCATCCAGATTCTCTAGCGACAGATCAGATGTTTTTCCGTTGCGGCGAGCAACCTCATGGACTACAGTCACAGCTTCGTGATTGCGACCCTTGCCCATGAGGTACTTCGGGGACTCGTAAAGTGTGAAGAAGAGGCAGCGGACGATACACATGAGAAGGGCCAGCCCGCCCATGGTGATGAGGAAATACCGCCAACCCATGTTGTTGTCCCTGGTGCAAGTTTCTGCCGACGCACAGGTCAGATTGCCCAGTAGCGGCCATGCAATCAAGTTTGCCAGCAGCTGTGCCAGGGCCCAGTTAACGGACAAGACGGTCAGCAAGTACTGGTGTGATCCCGGCAAGAACTCGAGAAAAATGGCCGAATCCACCGGCAAGTTTCCGCCCACGCCGACCGACCATAAAGCCGCAAAGACGCCAACCGCCGCGAATGTAGGTGACCCGGCAGCTGCCAGGCCAAAGACGGCGGTGATGCCGATTGTGAGATTGAAAGCCCATCGTCGCCCGAAAAAGTCGCAGCTGAAACCCCAGAAGAGCGCCCCGATCAACAGTCCGATATTCTGGGCGAGAGTCAACAGAGGCGGTTGAGCGACGTTAAATTCGTAAGATATAGGCACGAGAATGAGTGAGGTGACGATCGGCCACAAATTATCACTGGCCCAACCAAATCCGATGACGGCGAATAGCTGCCACTGATATCGGCCCATTCCGATATCCTGGAGGGCTTGGTTCAGTACATCGGCGTTGGCTCGGTAAGTGGACGTCGCAGCGCCATCGTACGACGGTGGCCGCGGCGAAGAGGGAGGGTCGGGTTCGTCGGCTTTGGGCGTAGAGTCGTCCATTGTGGGGAGGGGTGTATAGTCTATCATCGATCTCTAAAAGTCGAATGAGCAAGGCAAGTCACTCGGGCAAGCAATCGCCCTTAAAAAAAAAAAAAGGGCGAGTACATGGAGATGAGAGGGAGGAGGACAATGCTGGGTACAAAGGGTTCTGTCTACAAAGTAAAATGCACGACTCACGTTATTTTGAAGACGCATCTTGGTTGGTGTAGTATTAAATGACGAAATCAGCCGCTTCGATGGTATCATTCACAGTGGATTGGATGCTACTCTTTCATCAGCCGGAGTTGCATTGCAATGTCAACCTGGAAATGAGGTGGGCTACATCGGTGACGGTTCAGTAGTCAGACTTAAGGAGGGAAAGAGAGCAATAAAGCACGGAGATGTTTTGATAGACTCCACATGGATCGAATTCACATTGAAGAAGTACAAAGTACTAATGGATTAAAGCAACTAAGAAAGAGAGTCGAGTTGACTATCGTCCCCGCAAAAGAGTGAATCTCCACCGAACACTGAGTTAAGTTAATTAATAATTAATTAATTAATGGGACCCGCGACGGTGGCGGGAACGAGACACCGTGGCGGATGATGTGGCTTTGGCGGCACTGCCGCTGCCTGAGGCAGCCCCCGCCAGGGCACTGTAGGGCGTGGCACCAGGGAAAAACGACGTGGGGATAGTCGGGATCGGGATCGAAGCGTCCGTTCCGAATGCGGTGCTCAAATCATTTGACATGCTGCTTGCATCGTATCCCGTCGGAGCCGCGGTTTCAGTGATAGTTGTGCTATAAGTAGACGTTCCATCACCATCCTGCAGACAAAATCCACTTCCAAAGCCATTCGCACAGCTGTAGGCCTGTTCATCGCCCGATTCCGTCCACAGTGCAAAGTCATCAATAGTGATATCAGTACAAGGTGCCTTTTCAGCACACACGATCTTAATCGGCCCTCTTGCCGCACCGTCTTCCTCGGTCCCCTTCCAGTTGCGCACGGTGATATTGTTCAGCTGCACACCGTCTCCTGATACAGTGCTCATGCTGCTCCATTCACTGTCAATGTCCAAGGAGTAGGCATTACCATGACCTAGGACATCCCAGCCATTACTATTAGTATGTGGCTCTGCCGGTATGAGAAGGGGCGTAAAACATCCCGATAAAGTTCTCCAATACCACATTCGAGACACTTCCACTACCGCCGTTACTCTTAATCATGTACATCTGGTTAGATTTCCAGGTGTAGATGTTACGGTACACCACGTCGCTGATGTTGGTGTCCACACCCAGCGATCCCATCGCACAACCTCCGCTCCAGTTACAGTAGATATTCTCGATCAGGATGTTCTTCGCGGGACTCTGTAATTCTGTCAGTGATGTAAGCTGTTGTGCCGAATGATGCAGGGAAAACCAACCTTGACTGTGACACATTCATCCTTGTTCGTCACCTCAACCTAAACGCATATACCATTAGCCGCAGTTTCAAAGAAATCGTCCGAAACGAGATGGACGAAGACGCACCAAAGGGAAGAGAGAAAAAGAAGTAGGAAATAAGAACATACATCATGGACCCAAACATTCTCACTCCAAACATCAACCCCGTCCAAACCACCGGAATCACCACCTCGAATGGCCATATTATAGAGCTCTGCATTCTTACACGTATCCAAAGACAGATGGAAAGCTGGAGAGTCAACAAGTGCAACATCATGGACCGAGAAGTCTGTCACATCATAGAACCGCAACAACCGGGGTCCGTCTAGACTTCCATCCTTGTGAAATTCGTATCCCAATCCCTGAATCGCACCCTGGGATGTACTGCTGAAGAATTCAAAGTCCGATGAATGTTCAATCATGAACAGGTTGCCGCCATCACTGCCAGCGCGGTAGATCATGCCGTCTAGCTGGATCGCGGAGGCTTTGCCCCCGGACAGCTTCAGCCTGGAAGACATAGCATATTCGCCCGATGGGATGTAGACTACTCCACCCTCGGCACAGTCGTCCCATGCCTTCTCAATGGCAGAGCCAATGTCGGTCTCCTTGTCGGCTTTGGCGCCGTAGTCTTGAACGTTACAGGTCTTGGTGCTCGCTTTGGAGCTAGAGGAGGTCACGGGGCCGACATGGCCTGAGAGTTGGGCGTTGACCAGCAACGGGGAGAGGAGGGCGAGAGAGATAAGCGATAGAGAGTGCATTGTGACGATTTTTGGACTCTGTTCTGTTTGGTTCTTTGGCTCTGACACGACGAGGCGGGCTTATTAGATGCGACACGGGTGCTATCGACTTCAAATACCATCCCAGCCCCCTGTATGTACAGATATAATCCTACAAGGTCACTACTCCTGACAGCCCCATAGAGATCCTTAAAATCATGCAACGGGGTATTAAACGGTACAAGATCAGAGTAAATGTTTGGAGCTTATCCCCTATTGTGACGGATCATCTCTCGTCTGACATCGAGAACGCGAAATACTCGTTTATATGAAACAATAGGATGCGTTTGAGAATGCTTAGCCTTGGGTACATGATTCATGGCAAAACCAAGGGCTTTCAGAGGTGTTGATTATCACTGCCGATATTGATGCCGTTGGTGGATAAAGGAGGTGGATCCTTCACTGCTTCTCTTAGGGTATCGGGGCGATGATCATGTCGGAGCTGACGCGCACGCGGCTGTTCGTCGTGTCAAATGGGCCGATCAGCGGGAGTTTGACACAGTAAAATCGGACCGAGAACTATATTGGATGCAGAGCCCATGGATCATAAAGGGGTAGTCTCCATCGGTTAGATCTAGACATAGTATAGTACCTCTGCTATGTATGTAGATTGAGTGGTGGATTCATCAGCGATCTGTAAGCGAGATTAAGCAACGGTCAACTAACGATCTCTGTTCGCTCTCTCATTCAAAGGCTTGCAGAGAGACTATCTTCTACTCCGTAAACATGTCTCGTGACCTACTAAGGCTCGGTTTCGGTGTTATCCAAGAACAGTGAATTCATGGTTATCACAAATTCATAGAACGAGCTAATTAGCTTTACCCTTTTTACCCACAACAATCTCACCAAGAATCCTTAGGACCCTTTACGTTTACCCAAAATTTACAAAAGTACATGCCAATATCCCGCGTTCTACCTTTTTCCCAAGCTAAGCTTCTCAGTTAGATCTGGACTCAGTCATCACTACTTGGAATGCCATGGTGTATCCATTGGCTTCGGCAAATCATAGTATCTGATAAACATGTTACAAAAGTGAGAGTCTGCTGTTATCCTGTTGCGTGAAGTGCATCAGCCATTCAACATCTTCCCCTGAGAATATGGTTATGTTGTTTGACGAGACAGCATGGCAATTACTCGTGATTCTAACTAGCGAAGAACTAAGAGCTTGAGCGGCATCTTTAGCTGATCAGGAGGAGATAATATGACACGGGAATATGATCTGTTTGAGGCGTGTGAAGCACTCTATATCTGAGCACTTGGAACTATATAATCTCATTGAAGCGATCGTCAAGTCTCGCAGTGGGCAATAACTTATTGGTGAGATTCAGATCCTTCAGACCCTTTAGATCTCATAGGCAAAACCCCGTCCTAACTCCTCACATATGAGTGCAATATTATACACCTCATAAAACACCTCTCCCGGGGATTTGTATATGCGTATATGTCTGGTTATCACTCAATCAAAGGGTAAAGAGATGAACCTCGTCTGAGGGTACACGGTCATATTTCGTTGCAATAACAGTAGATGGGCAGATTAACAGGATATGTTAACTAAACATATTTCATATGTTAAGAAATGTACACAGGAAGAGGGAAGATATTGATGAAAGAAAAGAAGGGGGGGGTTTATACTCCTGCAGGTTTTGCTGGAACCTGAGCGCCTGACGCTAATCCACACTCTAGGGAACACAACACAACACTCCTTGAGAAGTCGTGGCTCATAATGTCAAGCTAAGCTTACAGGAGAAGAGGGACTTTACGGGAACGGTAGCAACCGAGACTTTAAGAAGGGCTTCTTAAGTTGATGTTGCTGCACAACCCCAAGAGGCCTCTATTTTCTATTATGACGAAAAGGATACTGAGCGAAGCCATAAGCGGAAGCATGCCATTTGGCCAATGTTGATCATACTGTTGAACATGTCGTTATTCTGTGGAAAGAGAGAAAGAAATAGTGATAATCAAAATCCATTTGCCGGCAGCTAACTGGCAGCTCATAGTGGAAGGTGAGGCTTCCCTCAGCTGAGTATAGCCTGTGCGTCATCAATCAAGGTGGCTAAGTCAATCTCACTACACGTCAGGGTAACTGTTTAAATTGAGGCTAGGAGATTCTGAAAAAGTAGTGGCTCCTCTAGGTACGTCTTTCTCTTCTCATTGGCTTAGTGCGTGTCCCTATGGTCCTATACATCATCTTTCAGCGAGTAGACATGCACCAAAGGTTGAAAGGAAATACAAACCCAAGAAACAAACTGACTACACATAAGATCCTATTTTATAGATACCCTCCCTTATTGCTTACATTTAAAGATTATTCTTTCTCTTTGGTTTGACCTCTTTTCGTGGTTCCCGCAACCATCGCCTATGCTCTCGGCCGAGTTGTTATGTCTCGGATAAGATTATCATATAGAAATCCAAGAGTGAATAGCAATGACTCACAAACTAAGCTGTAGAGGTAAAAACGGGGCATATACCTAATCTGTACATAACTCTATAGAGATGACAGGCGTCGAAAGGTCCAATGTCAATGATTATTTTAGGCAACGAACGGGTGGCAACGGATGTCTCCCGAGTCCATAAAACTCTCCGGCAACCTTCACCTAGACATCAACCAGCTCACTGAACATCGACAAATCGAGTCATGGATAGTGCAAACGGAAGTTTAAGCCAACCCCAGCTCACGAAACATGATATGGGCTGGAGGAGGGTTGTTCGCAATTTCACCCCTTCGTAAGCCCTGAACCCTTTCCGTAGGGAGAACATTCTTGTTAAACCTTGGATACAGGTGGTTTTCAGTCACGATGGGCACGGGCATTGTGTCAATCCTACTAAATACCCTACCCTATAACGGCGAATGGCTCTACTGGATCTCTGTTGTGATCTTCGCCTTCAACATTCTTCTCTTCGCGATAGGATGTATCATCACCGTCCTCAGGTACTCGTTGTACCCGGAGATTTTCACGGTGATGATTACCCATCCGGTTCAGTCTATGTTCCTCGGGACATTTCCAATGGGCTTTGCCACTATCGTCAATATGTTTTGTTTCGTCTGCGTCCCCGCTTGGGGTGAATGGGCCAAGAACTTCGCCTGGGGGATGTGGATATTTGATGCCGTCCTCTCAGTCATTACCGCTCTCTCACTGCCATTTTTATTGTACGTTACATGTTCCCTCCCAATAGCAAGTTGGATTACACTAAATGCATCCTAGGATGGCCCATGGAGGCGAAACGCAACTCTCCTCCATGACCGCGGTTTGGCTCCTCCCAATTGTCAGCTGTGTCGTTGCCGGATCATCCGGCGGCATCGTGGCGGGTGTTCTCTCCAATCCGCAGCATGCGCTCTGGACTGTGATCGTTTCGTATGTCCTGTGGGGTATTGGACTTCCACTGGCCATGATGGTCATGGTGATCTACCTACAGCGACTGACTCTGTATAAGATTCCGCCCAAGGCGGTGATCGTCAGCGTTTTCTTGCCTCTAGGCCCATTAAGCCAAGGCGGTTTTGGGTAAGGGCACTTCTCCCCAGCATAATACATGAGATAGTAACGTTGGTAGGATTTTGAAACTAGGTAAAGCGGCACAGACCATTTTCCCTCAAACGCACACACTTCAGACATCATCGGGCGACGTCTTCTACACGGTAGGCTTCCTGATCGCTTTGATTCTCTGGGCCTTCGCACTTGTCTGGCTCTTCTTCGCCTTGGCATCCATTGTTCGATGCAAGAGCTTTCCGTTCAACATCGGATGGTGGGGGTTCACCTTTCCCCTGGGCGTCTTCGCCACCTGTACCTGTGAAGTGGGCACAGAGTTGCCGTCAGAGTTTTTTAAAATTCTCGGGACGGTATGGTCTCATTTATGCTTCTTGTCAGTGAATTTCGCACTAATATTTGATAGATTGTATCGCTTTGTGTGGTCGTGTTATGGGTTGTTGTGAGCGTTGGGACGCTCAAGGGAGTGGTATCCGGACAGCTGTTTGTTGCGCCGTGTTTGGCGAACCTGAAACTCAAAGAGGAGGACAAAGACACGACTAAGGCTGCATAATAGATCGATAGTGTACAGTGTATTTTTGTAGGATCGGTTGTAGTATTTTTTATCTTATTTTATATTTTTGGCACCCGATCGGGGTAGGGTGTGGGTTTAAGTTGTATATTACTCAATTAGCGAAATTGGTGGGCAGTAGCAATATTTCAATAATATATATAATTTCATAAATCCTAATGCACATTTAAGTAAAAAATAAAATTAAATTAGCCTACTGGGGAAGATAAGATTGGGTTTATTGATGTTACATTCTGGTTCTCGAATTGAATTCTTTTTATTTTATTTCATTTTTATTAATTTTTTTTTTTGTGTGTGTGTGTGTGTGTGTGTGTGTGTTGCGGTGGTGAAGGTTTCGAGGATCGTGGATGATGCCTTCAACCACCTTCAACCAAGCAAGAAAAAAGTCGAAAAAGAAATGCACAATCGAACCGGACATTTTTGCTAATATAAGCTTAAATGAGAGATTCGGATCTTATAGGCGGAAAGGGTCTGTCAGTGATATAATATGGGGGTGTATTTTGAATTGTTTTATTTTATTTTTAATATTTCAGTATTTAATAAATAATAAAAAATGAAAAATAATAAAAAAAAATTTATTGATTTATTTTAATTTTTGATTTTAGCCCATAGGACCTTATTCTTTAGTGCAGACCACAACCCTTTTCTGCATCCGGAAATCTTTTTGTTTCGAAAAGAGAGAAAGGGAAAAGAAAGAGAAATATTCATCTCGACCCTGACACCTCTTCTGGCCGATATATCGCGCATTCCCTCCGCCGCCCTCAACTGACACACCTTTCGTATTTTTGTCTTGACGACAGTCCATCGAGTGGTGTGGCTGAGCGATGAATGGCCATGCTGGCCATTCGTCACGTGATGCGGAGGGATGCTAAAAAAATAAAAAATAGAAAATGGAAATTCAAAATTCAAAAATCGAAAAAAATCGAAAAAAGGGCGAAAAAAGAACCACGCCAGTGATCTTGCGATCCCAAACAAATCATCCGCTTGGCTCTTCCCCAGATTCCAGTATAGCTGAACTTTTCTATCGAGTTTACGTTGGAAGAATCCCATTTCTCCCTGGGGAATCATCGTGTGCTCGTCCTCTGTTCCTTAGACACCTTCGCAGGTGGTTCGGGCGCAGTGGGTTTTTCTCCCCTTGTATTATTTTTGGGGGGTAATTTTCTAATAATTTTTTCCCTCTTTTTTTTTTTTTGAATTATTTTATTTTTTCTGCCTTCCCCAACGACTTGCGCCACGGAGCCAACCGTCTGCCGTAGAATCTCAGCCTAAGGCCACCAATCAATCCCCCCATATCATTTTCGCAGGTGCAAATTGCCGACACTCCACGGCAAATCTCCCTCCCCAACTGATACGCGCTCTAGGTGCGCGCGCGTTTTTTCTGGGAGAGTTCGGTCAATTGCTGCGAGCTGATACCGTCCTGTGATTCACGGTGGATCTGAATTTAATTCTCCAGCCGTCAATTACCGATTGGGAGTGTCCGTTCACCGTGCATACCGCGTCGGGACGCGGTGGTCACATGTTTGCTATCTGAAAGTCTGACGGTCCATCTAAAAAGGAAAAGCAAGGCACTTAGATAGCGCGGAAATTATACAACCCTCCTTGGGTTCATATCACCGCCAAGATGATGGGATATGGGGGTCATTCATTTCACCAGCAACGGCAAGCTCAGCAGAATGCTCATCCTCAGCAGCAGCAACATCTCCAGTCCCCGTCGATGGGGGCCGCTGCTGCGGCTGCGGCTGCCACGCATCAGCACCATAACAGTGGTATCGCCGGGAACAATTCCCTTCTGCGCGGCCAACAGCAAGCCGATCTGGCAGCTCATTCTCCAGATCTTCGTAAGATGACTCCGTCCTCGTCGGCGCCGCTAGTGGGAATTCCCACGGCCGGCAATTTTGCTTCCTTCCCTGGCCATTTCCCGCCCCAGGGTTCATCCGATCTGTTGTCTCGAGGTGCCGACTCAGTGGGTCAGTTAAAAGACCCTTATCTGTCGCTGCAGACCTTGCAGAGAAATATGAATCCCATGGCTAGTTTTCGCGGACACCCCGCGGCGGCCATGAACGCTCAGGCAGCCATGTCACCGCACGCGCATGCCATGGGCTTGTCGTCGCCGCAGCAGTCAATAGACCGCATGCAACATACGCAGTATCAACACCGACAGACGACGCATACCCATCCGGCGCAAACCCCCACGACGGCATCGCCCATGTTGGCCGCGGCTCAGCCCCAGCAGCAGCATCAGTACCAACAGCAACAGCCGCAGTATCAATCGGCACAGCAGCAGGCGCAATATCAAGCAACGCAGCAGGCTCAATATCAACCGCAGCAGCAAGCACAGTACCAGCAAGCCCAGCAGTCTCCCTACCAACAGGCTCAGGCTCAGCCTCAGTATCAAGCACAAGCGCAACAGTCGCCTTACCAGCAGCAAGTGCAGCAAACTTTCCAGCAACAGCAAGCTCAACAGGCACAACAGGTCCAGCAACAAGCGCAGCAGCAAGCACAGCAGTCCTATCAGCAGCATGCTCGGTACCAATCGCAGCAGGCCCAGCGCTCGCCGTATCAATCACAAGCCCAGCAGCACCCGTTCCAACAAGCTTATCAGCAGCGCCAATATCAGCCGCAGCAACAAGCACAGTACGCGCAACAAGCGCAACAACACCAGCAACGGCCACCGCAGTCGACAACGCCGTCAACCATGGGGGGAAGTGCAGAGCTCGCAGTCCAAGAGCCAGAAGCGGAAGAGACTAAAACTAAGCGACGTCCGAAGCAAACTAAGGCGACTGTATCTCCTGCGATATCAACTAAACAAGTGAATGGTCAACCGCCAGCTGTATACGCCACAGATGCTCAGACTCAGGCTCATGCCCAGGCCCAGGCCCAAGCGCAGGCCAAGGCTCAAGCGCAAGCGCAAGCTCAGGCTCAGGCTCAAGCTCAGGCACAGGCCCAGGCTCAGGCACAGGCACAGGCGCAAGCACAGGCACAGGCGCAAGCTCAGGCACAAGCCCAGGCCCAGGCCCAGCAGCAACAGCAGCAACAGCAACAGCAACAGCAGGCCCAGCAAATCCCGGGACAACCTCAAGCTCCAGCACAAGACAAACCCGTGTCGGCAGACAATACCGGGACTCCTAAAAAACGAGGTCGTCCCCGCAAATCCTTAGTCCCAGGAGAAGAAGGCAAGACGCCGAAGCCTAGAAAGACTCCATCCAAAGCAGTGGCAGCTGCCGCCGCTGCACAAGGCAACAATGCTACTCCGACCTCGGCTGCTAAAGCCCCAGCTACAGCAGCGGCCGTAGCTCCAGGCGTACAAGGACAAGTTCAAGCTCCCCCACCCGCCGCGCCTGGCACCGTCCTTAGTGCAGACGGTACCATAGTGCCCCAGAAGAGACGCCGTGGCCGTCCGCGCAAGTCCGAGATTGACCCCAATGCTCCGCCAAAGCCCAAGCCTCCCCGCAAACCAGCCTCATCGAAACCATCCGGTACAGGACGTCCTCGTGGCCGTCCTCGTAAGGCTGATGTCGCTGCTCGACAGGCGGCAGCCGAAGCTGAAGCGCAAGCCAAGGCACAAGGCCAGCAACCTCCAACACCAGGCCAGGGTCCACCCCAACCTCAAGCACAGCCCCAGCAAGCCCAGGGCCACGTTCAACATCATCAACACCAACACCAGCCCCAACACCAGCCCCAGCCCCAGCCCCAGCCCCAGCCTCAACCAAAGGCTCAACCTCATTTGCAGGCTCAACCACAAATGCAGGTGCAACCACAGATACCATCCCAAAATCAGATGCAAGCTCAGCCTCCGATCCAAGCCCAATCAACTATGCAAGTTCAGCCCCAGTTGCAGGCCCACCATCACCAGCTCCAGATGGCCCATCAGCACCACCCGCAACACCATCCGCATCCACAGCAGCATCAACACCATCCCCTTTCACATGCGCATCAGCACCAGCATCCTCAAGCTCAGCACGCGCATCATGTGCAACACGTGCACCAGCATCCGCATGCACAAGCGGATCCAATGGCCCTAAACCCAGCTCAAAAGCGTGGGCCACCGTCTCTAGACGATGACCCGCGCAAACGAGCCTATATCATGCCACAGATGTAAATCGTGCCCTCAACCCGTGGAAATAATCACTACTCGCATCTCATAATCTGTTTATCCGTTTGTCGACAGTTCTCAGAGCAACACATGTTTCTTTCTTCTCATCTCTTGTTTCCAGTTTATATCTGTTCCATTCTATTTTTCCAGCATACCTACGACAATGGTTTCTTCATTCATATTCATATATTCATATTCATATTCATACTCTAGTTTTGTTTCATTTTCTTTTATCAACCAATCAAGCCAATGCTCCCACACATCAATCAATGTTAACGAGTTAATTTCCTTTCCGCTACGAGTTCATCTTTTTTTTCTTTTCCCGCACTGTTCTCTGAATTCGGCTTTTTTTTTTTTTTTTTTTTACCCCCAACTGGTTCTGGTTCTTCTTCAGCGTCAGCTATACGTATTTACTTACTTTGTCCGCCCCGAACCTCCCGGTTGTTCTAAGCTGTTTTGCCTTGGTTGAGTATTGACTTGCTGGCTAGTTTTATTGTTAGTTTAATTTACCTCAAGTGGATCTTTACTATCACTGTCTATGTATTCTGTGTCTGTAGGGTTTGACTGGAGATGTATGTGAAACGTGTTCGGTCTGTGTACGGGAGATTCGGAATTATATTGCTTGATCTCATTTTCATTTTTACACGGTTCATAACATGGCAAATCTAGTAGTCAACTTAGGTTTAACATTGATATTAGTCACAGGTCTACAATTTAGTGAACAGGTTTCATAAAGTCATGGGCACGTGCCAAAAGAAGAAATGAAACTAAAAATGAAAATAAAATAATACGGGTCCATTTCCCAACATTCAACTCCAACATCCAAACAACTTAATCGCTGAACATAAAGCTTAACATATATCTTCCTGTCCATCCGTCATCATCCAGATAGAGTTGTTATTGGAAGGCAAGGACGCCCCATCTGGGAGGCCGGTAAGATCGAGGCCCAAACTCGGCGCGATGCGACGGATAAAGCTATCGCAGAAGAGAAAGGCACGTCGTGCAGCAGTATTGGTGTAGCTCATGGTGTGAAGCCAGCGGATAACCTTTTTACATGCTTCAAGCATGGTTTGTGGGTTGAGAGGTGGAGTTGCTGGGCTAATGTGCTTGGATGTCTTGGGCAACTCGGTAATGGACCAGCAGGAGAGTCCGAGGAGTAGAGCGGTGTTGGCTTGCATTAAGTAATGGAGGAACGTCCACCATGGAGACACGCGCGCCAACCAATAAATATCAGGTTTTTCGGGGAGGATGGAGGTCAGGGAACAGGCGGAGCGCAGACAGCTGAGGGCCATCTCGTTGCGGAAGTCAGAATGTGAGGTCTTTGCTGACTGGGACGGGCTTCCTTTCAGATTGGCATGAGTGACGCACGGCCGGCAGAGTGTAATCTTGGCGCTATAAAAGTTGAAGGCAAGGCATATTCGCTCTCGCTGGAAGGGATCATCAACTGCTGGTGCGTGGAATTGTTCGCTATGTGACTTAGTGAATCGAAAAGCCTGGGGAAGCTTGGACAGCCAAGTCTCCAGGGTCTTGCCGTATTTTCGTATGCGGTGGTGAATCCTGCCACTGGGCTCGCGTAAAGCTTGGATGCTGTAGACTTTGTTCATCACGGCTTGAGTTATGCTTGTGAGGTCCACCAGGCAATAGAAAAACAGAGATGGGGTGGGCTCGCAATTCAGTAGCCATTCGGCGCTGAATCGAGCCTCCTCTTCCGTTTGGAGTAGGGTCAGCTTTAGGTGGCTTTCACGCATGGATGAATCCTGGAAAAGAGAAAGAACCTCCGGTTTACCGAAAGCGTCCTCCTCAAATGGCACTGGAAGTGGCGTGGAGCTCAGGTTCTCACCGACGCAAGAGACTCGGCCCGTGACGGATGTAAGCTGATGCTCAAGAAGATAGATAGACCACCACAGGCGGCTTCGTGCTTCTTTCGACGTGTAGTGTGTCCGACCATCCACCAAGCGAAGGTTAATCCCAAGTGATAAAGCTGATCGAAGTGCCATACTTGAGAATTTAAAAGACCTAGAACTGTTAATATGCGCACGTCCTCGCAGATCGACTTCCTACCTACCTATTAATTTGACCCATTGACAGCAAGTATAAAGCCACTAGAAACTCCACTTGGATTTGCTGTAAGTCTGCATGTTCAAAGAGCACATTTCCGCTCAATGCCAACTTTCTAGCGCGGTTCAGGTACAGTACATCATCCAAGTCCTCGTCCCCTGCGTGGTCCACGAGATGTTGATATCGACAACCAATAGCGAAGATCATATTCAAAATGGCAAGCCATCTCCGCGGTGGATTCGACGGTTGGCTAAAGAATTGCCGATATTGCGCAGTAAAGATACTCTTCCGGATGACCATAAATGCCGGATGCACAGACTCCATAAATGCGGTAAAGAACTGGTCCGCTAGCTCTTTCGGTGGCAGCGCGTATGCATCCACACAATCCATTAATGGGAGTTGAAGGTCGTCCAGATGATAGCTTACTGTTGTGGTGGGGACATCATGCTTTTGTTCCTGCGTAGAAGTAGCTTGATCCAGTGCAATGCCCGAGTCATCAAGGCCTTGACTACGACCTTCAACCTCATCCTCCAATCTCTGCATCCATGATATCTCGGAGTTCTTTCCAAAGAATCCCATGGCTACTGACTTCTCATCCCGATTCAAATCCTCATCTATCAGGTCAATCTCATCCAGGGATCCAATCGATGAAGTTTCGTCTCCTGAGTCGGAGTCATCATCTGCAGACGATGCCTCAGAACCCTGCACTTATTAATAAACTGTCCTATTCCCCAAGCGAGGCCAACAGGTTGACGGGGGCGCACAGACGGTGTTACAAACCTGTAAGCATCTTCTGATCCGCCTTGCGAGAGCACCTTCGACTTCTGGCTCAATCCCTTCCAGTAGCTTCTCATAACGCTGGACCTTCTTCGCTAGCACCCCAAGCTGTTTCTGATCTCGGACTCGTTTCACATCTAAATAGGAACAGCTCACATTATGCTCCACACATTGTTTACAGGCCGGCTTGTTTCCATCGCACTTGATTTTCCGCTGACGACAAGGTTCGCAAGCGCGCGCAGATCGGCGACGCTGGGACTGACCACTGATACCTGCGGTCCGCGGAATAGCCACCTTTGGAATCTCTCGCGAAGAGGAAGATCTGGACGACTGCTGGTTTGGAAGCGCAGGTCGGTCCGTGTATGGAGGTATGGCGTACGGGTTGAAGCTCATCACCGGGAAGCTACCAGGACTGACAGGCACCGAGCCCCAAAGCCAGTCTGAGGACTGAGGCACCGAGGGATCAAGTGAGCCTCGAATGCTCTCCTCGCCGGTCGGAAAATTGTAATAATACGGCTGAGGATTATTCTCCATTGCCAGATGACACAGTGGCCGATATGACCCATGAACGGCAAGGGTGTATTTGTCTCATGGCAACAGCTGAGCAGCTTTCGCTCTGCAAGGCTTTTCAGGTCCTCGGTAACAAGGCACGGACCGCAATGGCCTTGACTGGCTCGACCCATAAGCTTTGAAGAGAGGATGATGTAGTCCAACGGGAGATGAACAGCCAATGATGTCACCACCCGAGGATCACGGGAAGAGGGCAATCAACTACTTATACAGGTGATATCGGCAGTAGACACGCTGACACGAGAATATTCATAGTTAAGGTATGAATAAACAGGCTAGTAGATACTGTGCAAACTTCAAGTACAGGATATATGTAGTTTTTGGTCTGGGCATTCCCCGCCCCCTCCGGTCGACCACAAAGCTGGGATCTATTGTGCTTCTGGTCGGTACCTCTCCGGAGCTACTTCATCTTTCCCTAAGCTCAGACTCTCATAACAATCGAGCATGTCGAAGAGTGTGTGATCTCCCTCTCCCGGAATACCATGGTACCGCTCATCCTCATTCAACTTCTCCAATCCCTTAGCGTAACCATCCCATCGTGATGGTGATGATATATCTTCAGTGAATAAAGCCTTCAGTTCATCATTGACAGTACTCGAGCTTGATGCCCGCTGCCCCTGGCCTTTGGTTAGAACAGACTGTCGGAACAGATGGAATAGATTTCTTCCTAGCTGAGAACGGCTGGCTAGGCTTATGAAGGCGCTCGTCAGCGAAAGGAAGTCTTGATCCAAAATGTCAAAACTGTTATGATCTAGCATCGTAAACAGAGCCAGATTGATGGCATAAAGCGCAAAGTGGTGTGCACGACTCATGCCATATTCCCGTCGATACAGACGTGTCAAAGCGGAAATTGCACGCGCCGAAGAAAGGATATTCTCCAAAGCATCGAACTTCGAACGTGGTGGGCTAAGCCCGGGTGGGCTCTCGGGCGTTTTAGGAGCCTCGGAATCGATACTTGACACATCATCCTCGGGCCTCCACGAAAATAGATTGATGGTCAAAGTATGATACCTCATCCTGATATAATAATTAGCATTGATATGGTAGAGAGGGGGGAGGTAACATGGGCTTCATCATTAAGGATATACGGGGAATGTTGACAAGCGTGAGAGAGAATTTTCCGTGCTCAGTACCTTCGACGAAAAATATAAGCGTAAAGAGAGGCGTACCTTAGTAATATGATATATGGGGGTGGTTTGTGGTCTGGGTTGAAAGTATCCGGTAACCCCTGATGCCACCGACGAAGCCTTTCATACAGTGCCTCCTTAGTGCGACGTTGATGATATGCGGAGAGAGAGGACCCGTTGATCGCATACAGTTGCCGTGAAATATCACGGGCAATTCCACACAGGTTGTATGACTCGTCAAAGTACTGACTAAGAAGGGACGGCCGCGGAGCGCGATGGGAAGGATAGGGAACCCACAGAGCCGTTTCATCCATTCGAGCTCTGTCAGGCCGCTCCAGGTTGACTTTGTCAATTAAACTTGGTCTTAAGAAGTCGGTGTGGACGACACTAGTCACAGGATAAGAGTTACCCTTCTGTAGGGATAGGATGACTTACGTATCTATATGAAACAAGCCCCAGGAGGTCCGCTTGATAGAAACATCCATATCATCCGTGAGCTGTCCAGAGCTGAACTTGAAGACTTTAGGGCCTATTAACCCTAGTGATTCGCCCGTCCATATCGCTTGATGGAGCATCTTGTAACCGAGGTCATTGTGTCCTGATATGGAATACCTTTGTAGATGTTAAATAGCAAGCGCCAATGAACATAGCGTATGAGTTGACTGCAAACCTTTCATATAACAGAAGGGTACCTTGTAGGAACGCGAGACTCAGCTTTGCGGGCTCCTCGTCCCTTAGCCGTTCAGCCTCGGCGAGAAAATCAGCGCCCTTGGTTACAATATCGCCCGGATCCACGTATGCCTCTGAGTAGTCCGAAAAATGCTACATGGAATCAGTATGTATCCACAGAAGGGACGGGCCTATTACATACGCATGCATTTGCAAGAAGTGCGTTGACCAGAAATGGACTACAACACTCCGAATTGAGGTCGCCTCTGGCCATGTCTCGTAGGAACACGTCACGATCGAGAAAGGCATGAAACGGGAAGTCCCAGGTGAAGTACAGGGATATTAAGTGCGATACAAGATCTGCATCCTCAGTAACTGTAGTCCATGGCTTTGCGGGAACTCGGAAGGGCACCTCATCGCATAAGTAATGAATGTCCATGACCTTTGGACGAAAGGACGGCCCGGCGCCCTCGGCATTGATCACCCGTCGAACATCCTCTAGCTTGCGGACAGTGACCTCGTCCGCACTGTCCGTCCCCTCCATCTGGGCCAGCGCCTCGTCGATAAATCCACGCATCTCCTCCGCGGTGGCATCTCTTCGAATGATGTCCAAGAGTCTAAGGCCAAACGATTGATCATCCGCTCGCATCACCCTCAGGAGGTCATTGAGCATGTCTCGGTGATAGCTGAGCTCATCTGCGGTACGTTTAGCGGCTACTCGCCGGCGTTGATCTAGGGTTTCATCGAAGATGCACTGTCGATTGAAGGCCCGACAATTGTCACACGGAGGTACCCCAGAGCACTAGGTCACCATCTGTCAGTAGCAAACTCAATTCCATTTCTTGATTAGGAAGGGAAGAGTGGCGAAAATGGAAACCTATCAGTGTTGCTAATATAAGAAAAAGGGAATGAAAGACGAAAGCAGAAAGGATCGGGGAGACATTCATGCTGCAAGATCATGCGCAAGTAAAGTCAACAACATACTTTCCGCTTGGACTTTTTACAAGCCAAGCAGGCCATAGACACCCGCTTCTTTGAAGGATCCATCGGCGTGGTCCGGTAGTTTTCTCCAGGCGGACTATCGCCCGGGGGCAATTCAGATTTCAAAGAAGGTCCCGGGGCAATTTGACGGTGCGCTGACGGTTCGCTCATAGTGGCGGCGAAAGCATACAATAAATAAACACAGCCAGTCCAACTCGTTCGCCAACCACTCGCCAGGGACCCACAAAGCAATTGAATAGAGTGTGGTGAAGGCGAATGGTTGAACATCAATGAGTCTTATACTAAGAAACACAGTAAAGTCTGCCATGTGAAGAGGAGTCCAGAACAAGAGGACGGCTCCAAGGCTCCGCAAAACACGAGTCAATAAGCCCCTCCTTCTTGCTTGTATTGAGCCTGAGTTGCCTATGCATGACGTACAGGAAAACGTTAGAGGCGTAGGGCGATTCTGGTTATGGCAACAGGAAACCGTGTCCGAACCCTATGGCATCCATGGCCACGTCAGGTGCTACAGCAACCACATCTTACAAATCGGTAGGTCAGAAGACCAGGTTCATGAAAAGGACCTCGGAACTCCTTTACAGCTTTTCTCCTCGTTCCTGAAGCCATAGCGGGTTGACTGGGAGAGCTGGAAACGGCAAAAAACCCGGAAGATAGTCCCGCGATTTGGCACGTGATGGGGGTCCCGAATGGGGACTCGAGCAATCATGTGTTGCCAGAAAGAGGCCGAGTAGGTTTTTTGAGTTAAGTCGAGGGGCCACCGAACCAGGAAATTGTCCTCGATTCTAAGTATCCAGGGTCTTTGCTTACGCGGATGAGACACGCTGTGCGGTTAGGTAGATCCTCTGGTATCCCATCGGGCCAGGAATGACTTCGTTAGAAATCAAGGAAATCAAAAGGAAATGCTCTGTCCAGACAAAGTCAAATAGAACTAGTAGTTAGAAGATAATAAAAGATTATGGACAATACTAAACTAAGTTTTGCTGCACACCCCAATCGAAACCGTTGCCACGAATGCGCCTCCCAGACGTTCAATCAACACAGGATATATGTTAATCAGACCCAAAATCCACATAAGGTAAGAAACCCCCGCTTCTAAAACAGATCTATCCGGCCTCGCAAGCACCTCCTTCTGTACCAGCTCAGGGAAGGGCAAACGGAGAATGGTGCAAGCCGAAGGCAGTCAAATGTGTAAACTAATGCTCCAGGATACGCAAGCTTCCCTGGACGACACAATTCTCCAGTACCGAGCCAGGAGGCACATCGATAGTGCTACCCTCCGTGGCGACAATGATGACTGTGCCCTTCAGAGTAACATTACGGCCCAGGTTGACGGCACCGGTGATCGTCAGGTGGTCGAGCTCAACGATACGGGGGATGCTAGGAATGTGCTTCTGGAAGTCGGAAACCTTCTTGAAGTCGGATCCAAGCTTGATGACAGGAACACCGCCGAAGCGGTTGGGGTCCATGACCAACTGGCCGTGTTCCAGACGGTAAAGATCCGACTTGACCAGCAAGAGATCGGAGCATGTCTTCACGGGCAGGAAGCGGCGACGAGGGACATTGACACCGTGGCCGTTCTTGAAGTGACGGATAGCGGCACCAACAGCGGTCTCAAGCTGATAGATGGCCTGGTCGGCATCGCCCTTCTTGTCAGCGGGGATCGACTTCTCGTTGGCGATGATCTCCATCTCGAGCTCATTCTCCTCAACGACACGCTTGATAGCGCGGAGGCTCATCCAGATGTTGTTGGTGTTGAAGTACTTGAACTTTTTGATGGACTTGAACTCGTTGACGTGCTCCTTAGGAACCTGAGCGATTTCTAGAAGACGAGCCTTGCCCTCGTAATCGATGATAGTACCACCCTTCACATCGGCCTTGGTCTTATCGGTCAACTCCATGATGTACTCAGACTCGGTATCAACCATGTGCTGCAAGATGCGAAGGTCGACCACCGCTCCCAAGTTGTCGGCGTTGGACAAGAAGATGTACTCCACACCACGCTCCAAGAGCTTATCGAGAGTGCCAGAGTTGTACAGGGACTCAAAAACATCACCATGGCCAGGGGGGTACCAGTCCTGCAGAGGAGCATCAAAGCTCTTGGGAGCGGGGAGAAGAGAGTCCTTGATGATACGAGGGTAGCGAGACTGGTTGAAGGTGAGGATGTCAACGTTGTGGCCCTGGTATTTCTTGATGATGGACTGAGTGTCCTGGTCGGTGTTGAAGGAGTTCATCAGGACGAAGGGAACATTGACGTTGAAGGTGCGGTTCAGGTGCTCGATCTGGCGAACGGACAGATCCAAGAATGACATGCCCTCACGGACCTCAATGACCGACTTGGGGCCAACGCAACCCATGGAAGTACCCAGGCCACCGTTCAGCTTAACGACAGCCAACTTGTTCAGGAACTCAACCGAAGCCTCGCTGCCCAAGCTCTCGTAGTTAACGACCTGGGAAGGCTGGGGAGGAGCAATGCGATCCCAGTTCACTTCGTTACCCTTAGCCTTGTCGTTCAGGAATCTGCGGAAGAGGGCGAAGAAGTTGTCCATTTCGGCCTCGAAGCGCTTGCGCTCCTGAGAGTCAGGGACGGTCTCTGAGAGGGCATTCAGAGCATTACGCATCTGGGAAGCAGCAACGCTGGTCGAGGCATTCTCGAACGCCTGAGGAAATCGGCCAATTAGCATGCAAGTCTTAAACCACGGCATGACAGGAATTCGGTGGATGTCAAAACAAAACAAAACGGCTTGTAAATTCCAAAAAACAATCCTCAGTGTGGAGGTGCTCCAGAAGTAAAAATAGCTATAGAAACTGATGTCTTGGATGAAGAGAAGGTCGCAAAACAGGAGTGATAGGATCGAATATTTCAAATAACTGTTCAGGGGAATCCGATATACGTTTCAGGGAGCGCAGAATGAGTATTGAAGATTTTCAGCACGGTAACACGGCAAAATGTAATGTATGCTTTCTTTGAGTGGGAAACTGTGCGAAGGGAATGCGTGCTTTTAGAGTAGTAGGGATATGCGATGCTAAGTATGCCTAGTCCATGCAGGCCACTATTCAAGACACTTTCAAATGCCCATATGGTCAAGGGACAAGGCAAGGCAGACCTCTAGTTGCTTGAGAGCAAACCGATCTCTGCGTCCCTGGGTCCTTCCCCGCAGTATTCTGCAGGTACGCACCCCAGCAACAAGTGTGCATACAATTCAGGAAACCACGGGCCAACATTCGCAATCGCAACTGTAGAACGAGTACCATGAAATCCACAAGACTTACCATGTGAGACTGAGACTTTCCGTGGTGCTTGCCGAAAGAGCCAGCGTTGGAGGTTTCCGTGGCCGGAGCTCTGAGGTGGGTAGGCAAAGCTTTGGCTGCCATTATGTGTGTTATGCGGGGAGAGGTCTTCGATCAAAAAAAAAAAAAAAAAAAAAAAGGTAAGAGCCAGAGGACTATGGCGGGAGTGCTCGAGTTAAAGAGGCGACGGAATGACTTCTGTTACAGCCAACACCGTTGGGGTTAGCTTTAATGGAGCTTCAGAAAGCTTGAGAGTGGGCGTGAAGAGCAAGCAAGAATGAACACAAAGGGAAGGACGAGCCAAGAGGACACGACACTTGATTTAAGCGGACCATTGGGGACCCCGAGGAGGGTTCTGTTGCCACGCCAGAGAGCGTCGATCCTTTCGGAGGAGAGGAATGAATGGGTTTCAACCAGGTGCCGTCATTGGTACTTGTTCCCATCGGCAAATGGTGCGACAAGGCCGGAGGGGAGAGGGGGAAGTACTTACGTGGATGATAATGATAGCAAGGATGGAGGGGGTGAGAAGAAGCAAAAGGATAGTTGGACAAATAAAGGAAGAGAGAGAAGAAGATTCAAAGCAAGCAAAACAAGGAGAAAGAAGAAGCTTAATACTGTTCCTATTTGGTTGGTTTGGTACCTTAGGCTCTCCCCTTTGTTATGGTTATTATTATTATTATTATTATTATTTTTAATATGATTTTATTTTTATCGCTTTTTACAGCAAGAGGAGGGGGAACGAAGTGGGGTTCGCAATTCAAGGGGACCAAAACGGTATTAATACATAGCCGTTACCAGCCCACCACTAGAATCTGGGAGGCGGTGACGGTCCACTGACCATACGAAACCAGTAAATGCAGACACATTCTTGTTTTTTTGGTCTGCCAAGCGTGATACCTTTACCTATTCTTAGCATCATCCGTACGTCAAATACCAAGACTGACGGCAACTACTCCGTACACTGTTGAGAATTACCAAGTCAACTTGAGAGAGAGGAGTAAACAGAGACCGACTAAAGATGACCGGTAAGTGTACTGTAGTAAAGTATACTACTCCGTACTACAACATCCTAATACCTATAATATGTACATCTGCAGCTGATGTTGGTAGATCCAAAGCGAAAAAAGGTAAAGGTCGTCATCCATCGTCATCTGACATTGGGACTCTCCTTATTCTAGACCGAGCATAACCCCCTTTTCTCAGGGTTCGAATTTACTAATGTCTAAAGAGTAATCTTGAGAGTTCCCCACTGCCTCGTCACTTTTTGAGCCATCGTAATATTAATTAACCTTGCAAGTTGCCCATCGAAACTTCCTCGTCTGTTCCATATAATCTCGCCATATGATAGGAGGGAGCACGAGCACTTTCGAGAAACTTCAGCCACTCAGGAGCGGTCATGGTGCTCCGTGCCCTACTCTATCCCATACAATTGTCCAATTCCCTCTCGATACGTCCCGTACGCCGACTAAGTAAAGTCGCAGCAGAGAGAGAAAGAGAGAGTGAAAACTTGAGACATCCCGAACACCGGCCTAGTTCTTGAACCCGTTTTACGCACTATTGACGGATGCACTCCGGACAGTCCAATGGTAGGTCCGATCATTTCCATCCGGTTTCTGTTCCCTATCTAAAAAGCGCTATCAACTGCGATCCCACCAACGGATCACACGGCCACCAACTCATGAATCGCCACGCTCTTTTCGGTCTAGTCGTCGCTCAAAGTCTCAGTCGACATGCAGGATACCTTGATCGTTGGGTTGGGATTTTCTAATTTTACCGTGCCCATATCTGTTATTTCCCGGTCTGGGCCCATATGTATTATTAACTTCTAAGACCCCCCCACTTAGGGTACCCATACTCCATAGGGCTTGTAGACGGTAGTTACCGGCGTCGACTCCTTTTGTCGTGAGACTTGATTCAGATTCGATCTGAAAAGAGAACGGCGACTATTGGGAAAGGATCAGAGGTCACCGTCACGACCGAGATGACCCCTGAACTGGACAACTCATGCAGTCGGAGGGGTCCTTGATGCCTGATATGCATGTATGTATGTCATAAACATCATATGTACCAAACATATAGCACGTTGACAACTGTCATACTACGCCCGACTATAGAAAATATCCCCTCATAGATCAGGGCTGCTACTCCATACGAACCGAATGAGATCGTTTTCATGCGCTCGGGCCAGCGATACAGTTCACAGAAGAGGCTAGAAAACTTAAATGTGAAGCCCCTAACAGACGTCGGTGGGCACATTACTCCAATAGTCGTTTCTTCTACTGGGTCCGGGATAAGACATGTCATGCCCAGTCCAGTTCAACAACCTAATAGCAGTACTGCTCAGGTCCATTTCTTCCATTTCGCTTGGGTCATTCTGGCGGTGTATGGTTGTATGTACGGCAGTCCAACTGCATTGCAGAGAGTAGGGTAGGGTAGTTATGATCCATCTATCTTGCACAATAAGATTTACTCATTCGACATCTAGCCTCCCAGGAAGGCTAGTGGCCAATCAGAACTTTAAGGATATCACATCACATTGGTGGCCAGCGGCCGACGACAGGAACAATAATGAAAAAAAAAACGCAATATCATAAGGGGCATCAGGAACAAATACATAGAGAAGCGTACCAGGGCAGAAGCCCTGTTCGACTGTTTCACTTCCTCCTCTGAACGCTTCCAGGGATGACCGCCTTTTATGCTCCGCTAACGCTCCTCTTGCTAAGGAAGCTGCGACGGCCGGGCTTCTTTGAATCTGGGCTGTCCATCACGTCGGAGGCCGCATCTCCACCGTTCGAATGAGCGGTGCCGGGCCGGAGGGTAGATTCGGATCCCGAGAAGCTGCTGCGGATAGCGACATTACCACTGCCAACCTTCACCACCTTCTCCTGCCCGGCCACGGAGCCTTGGTCATCAACGAAGAAGAGTGCCTCTCCGAGAACATCATCCGAACCAAATGTGGCATGGTCAACGACTCGGATTTGATACTGCGCATCGGCTGTGGTATTGTGCACACGGCAGGTCTCATGCGACGAATCGAAATGTACAGTACCACCACTGGCTTTGTGGGCCTTGCTCTTGAGCACCTCTTTGGGCTTTGGACCAAGGGCTTTCACAGTGACACGCACATTAGCCGACGGAGGGAAGTCGGAGGCAGACACCACGGTAATCGTAGCAGTTCCCGTGTCTCCTTTACCAGCGAGGCCAAGTCTATCACTGTAATGCGAAGCCACACTCCGAGTGCGCGAGTGCTGCAGGTTATTACTTTGCGCTGAGCTAGGCGGAATGTTGCCTTCAACCAGAACAGATGGTGCCTCCAGCTGAGATGTGTCCTCTGGATCTTCTGCAACCTCGTTGATGCTCGAAGAATCATCTTTGTGGAATCGCGATGTGATACCGCGCTTCAAGAAGGAAGCGCCCAAAGTAGCACCTTTGATGACGTTGCCACCAACGAATCCGACACCCTTAACAGGTGCTCCGACAATCTTCCCAGGAGTAGCAAAGGTGCCGGAGAAGGTCGAGGAGCCCTGCCGAGACCGCATCACGTAGGTCGGCTTGAACAGCATCTTCAGGCGGATTGCACCCGACTTGCCATCAAGTGGAAGAGAGACTTCTTGGCTTTGGAAGGGATCCAATACTCGAAGATCGATGTGGGTACCGCCCAGATAATCTGCTTTGTCGCCGAAATCCCAATCATATACGTCCACCCGAAAGTCTGCCGCGATCCGAGATTTGATAGGTGTTTCGAAGTATTCGTTCCAGGCCGGGTGAAGGGTCTTCTTCTGTACCTTGGTCTTGTGGATCATTTCGTCATTGAGGCGGAATTTGCAGTATGGGTCGCTGAAACCATTTCGATCGGCGGATGGGAGCTCAGCAGCATCAAGAACGTCCACTCGTAAGGTTCCCATGTTGTTGATGCTTTCCGTCGGGTCAAGCTTCATATATACAGGGATATAGCGAGCACTAACAGTGACTTTGCTTACTTCCCCACTGTCCGACCGCAGAGTTAGTTCGGTTGGGTTGTACTAGAAGTAGTTAGTTATAGGATAACGAAATTGTAACTATGGCGGGGACTCGTTTACCAAGATGCGCTGTAAAGTAGAAAGCGTGTCGCCTGTAAGTTTCGCAACAGTATGCTCGTCACTGCTCGCCTTAGGATCCTCCTTGTCCACAATCCGAAGTGTAATTTTCGAGAACTCGAGCTCACGCACGAAGGCATCACCAACTGCGACACGATTAGTTTTAATTCCATACTACTCTTTCCGAGAGCAATCACATACTGTCTTCAATCTTGGCGGACTTGGAGCGGATCTTAGGTGATGTATATGCAGGGAACATATAGTCGTCCATCAAAACCTCCACCTGAACATTGCTGCGAGAAAGGTGTGCTTCATGGAACTTGAAGACAAGGAAGCCAGACTCTGCGAACCGATTAGTCTCAAAACACAGAAATGAAATAAAAGGGAAAATGGAATTGTTGGGGAATTACCGTATTGCGCTATATCCTCCAGTGAAATAAAAGTTTTCGGCACTTCCTTCATAGACTTGACAGACATCGTTTCAGAATCCTTGATAGTAGCGGGCCTAGATGAGTCAAGACTAGTCTTCGACTCCGCTGTACCATTCGTGCCATTTGTAATAGCAGCCTTGGAGTCCGTGCTAGGCGACTTGATATGCGAGATCTTGCGTCTAGAGTCCACACTCTTCCTGGGTTGATCGCTACCTTCCTCGTCACCATTAGCGCCTTCTATCAGATCATCCTCCTCGACCTCGTCATCGGGGTTAACAACAGGCATGCTGGGGTAGAATGCGACAGTGTAATTGAGCTTTCCCTTTACTCGACCATGACCAATGCGAAGATCACTGGAGATATGCTGCTTCTCGTCATCAGTGAGATACTCTCCGTTCTCATTCTCGCGGACGTAGTCCGCGGCGTTGATTTCAAGCGATCCAAGCGATCGGTCGGAGCCGACGGATTCTTCATCCATAACTTCCAGGGTGAGCTTTTCACGAGCGCTGTGGATCGGAACGTATACCACTTCATCCCACTCGGGGTTGAGGTTATTTCTGAACGTTACTGTCCGAGCTTTCATGTAGCCAGAGAGTAGCACACGAGCATACGGATCAGATTTGCCCATAGTTTCTAAGTTCCTTAGATCAGTTGCGCTCTTGAAGTGGAAGCGCATCACGCCAATTGGATCAATGTAGCCAGCACTGCCCGAGATGCCACCCACAGCAACGGGCTTCCACTGCAGGGTGAGTTTGGCGCGTCCTGTCTTAGCGCCATGGAGATGGAACCAATCCTGGCCTTTCTCCATCATTTTGAGCATATCGTTGAACTTGATCTGGTAGGTACCCAAGATCGGGTCCCTGGCAAGGTCACGGTCATCTTTTATTACCAAGCCAAGTTTAGCATTCTTTCTATCGGTGACCAAAAACTCCTTGGAAGCATTTTGAAAGATTGGGTTGTTCGTGCGCTTCAACTTCTTCGTGATGTGAATTTCCTTTCCGTTCAAAATGAGAACACCGTAGGGGTTTAGCTGGCCGACAAGACTCTTCGTACCATCCAAATCCTTAGCTTGTTCAACTGTAAAGCGAGCGATACCGGTATTTAATTCTGGGGTTGGCTCAACTTCACCGTTCTCAAGCGTTCTTCCTTCCAGGACAGGGAAGAATCGGATATCTGCATGAATAGAACCACGAGACCGGCCACTAGCCATAACTTCCAAGTAAACACTCTCGTGCTCTGGTTGCTCTTCAAGACGGTCCAGGGGGAAAGTCGCAGTACCGAGTTCTTTGTCCTTTCGGAACTCATTCCAATCATATGGCTGAATGGTCAAAGTGTCAGAGAACGAGGTGATGATAACATAAATCGTTTCGTTCCATCTTGGGCTGTCTGTGTCGTGAACGGTCTTTGTGCGTCCCAATTCCGTGCGGCCGTTCAAAGAGACGGCTGCGTACGGATCAGGAGTGCCGGAGAATGTGTCAGGATTCTTCAACTGATGGGCGCCATGGAGCGTAACAGCAACGACACCAATAGCTTGATCCACTGGATTTCCGGCAAGCATTTTCGCAATCTCGACAGGAAAAACATTGGGACTGTACATCATGGGGCCCAAGTTGTTGTGAATCTGTTCCTTGATGAAGGTTTCTAGGCCGGGAATGAAGTTGATGTCGAATCCAAGTGTGTCACCGCCCAGAGGTTTGCAAACATAGTCAATCTCAGGGCGCTCCAAGAAACAGACGTCAACCCTCTCAATGTGGGGGAAAGGAACCTGGAGCTTCACCTTCACCCTCATCAACCCACTGCAAGCCATGTCCTCGACAATCACATCTAGACCTTTACTGACAACACCCTTACCCAATCTAACTTCCAAGACAACCTTGGGGTTTATCTTGTTCTTCAATTGACGAGCTGTCAGGTCCATAGTATCGTTAGGTGTGAAACTAAACTTCCAATCCATAATGACTGTGTCAACCTCCGTCTTAGGGTAAGTCTTCACGTGCTCCAATCGAGGAGGCTTGGAACCGAGAATAAATGTTTTCAGTCGGAGACTGTCGAGCATTGCTGGAGCCGAAGTGCTGAGGACCTGATCGACCGAGTTGATGATCGTGTCACACAAAACAGGCGCGTAGATGGGCCAGAATTTGACCAAGAAACTGTTAATCCATTCCAAACTTTCGGTGTCGGTCTCCAGGCGTTGCTTAGCCATCTCACGATTGATATCGTCTCGGAAGTTTCGCCTGACCCGACGAATCGACGTCCGGTAATACGTACTACACGCCGCCATTAAGATAAAAATCCAGCCTAAGCCCCCGCCCAGGATCGCAATGATCCAAGAAGAGAAACAAGCAAAAACTATGATAGCAGCATTGTGGTACCAGTCTAAACCTGGTCAGCGTTTATACAGCACCCACAGAAGAACTTACTTACCGCCGAAGAACTTGTCATCTAATCTACTTTCCAGAAAATCCTGGTGGTCCAACAAGGTCCCTTCTGCCTTTTCTTCCTCCGTCGGCTCCTCATGAAACCGAGGAGCCCAACCAGTTCTGTCGCGAGCCCATCGCAAGTCCTCGGTCATACCGTTTTCTCCTTGGGAAATATCTGTCTTCTCTTCATCTAGCAGGGCTGTTGCGGATTTCGGGGGGGGAAGATCGTATTGGCTGGGAGTGCCATCATCCTAGGAGTACACTAAATTAAGCAAGAGTTCCCTTTGTTGTGTAAGAGAGGAAACCATTGCCTAAACTTACCTTGTCCGTGATGATTGCCATTCCTTTCGGTTTCGTGTCATGTTTGAGGCCCGGAGGTAGTTGCTACAGTGAGAAATCGTTCATTAGCGAACAGTGTGCAGTCGAAAAGATAGGTATCGCGAGACCTACTGCTGCCGCCGCCGCCGCCTTTTCTTCAGGAGTCGCATTGGGGTCAAATTGGTAGGCTGGCAGGCCAGCTTTCCTGGTTTCATCCACCAACACTTTCTCCGCAGCCGCAGCAGCTTGGGGGTCTTGAGGGGCCAATTCGGCTGCCTCAATGGCGCCCTCCTCCTTCAATTCGACCTTTTCTCTCTCTAACTCCTGCGACGCCATGGCTCTTTGGTTGGCCGGACCAATTCAACAAGGCCCAGGGTGAAGGATCACCGATTACAAATCCCAAACCGACACAATCTGGATGGTTGTCAGATCGCCCTGATATAAGGATTCTCCTTTTCTTATAAGCTAACGCGGAATTGAAAACAACAAGAATAGGTAGGAAATGTTAAACATCAAGTTTTCTAGAAATGGCGAGGATGGGAGGGAATGGGGAATTAAAGAAAAGGAAAATTCAATAAAATAAAAAAGGAGAGTCAGTGAGAAGTGGGTGTTGGACAAGAAAAGGATTCGTCAATGTCCGAAGTGAGTTGGCGCTCGGAGGAGAATCGATGGTTGCCTTCGAGTTCTCCGCAGCGGGGAGTGGCTGAACCCACGGTTAAGCCCGAGAGCTCACTTATAGGATGGGTTGTGGGTTGCGCGGGTTTCGGGGGAAGGGGGAAGGGGATAGATTCGAGGACCACGGTAACAGTACAGAAAGAGCATAGAGTAATCCTTACCGAAGAATGACCACTCTCGAGTAAAAGAGAGCAAAGCAACCGTTGAAAAGGGCGCAAAAAAAAAAAAAAAAAGGATCGGATGTGAAGGGGGGAGACCGAACTAAAGCAGAGCTGAAAGCGAAAACGGATTGAGTTCGGCAAAGCCACTTGCGTCAAGGAGAACCGTGGCTGGTGAGGAGCTGAAAGGAAGAAAAAAGAAAAAGATGAATGGGAATAAAAAGCAAAAAAAGAGTCAGAGAGAAAAAGAAATAGAGGGGGAAAAAAAACCTGCTGATAGAGGGATGGATCTCCTAGATACGAGTGGAGTACCAGTGATAATGATGAGGGACCTAAGGAATGGTTTAATCAAAAAGCAATGAAATAAACAAATAGATACATTAGGGGAATATGCTCAAAGAACAAGTGGTCATAATTTGAATGTAATGGAGAGATACATAAAACTTTAAGAAACAAAAAGACGGAACATTGCTGAGAAGGAAAAGAGATCCGCGGCCGTGACGTCGATCTGCGACAGAATAGATAGTCGAGTCGATCAGATGGTTGTTCCATCTCACTTCCTTCCTCTTTCACGCTCTCTGTCGTGGAGTCGTAATCTTACCCGACCATCACCCCACAGTGGATTGGCTATACTACTATAGTCTTAGCAAGGACCAGCCTTTCTCTTAAGATACTGTACAATACAAGGACCCAGCCACGGATTTTTATTAAACCCGGCCAGTTCCTTATCAGCCGAATAGAAAAAGTAAATACTAACCCTCACCAAAGCAATAGCAGTGTACGGAGTAGGTAGGTAATCTTCTGGGCTCACCGCAGGTACTTACCTACTACATCACACTGAGATAACCCATATACTAGTACTGGGCTAGGTCGACCGATTAGCAGCCAGTTGATAGAACTTCGCACCGCCACGAAAGAGATTCTAGCTGCGCCACATTCATTCATCGCCGGTGTGCTATGTACTTCTGTTCGTACTTGTACTAAGTTCTTCGGTGCCTGGACTACCAGTAATATTACCTTGGGACAGCCCTGCCAAGCAACTGCTACTCATTCCAAACCAGTGACCGATTATCCACTTAGTAAGGAGACTAGCATGCATGAGGGTGGAACCCATCAACACAGTAGTGTTCCCCCTTTCCCGATCCTCGGAACAATCGCGACAGTGGTTTGCCATTCATGATTCGCTCAATTCCTTAAGCGTGATTGATACTGTGTAGTATCATCCACATTCACGTGGTTCAAGTTCCATACTACTAAGTAGAGGGTCAAGTACACTCAGTGTCACTGCAACAAATCATTACTTGAGTACTGAGGAGATTGCACGATTCGGAAATATTTCCGATCTGAGACTGAAAACCAAGAAAATTGCTACAATGCCAGGTTACACGTGGCATGCAGCAAAAGCTGTGGTTTGGTACCTACTCCGTAGATACCACAACAACTGCTTCGTTTAGAGAAGCTGCATGCTACTACTCCATACTTACTACATCATCATCAATATACTATGTATAGATATACCTCAGGATAAACCCTAATTGAACCGCCATGTGACAGATCCCCCCTACGTCAAGCTTCCTGTATGTACTATGTACATTAATAGGCCAATACCACTTCCATTTCGTCCTTGGATCTATATTGTGTAGTTGCAACTGTCTTGCTGGCCTTCCCATTCAACCTTATTCAGCTTTGACCTAGGATCTGCACGGTCTTCGCACTACCACCCGTGTTTTGCCACAGGTTTGCTCATCAATTCAATTTAAAATCTTAAGCAGCATTGACTGCTGTATGCCTCTCAAAAGACAAACGTAAGTTATCAATGCTCATTGACTCCATATGAAATTTTGCTTGATCGTCTTCCATTGTCGCCCGCCCTATCTATCCCACGGCCGCCACAGACAAAAAGGGGGCTGGGAGAATTTATGCCGGAAAAAAATATTTTTAAAAAATAAAAGATTAAATTACTCCGGAATAGTACCCACGAACAGACCAACCTCTAGGAACTAAGGTAGTCAAGTCGCTACCAAGACATCCCAACTCCCACAATTTTTACTCAGTACGATCCTAGCGCAACCCAAATCGACTCACCCAATAATCCATGGTTCGTTAGTGTGGGCCAGACACGCTGATCGCACAAACACCTTGGGTCGCTCTCCTTCTACCAAATAACCAGACCGACTTGCATAATGACTGCATTTTCGCAGTGAACTAGAATGCTGCCTAGTGGAGGATGTATGTCATTCTTGGGAAAGGTGTACGTACGACTCCCGATCTGTGATCTTCTAGTCTACCAAAAATCAAATGTTGAAATTTTTTTGGGCCTATGTATGGTCGTGGAAATCGATTGGGGATTCTGGGACTCTTATTCATTCATTCTTTT